CAACTGTAAAACAGCACCTCAGATTCATTTATTGGACCAGTTTTTTATTGGTTATGATACCTAAAAACGTGGTTCCAAAATTGATCAAAAGAGATGAATCTGAGACAACAAATTTCAAATTAGGTGTTTTAACACAGAGTTTTTTGAATTACAGGACAAAAAATCAGAAAATCAAACGGAACACCACTGAATAGAATTATGGAATCAAACAACAGTTCAACAGAATATACGACATTTGAGAGAGTTTTCTCGCTAACGATTGGTATTCTACTGCTGGTAATATCTCTTGCTACAATAATTGCCAACGCACTACTTCTAGCTGCCATCTGCTACGATCCTTACAAATGTCTTCGTAACGTACCAATAGTATTTGTAGCAAACCTCGCAGTCGCTGATTTGCTGACAGGACTTGCTGTTGATCCATTGTTTGCTGTTTACCATTTTGGTATTTATCAAAACAAACATTACTCTAAAATATCTCTTTTATCCCAGTCAAACAAATACATCCCTTTTATCACATTCAACAACGCTATAGTCACAACAGTAATACTCATCATCGACCGAAGTGTGGCTATTAAAAAACCTTTCTTGTATCGTCGAGTTATGACACTAAATTCAGCTGCAATAATTGTGGCCATTTCGTGGATTTACTCTGGATTTTTCTGCACATTTCGCCTGCTGGGAATGTCTGACAAAGCCTATATCTTACTGGATACACATTTACATGTAACTTTCTCATTTCTCTCATTGACTCTCTTATTTGCTTTCATATACTCCAACTTGAAGACAGAGAAAAGGCGGAAACTGAAAGAAGTCACATCTATGGTAAATATAGACAATGCAACTAAAGAAAACATTAAAAGAATGAAATCTGACAAGCGGCTTTTGGTGACAATATTCTTCATCTTATCGCTCTTTTTCCTAACATATTCGCCTTATGCTGTTTTCATTCATTTGAAATATTTCTGCATATCCTGCAGTAAATCAAAGTTCTATTATTTCCTGAGCCAAACATCCGTGCCCGTAATGTGTCTGAACAGTGTTCTCAACCCATTTCTTTATGCGTGGCGACACAAGAACTTTCGTAAGGCTCTGGGATGGATTGTGAAGTGTCGTAGGTAGCCATAAGTATATGTGTCCAGTTTATATTGCGACCTGTGACGAACTCATGTACACATCACATGTGATCACGACTCTTAGGTGGGCTACTTTTTAATTTGTCTAAAATCCACCTCTAAAAATCTAGCGGGATATTGGAAGTATGTTTGAAGACTTGCTTGAACTGAAAGGTTTTTATTTACTATAAATGTTAGTAAGGACATCAAAATTCGCTAGAAGATATTTCAAGTTACATTAGTTCAAATTTGTGGACCAAATATTGCATGTACAAATACGACATTAGTAGAGCTTTGAAGAAAGATAAATTCTTCAAGTATATAAGAAGAACAATGTGTTTAGGCTTGCATATCCTGACGTTATACGTTACAGGGAACCTTGAATAAAAAAGTCAAATATATATTCAAGAAATTAAACTTTCATAAGAAGGGCAGATTCGTTTGTAAAATGTTTAAGAGCCTATATATTGCGATCATTATGTAAATATATATAGGGTGTAAAATGTGAGATGCAAATTTCTAGGGAATTTTTTTTTCGGTACAGTTCGTTCCCAAAATTCACCTCAGATAAAGGTTATTATCGTAATATGGTGCATGGTCTGACTACAGATTTAAATGTTGCTTATTCTCAAAAACTATGCAGCTATTTGTATTCCTCAAGCTACATGTAGCACTTCGTGACAAGCTAAGTCTGCGTCAAAAAAATAACAAAATTTAAATATACGACACCAGTATAACTATATTAGCATGACTGGTCTTCGTGAGAATCCGTTTATAATTTCGGCAAGCGCTACTGGCTAATAATTAGTCGTCAGAATGAGGCTCACAGGTTTAATTAGATGTTTGAAATGGTTTGACTACATTAGTCTATATAACGCCTATTTCTCCATTATACAGAATTAGTTTACACCTATATTCGTAGCGTATATATTTACATGTAAATATAACTTTGGATAATCCTATTTTTGAAGACAACAAGAGCCATATCACGGTAAGGGAAGTCTACTTATTGTCTTATTCTTAAACTTTTTCAACAGGTTAATATAATAATAATATGCATGAATAGTATAATAATATGGACAGGATAATATATGCTGTTGATAAAAAATTTGACCAAAAACCGATACAATATTTTATATGAAATTATGTATAATCGCGATCGCAGAATGCTGTGAAAAACTATATCTGCAAAGTTTGCGAATAATTTGCCGTCAAATTATCGATTCGATCAATAAAGTAGACAACCTATATCATTTATAAACACGGAAACATTCTGTGCAAAAAAAAAACAGAATATAACCAAAGGCCAGCAGCATGGCACCGTCTGAGTATAATTTGACTAATTTTCAAATTTTCACATCAATTTTTTAATCGCTTGTTTATGAAGTTGAACATATTTTTCCATAAATATTTTGTGGATCAATAGAAGTATTATTTTGTAAAGTTTTGAAACAAACATCAGTGCAGAAGCATAACCCAGGGTTAACCCAAGATATTAAGAAGAAGATCAATGTGTTTATTATAGGCAGTGCATGCATAAAAGTTGAATATCTATATATATTCAAGAAATTTAATTTAAGAAGGGCAGATTTGTTTGAAAAACATTTAAGAGCCCACATATTGGGATAATCATCATGTCAAGAGAATGTTCAATGCATGTAACAGGTGCAAATTTTAGATGAATTGTTTTTTTTTCAGTGTACAGTTCGTTCACATATTTAGTTTAATTTTTATTTAGATAAAAGTAACTCTCCTATAATATGTTGCCCTGAGCTAAATTCCAATGTTGATTAATTCCTAAAAACTACGCATTTGTATATTCATCAAGCTATGTCGCTCTTCGAGGCTACAAATTTAATTATAGGACACCAATATAACTATATATTAGCATGACTGGCCTTTGTGAGAACCCGTATATAATTTCAAAAAGCTATTGGTTGATGATTATTCGTCAGAATGAGGCTCACAGGTTTTAATTGGATGTTTGAATTAATGCGAAATCCGCGGTTTAATTATATATATAGACCAATTGCGAAACTTAGTGACCGCGCCTTCGTGCAACATGGAAACGAGGCTTATTATGCAAAAAACAATATTTGTATTTTTTGCAGTACAAAGCTATTCGCCGAGTTATATGCCGTTTTTCGCCTTTGTTTTACATATTTTTCGATACCTTTCAGCTTGGTTTCATCGTTGTTATGATAGTTTTCAGGTTAGGAAGTTTTGCCTTTCAATTGAGGCGTTTTTGTGGTGTTTTCATTAATCTTTTCGACTACTTTCGTCGGGGAAATATAGAAAAGGCCGACACAAACTCAGGTAAAAGTTTAGTTTTTCCAAACTATTTCGTCTCAAGTTTTGAAAATGTATTTCATTTTTCTCCCTCTTATTTGTGCAAAATTTGGCGATGTATATTTGGTGCAAAATCTATGTTTTTTATGTCAAAAATTATTGAAAAGTCACGATCGAACAAACCACCATGTTCACATTTCTCATCTAAAATTTTTTTATACCAATTTTATCGATCGATAAGATGTAATTTGACAGCAATTTTTCAGCTCAGCAAAAAAAGTAGTAGAAATCTATAAGAGATAAAATAAGCAACGGAGTTTTATGTTTATTTTCCCTGTGTATATAGACTACAGAGTACAGTACATGTGATGTGATGCCGACTGAAAAGCAAAACAACTCTTCAACTTGGCACACATGCATGACATGGATAGTAAAATACTTATAACCAAAACATAATATCATTGTCTATTTTGAGCTGCGATGCGAGCTGCAGCGTTTTTTAAGATAAACCTTTACATGATGGCAAAGTCGAAGGCGAAAAATATTTAAACCGGAGTTCGCAAGTGTTTTTCCGTTTAAGATGGTGAAGTGTGAACGGGATCCTTTCCTTTTCAAGTATTCCTGGTTAACCCTTATTAAACATCTATTGCATGGTAGTAGATAGAAAGAATAGTGTTTTGTACGAACAAAAATGCAGAATTCAGATGCAAACTCAGATGCATTCGAATTCGACTTTTATAAAATTCGGCCTTCAGGCCGGCATGCAAGCTATGCATCGTCTGTACTTTATTAAAACGAAAATAAACAAAAACATTTCAGTCAGTTACTTTTGACCATTTTAACAGTATTACTGTGGTATAAAGAAAAAAAATACAGTGATATTTGTGAATAAATTTGAATAAATGAAGCCATTTCAGTCATCAGGTTTGAAAATTATATAATCTGACTGTCACTTTTCAATAATTTTTGACATAAAAAAACATAGATTTTGCACCAAATATATATCGCCAAATTTTGCACAAATAAGAGGGAGAAAAATGAAATACATTTTTAAAACTTGAGACGAAATAGTTTGGAAAAGCTAAATTTTTACCTGTGTTTGTGTTGGCCTTTTCTATATTTCCACGACGAAAGCAGTCGAAAAGATTAATGAAAACACCACAAAAACGCCTCAATTGAAAGGCAAAACTTCCTAACCTGAAAACTATGATAACAACGATGAAACCAAGCTGAAAGGTATCGAAAAATATGTAAAACAAAGGCGAAAAACGGCATATATCTCGGCGAATAGCTTTGTACTGCAAAAAATACAAATATTGTTTTTTGCATAATAAGCCTCGTTTCCATGTTGCACGAAGGCGCGGTCACTAAGTTTCGCAATTGGTCTATATATATATATATATATATATATATATATATATATATATATATATATATATATATATATATATAGATATATATATATATATTAGTCTAACGCCTATATTCCTTTATTATAGAGAATTAGGTCTGTTTTCCATTTCCCATTTCAACCGTATCGTAACGAACATTCGTTGTTTCAAAGTCATTAGTTCTATCCGAGTGCCCAGGAAAGAATGATAGACGCTAGTAACGCTACGTGTCGCTACGATACGGTTAAAGTTGAAAACAGCCCTTACATGTACAGCTACATTGCGGTATATGCATGTGAACTTTGCGTAAATAAAGTGAATCCTATACTCTTCAAAACAACAAGAGCCATTTTACGGTAGGGAAATTAAGCCTTGACCTATTCCAAAAATATTTTTAACAGGTTAATATAAACATCGATAATAGCTAACATTAATAACAAAAAATTGGACATCTATATACTAAGAAATTTATGTCAATGTCACGTTGATCTATACCGGTAAATTCTATTTGGCTGTCGAAGGAGTTAAAGTATATGTTAAATATAATTGCAAGGTTTGACCATGAGCTAGCTATAAGTGTCATCTACATAGAGGACAGAAATATAACTAAAAAAAATGGAAACGGAAACTAAAAAAATGTAACTAAGAAATGTATGTCAATGTGATAAAGTTGATGTTTGAGTTAACCAAAAGACATACGTCGTATAGGAGGCCTGATCTCTGAGCACTCGTAGCGGAGACGTGTAAGCAAAACTTGCCTGGTTGAGGCGGCCATTTTGTATGATAATATGTATACACGATGAAAGACTGAGCTTGAATGATAGAGTTTGTACTTGACAATTCTTGACAATCACAACATTGATGTCGCCGATAACTGGTTATCTTAATATATTCAGATCATCAAATGTGATTTTTGTTGTCTAATATTGCTGAATGTCTTTTTTTTGGGATAGCTAAACATAGACACATTAAGCTAAACATGGACACATTAAGCTAATCCTCATCATATCTTTATCAAAACATTGAGTTAATGCATGTAATGAGCTAATTCTGACAAGGTCATTTGACGATTCGCCTGGATCCTGTGCCATTTTGGATTTAAAATCATTATGGAGTTTACCAATAAGACGCGGTCAGCTCGACAACGCGCTCGCAAAACAAAGAAACAACACATAAGACAAAAAGTATGCATAACTTGTGGCCCCAAAAGTGTTTACATTCTTACGACGCCTACAAATGAGGCATTTTCACGGCTTCTCGATGACATGAAAGCTGCTGTAATTTCATAACCGTGGAATTCACAATCCTTAGCCAGGCGTAAAAACCATGAACAGCCGACAATTAGCCTTTTCCAATCGAGCAGGGTACTGACTACTGAGTCTAGTCGCGAACCGCAAAGCATCTATGGATCTATATTTCCTGTTCCTCCAAACAGTCCATAGATACTTTGCGGTTCGAGACTAGACCCAGCTCCCTTCTCGATTCGGAAATGGCTGATTTAAAAAAAAAGTAAAAAACGACCTAAAATATGCTCGCCGACTTTGACTAATAAACACATTCGTTTGTCTTTAATTTTTCGGGTCTTTAATTTCGAAATAATCCATTTGTAGCTCGATATTTCTCTTAGCATAATTCCACGATTTCCATTTCGATGACGTTTCAAGTATATCATCTGTTGGCAAGAATTGTTCAACTTTAAGAGCTTTCGTAAGACAATTCGATTGACGTTCAAATAAATTGAGTGCTATTCAATTAAACGCCTGGGTTAAAGAATATCAACAATCTTTCGTTTTATTCGCGATAATGTAACCCTTCTGTTGTTTATTTCTAAGCTATTCTCGTCGCCAATGTTTTGATTTATATTCTAGATATATATGATGAAGTCTACATATTTTACTACAAATGTGTCTAGGTTTATATACAATGATTTGCATATTATAAAACTTTAACTGATACAACCATTCATGCATCATATATCGCGCAACAGTTATTATACCTAAAAATTTATCAAGAGAAGAATCGGAGACAACAAATTTCAAATTAGTTGTTTTAACGGAGTAGTTTTTCGTATTACAGGACCAAAAAGTAAGAACATTAAAGAACAGCACTAAATAGAATGATGGAATCAAACAACAGTTCAACAGAATATACGACATTTGAGAGAGATCTCTCGCTAACGATTGGTATTCTACTGCTGGTAATATCTCTTGCAACAATAATTGCCAACGCACTACTTCTAACTGCCATCTGTTACGATCCTTACAAATGTCTTCGTAACGTACCAATAGTATTTGTAGCAAACCTCGCAGTCGCTGATTTGCTGACAGGACTTGCTGTTGATCCATTGCTTGCTGTTTACAATTTTGGTATTTATCGAAACAAATATTACTTGAGAATACTCCTTGTTTCTTACTTCAACGCTTATTTAACGGTCACCAACGCTGTAGTCACAACCGTAATACTCATCATCGACCGAAGTGTGGCTATTAAAAAACCTTTCCTGTATCGTCGAGTTATGACACTAAAATCAGCTGCAATAATTGTGGCCATTTCATGGATTTACTCTGGATTTTTCTGCACAATTCCTCTGATGGGAATGTCCGAGAAAGCTTATGACTTACTGGATATACATTTGCATGTAACTTTCTCATTTTTCTCATTGACTCTCCTATTTGCTTTCATATACTCCAACTTAAAGACAGAGGAAAGGCAGAAACTGAAAGAAGTCACATCTATGGTAAATATAGACAATGCAACTAAACAAAACATTAAAAGAATGAAATCTGACAGGCGGCTTTTGGTGACAATATTCTTCATCTTATCGTTCTTTTTCCTAACATATTCGCCTTATGCTGTTTTCATTCATTTGGAATATTTCTGCACATCATGCAATAAATCCAAGTTCTATTATTTCCTGAGCAAAACATCTGAGCCTGTAGTGTATCTGAACAGCGTTCTCAACCCATTCATCTACGCGTGGCGACACCAGAACTTTCGTAGGGCTCTCAGATGGGTTGTGAATCTTCTTGGCCGAAGGAGGACGAACGTTCGAAAATATGGAACAAATCGTGGAACCAAGACTGCTAAGGATCGAGTGGTGGCTGGCTCACGGACGAACCTAAGTACACGTGAAGTATCGGTGTCCACTTCTTCATTCGGTCTGTGACGAACACATGCAAGTGATCTCTTGCAATCCTGTGTTACAGACTGCAATATGAAACTGGGTGCTATCGGGTATGAATTGGAATTCATTGATCCATGCAAGAATTCGGATGAAAACAGAGAATGAGTAGTATATCTGCTATGGAGCAAAAATGAAGCCACGGATAACGCGAACGGTGCTAAGATATGAACCACATCAAAAAATCTAGCGAGGTGTTCAGAGCATCTTGAAGACTTAGTTTTCATGTTTTGAATGAAACGAAGAGTATATATAGCGTATTTGCAAGCTTTCATTGCAGATTCACCGGTGAGATACTCTTGCATGCCATTTACACCAATATACACTGCAGTGTCGAAAATTGACTTCATTGAAACTCGTTGGGAGATATTTGAAGCTATATTTCTTAGATTTGAAATCCATCTTTGTTTTTGTGATTGGATGCAGCATTAGTAAAGCTTTGGAGAAGTAACAGGCCCGCATGATTTACTCACATGATAATTGTGAAAAAGTCGTTCAGACAAGATTGTCAGTATAATATTAAATATTTCTTAGTATACAGTTTATTGGTTAGTTTCATCTGTGAATCCTAATTATAGTCCAAACTTCGTCTCCGTAATTCGTGTTGTCTCTAACTGATAAAACCAGTTTCATGCACTTAGAACATTATATTAAATACACAAAAGTTAGTTATATCAGTTAACATGAATGAGACGAACATAATATCCCAAAACGAATTTCCCGCTTCACACTGTAATTTCATTGTAATAACATTACGTAAGAACTATAAGTGCAATAACTATCCAAAATGGCCACCGGCCATAAACAAATGAGATGAACACTGATTTTTTAAATTTTCTACCTGTCCCAAATCAACCTAAAATACGATATATATGGCAAAGGTTTTGAAGAAAATGAAGTTTCTTTGAAATGAAATAAACGAAGGTAAGGAAGGTGATTTTGTATACTAAAATGCAATATGAAAAATGAAGCAGTCAACTAGGAGTTATATAAACCCTCGCTACACACACGACGGGTTTCGCACACGCATCGCTAACACAAGCTTTGGAGCGTTATAAAAATGGCGAACAGATTTCGACAGCTATAATTAAAAACGACTGATTCATAACACTCTTTATAATTGAAATTGTTTCTGTGGTTAGTAAGTTCAGAAAGATACTATCCCAAATTATATATTTGCTTATATATATGAAATTATACATGAAATGCTTTGCTTTGAAAATTTTCGCGATTAAAAAACTTTTCACATGTAAAAAAAACAGAATTTCATTTTTAGAGATCGATATAAAACTGCATGTACACATAGATATATTTGACTACATGGTAAAAATACTAACCAGATCTTCGCGAAATGATTTGTGATCAGTTACAAGGTGCACACATCGAAGAGCATGCACTAGCGATAAAACAGAGTTGTATATATAAATCATTATAAAATGTTATTTATGGCATATGTGGTCATACAACTCATGATCATGCATGAATCCACGCCTGTAACTACATTCCTATGGAAGTTAATTCAATGACATCGACCGTTAATTTCCGGCATTAATTGTATTTAACGCTGTTTGATCCTTGATCAGTTACATCAGGGTCGATAATACATCTGGACGCTCTACTCTAAAATTCAAAATCTTTGAAACTCACGACATTTAAATTATTTTTTTCATAAAAAAAGGGGACATTTTGCTTATATATGTATATATAAAAAGCTGGAATCAAATCCATTTCACGGATGAGCAGACTTGCGAAAACTCGTGAAGAATTTTCAAGGCAGCTTCGCAAGTAAATATATACAAGGCTTAAAATTACAGTTAAAAAGTACATACATCTTCAAAGTACCGTTTGAAACTTAAACGTCGAAAAGGTTAACATAAAAAATGCTGATCTAAGAATTTAGTATACTGTTAAGCAGTTTGAACGTACTTTTTTTCCATATCAAATTTTGGTTCTTGATAAAGTTAGAATGGCGAAGAATATTCATTTAACACGCATCAGTTGGGTGGCCTCGTCGTTCATGATGTTTTCATTATTGATTATAGTCGAAACAACCTCACGGGTGAGTTGAAACTTTTACAAATTTTTTACCAACGTATTTTTATAGCAACTATTTTAGGAAGTGGTTATAAAACATGGCGCTATATCCAACCAACCAGTGTAAACAATTTTTGATATGTTTTTTAGTCACAGTTTTCCGGTATCCATCATTACATGAGTAAAAGAGAATTATCACGTTATTTTGGCACTGATAAACATGATAAAGGTTAGTATAGACTCTTGGCTTTTCACTAATTCGCTAAAACCCTTTGCTAACAATTTGCTGTTAACTTCTCCTGATATAGTTAACCATAGACGGACGACATAATATTAGGGGCATCCAGTTTATTATAGGACGAACTGTTAAGATTTTCCTCATCTCTATATCGCTCAACTGATTTAAAAACTTATTGATCGGGAATTTTATGTTTTGCCGATTAGGCTCCTATTAAGGCCTGTCATGAGTGTCGCATTTTGATAGATGAATAATGAACAATTTCAAATGCTCTGTACTTTAATATTTGAACTTCCGTAACCTTTTTCACATCCATTAAATGACAATAAATCACAGCGGAAATTGCAAGCGGAAATGTTCCTTTAAACAATTCTGAAACATGGAGCACAGGATTACTGCATCTATATCTAGTATAGTTATCTAATCTATAAATCTACAGAATGCTAACGCTAACTTTTCGTGCGCATTTCGATGTATCAGTACCAGATTATGAGGTCGTTCAACCAAGGAAAGTCGATAAAGAGGGTAAATTTCTAAGCCATGAACTCTCACATAAAGACGACTCTCGTGAAGAAAGGAACTTGCATTACAATATCAAGGCATTCGGAGAAAATTTCAACCTTCATTTAAAGAAGAACGATAAACTTTTTGCGAAGGATCTCGAGGTGGAGGTTCTGGGACATCATGGGAAACTTCTTAGAAAAGAAAAAGTTAGGAATTGTTATTACCATGGCCACTCTAAGAATCATCCAAAGTCCAGGGCGACGATGAGTACCTGTGAGAATTTGGTGAGTACATCCGATGCTTGTACAGAGGTTAACCAGACAATATCGCTAGTTACTTCCTAATCAGATCCTCTAAGAAACAAAACGATGGAATACCTCTCTTAGCTACAGTATATATTCCGCAATGTAACCACTGGAAGCAGTAGCGTAGCCAGCCTGTCGATTTGTCCCGCTATGCTAATATTTTAGTGTTCACTGACTGTGAAAACAATAGATTTCTAAAGATTTATAATAACTCGAAATTTACATAGCGGGACAAAATCGTCAGGCTGGCTACGCCACTGACTGGAAGCAAACTGGAAACGTTGTTTCTTATATAGCAGTTTCTCATCCATGTCCTTGAACGCGGTAAACATTAAAAAATTGTTACTTGCCAATTTTCAGGTGGATCGAAGAAGGTATTCTTTCCTGAAAATATTCTCCCAGAGCAAATCTTCAAAACAAATTTATCTTATTGAACGATTATATATAGGCTGGTTCCATTCACTTAAGAGATCAATCATATTTCATTGAACCACTACCAAAGAATATTGTTGAACGGTACAGACGGTCTGCACCAAGTATTAGTAGTAGTGTTCCTCATATTGTTTACAAAAGTGGATCATCCAGAATGACACGACAGGAACGATCGACGGTTACCGAGAAAAAAAGTGGGTTCTGTGGTACAGAAGGTGGGAAGATAATCTCTCAAAATCTCCAAATCCATCCCTAATCTTGGCGCAAGTTGTTTGGGCGTTTTTAGGTTTGGATACAAGTAAGGAGTGGTTCTATGAATTACTACTTGCCATATTCTTGTGTTTCATTTCAGATGATCCGAAGATAAGATTGACCAGGGAATTAGGTCAAGAACAAGAATATGATGATGGTAACAAGGATTCTGAACGATACATCGAAACCTTGGTGGTGGTCGATGAAAAGATGTGTGCATTTCATGGCGAAGATGCCGCGAAACAGTTCACTTTAGCAGCTTGTAATATTGTGAGTTAAACAGTAATTTTATTGAATGAACCTAAATTATATTTATTATAAGCCATTATCAATAGACATATATATTGTCTGGAAATTTGTCAAACTTCAAGGCATCACAACAATGATCAAAGATTTAATATACATTGCAATGTCTCCATAGGCGTCAGGTTTACTAAAAGATTCGTCTATTGGCTCCAATCCAGTAAATCTGGTTATCACAAAAATGCAGATACATACCATGCCCCAGGTATGAAACGTCTAAGTTCATCTTTAAAAAAAACGGAATGCAATATATAGTACACCATGTCTTTAGTCTACGTTCACCCACATCGAAGTTCACACAACTAATCGTTGAATCGTTCATATCATCCTCCAGGAAGGATTGTTGATCAACAATCACGCTATGAATTCATTGTCAAGTTTTGGGAAATGGGCAGAAAGAAATACGGTGCCAGATGACTCTGATCCACAACATTACGACTACGCAACTCTATTCACTAGGTTCGTTTGATAAAGAAGAAAGAAATAACGATAAATATCCAACTACGTCAACTCGAGTTGTAGAAAGATTAATGAGAAATTTGCTTGCATTTAGATACGACATTTGTAAAGATAAAAATCAACCCTGCGATACACTTGGTAAGTACACACACTCATGTATAAAAAGTCTCCTACGATGTTTCCGCGTGGTTCAAATACTATCAGTTATCGAGAATGCTGTCATTTACTAATAAAATTCTTTTCACCGTTAGGTGTAACCAATGTTGGGGGAATGTGTCAGTTTCCTAGCTCAGTGTCCATATGCGAAGATAATGGTCTTATGGTGGGAAAGACGCTTGCACACGAAACTGGTCATTCGTAAGTAGCTACTCGTGGATTACGTCAAAAACATCTGCTATACAACTGTTTGAACAACTAATTTCTGTTTAGTCTTGGCATGAACCACGATTCGCGGCCCTTTTGTGGTGATAGTCAGAAAATGATGTCATTACATCCAGAAGGAAGCGATGCTTTTGAATGGTCAAAATGCAGCAGGATGTTTCTTAAACAGTTTCTCGAGTAAGTGGATTGAAAAGCAATCACTGCTGCCTAGGTAGCAGTATATTAGCTATTGTTATATAGGTGCTGTGTATTTTAAATCTGATTGGTTCATTCGTAGTCACATGACTTTAAATAAATGCAATGTTTCCCGCCAGGGGAAACAAGTGAAAAATTTTTGCCCGCTTCTTGTCATAACAAAATAAAGGGGGTTTTTTTAATGAAATTGTTATGTAACATGTATGTCTTTGTTCCTATATAACAAAACACTTAATGTACACTACCTCGGGAAATAGTGAGTTTTGTTTTCCCTCGAGTCTCAATGTTTCCCTCGACTTCGTCTCGAAAAACATTCAGACTCTTGGGAAAATAAAACTCACTGTTTTCCTCGGGAGTATATATTGAGTGTATATTGTTTCCCTACACGTAAAATATTGGTAGCATGGTCTACAGAGACCTGGAGAACACCTGAGGTGTTTACCTGGAAACACATTATCGATATGATCCAACCCCAAACCTAACCCATCAAAGAACTAATAAACTCAAAATATAATCAGGCAACTACGTATAAGACAGAAACTCACCCCCCTGTACCGCCTGGAGATATTAAACATATGAAATCTTACTCACCTAATTTCTTTTTAACTTCACTGATTTTATTTTTAGTTCTAGTGATTCTCACTGCTTGGAAGATAAACCTATGATAAAACAAACAATCAATCTTCAGATGTTTAACGATCCTGGTCTTCTCTATAACGCTGATCAACAATGTGCGTTATCATTTGGTGAAGGAGCTAAATATTGCAAAGAAAAATCTCCTGAGGTATAAGAATATACAATGAATATAAACATCCCATTATTCCTGCATATCTCAAGTAATTCTAAACTGTTTTAACCTAAGCTAACTTTATTGACACTTGTTAGTCCTTAGCTCACTAATGTATTGATGCCTGAACTACTCTTCCCAGGAAATGTGCAGTAAGTTATGGTGCTCAGTCCCCTCGGGAGAAGGCAACAACTGTCGTAGTATAAATCAACCACTCGCTGATGGTACCAAATGTGGAGAGCAAAAGGTATAAATAGAGATGGCAACTAAATGTACTCATTATCTGTTGCTCTGTTTTGCCATGTGCAGAAGGTTTTGCTCCGGCGAGCTTACGCAAGCCCTTAAATTCATACAAAAGCAAATTTTTTTAGTGGTGCAAGCGAGGAAAATGTGTAGAGAAATATACAGAAGGACCTGATGCTATTGATGGAGGATGGTCAAAATGGTCTCAAGATTACACTGAATGCACACGAACTTGTTCGACTGGTGTACAGTACAGGACCAGACAATGTAACAATCCTCTGTAAGTCGAAGTGTATACGTATCCGTTTGCTTTACGGTTCATGCTAACAAAATCAACGACACTTTTGACTGCCTTCGTTATGCCGAAATTAAGGTTTCATTGTCTGATGCTAAACGATTTTCTCGTCATTGGTATAATAATGACTGTTTAATGGGTAAATAAAGTTATATGTTAGTGTTCCATGGCCTGACAATATAAACTATAGACTACATATAAGCATTATATTAACGCTAAATAATGAAGGTTAAACAAAAATTTCGTGTTTTTTTTTCTAGACCAACAAACGGAGGGAAGTTTTGCGAAGGTGAACACAGAGAATATCGGCTTTGTAATACAAAGGTAACAGCGTGGAGCTACACTCTGATCCATATTTTCAACTTGGTCTACACGGCTATATCTTAATAACCGCGGTTTTATTTCTCCAGAAATGTGAGGATGAAACGAATTTTAGAAACGTTCAATGTGAAGAGAAGAATAAAGAAATGTTCAATGACAAGTTCTTCGAGTGGGAATGGAGACCTTCAAACCTCTGTAAGTTTCCCTTTATGTGGGATGCATCTTAATTGGTGTTTAATAGAATAGAGTGATTAGAAAATTGTGCGTTACACGGGTCAAACATGTTCAGAAACGTTGAACACAACAAACTTAAATCAATGTTTCATAAGCACCTGAGAAGCAGATATATTATCATGCAATCTCTTAGACCTCTGTAAAAACCCATCATTCTAGTGAACAAATGTACGTTGGGATGTTTCATAAAGAACACTGACCAAGGCTATGCATTTGGAAATGTGGAGGATGGTACAAACTGTGATGATGATACTGATGATAAATGCGTCAATGGTGATTGTATGGTAGGGATGGCGGTTTTGTACTGTATAATTATTGTGTTTTTGTTTTGCATGCATGTAAACACTCTGGAGTTAGTTGTTCAAAGCTGGGTTAGCGCTAACCCTGGGTTAAATTTTAATCCATTTTTTTAGTCTATGTGTCTCTGAACCACTGTTCGTTTTAAGAGTTTAGAAAATATGACTTCTATTGGTCCAGAAAATATTTATGAAAAACGATATTCAACTTTGTAAACAAGCAATTAAAAAAGTTAATGTAGAGATTTGCTTTAACCCAGGGTTATAAAGCTAACCGGCCCCTGAAAGCAGTTTATAAGCAGAGAATACTGCGTTTAAAACTTCGACTATACACACACTCTCCATACACACTACCACCAATAGCTGCAGGTCTGTTCTAAATTATCCAATCAAATTCTAGCCCATCGGATGCGATAGTGTAATTGGCTCTTCAGCAAAACTGGACAGATGTGGTGTTTGCAATGGCGACGGTAGCACGTGTCGCTATGGAAATAACACTGACGAAGACCTAAAGGCCAACTTAACACAAAAGTACAAGGAACAAGGGCGCACTTTTAAAAAGACGCTTTCACTGCTAAAGAATATGGGCTACGGAGTTCCTGAAGACTACGCCTCGGCCAAGATCGATGAAGTTATATCAGATTTTTACTGGGCTGTAACCAAAACTGGTTGTAGTGCAACGTGTGGAGGAGGTCAGTTCATATAGTTCGCTAATTACCACGTGATCTTGCGCTCATATTTTAGCCAATCAGCGCTCAAAAGAGTTGTCGAACTTTTTATGAAACTAGGCGAACTTTTATTTTATTTATATACTGTAGCTTTGACATGAATTTGAAACCGAAATAAAGTATATTTCAAGAGCATTTAAGTTGTCTGTTTCAACTGAGAAATGAATTTTATTCAACAACTAGTACCAATCCTTTCCCGCTATTTCAGATTACCTAGTAAAGGTTGTCAGTCGAGACAACGGTTATTAAGGTTTAGATTCCAGATATGTATTTGTCTCTAGGTTCTCTCTTCGTTGCTTTGAAATGAGACTTTCTAAATTGATACAACTGAACAATTACCACTCTTGCTAACTTATGATAACACTAGATACTAAAGATGTGAAACATTATAGGACTGGAAATGTCAAAGTCAGAGTGTCGTCGGTCAGATGATGGGTCTCCTGTGGCAGAAAAATATTGCGACGTGAAAACAAAACCAACAGATAGAACAGCACGATGCAATAGGGGGCCTTGTCAACCAGAGTAAGATATGTTATCAAAATAATGATGACCCGTTTAGTTCAACAAGCCAGTAGCACTCACGTCTTTCACAAAATAAGTTTACAAATAAGACAGCGTGAGATAGTCTTTAAGGGGCTGTTTACATGGGCTCAGTTACCCGAGATTCAACGAAGCGTGGGAGAACTTTGAGGTAATGAAATAAGTCTTTATGACACCAAACAAGGACATGTTATTGTTCTGGTGATTATACTACTTCCAAGATCATGTCATCTGCTCAGTTTAATACCTCAAAATCATCTCACGCTTCGTTGAGTCTTGAGTAACCGGGCTCATGTAAACGGCCGCTAAAAGACTTATGAGATACCAACTTACTGTAGAGTTAATTAAAACATTCTTTTGTGGGAAAAAAGTGGGCTTATAGCAGGTCCGGTTGATGTAAAAAGCCACTTAATACTATAGTAAAAAAGGCTCAGAAAACTATTCATAACAGACTCCTGCGTCGTTTACGAGAAACGTCACCACAGCTTTACCAATTTTACTCTTATCCTTAGATGGCGAACAGACAGATGGGATGACTGCAGTAAAACGTGCAATGAAGGTACACGAACAAGACATGTTCGATGTGTTCAAATTGTGGATGATGGAATTGAGTATGACGTTGAAGATGAAATGTGCGACGAAGCAATGAAACCAAATACGAAAGAAAAATGCAACAAACAAGAATGTAGACCAGAGTGGGTGGCGCAGCCTTTTGGAACGGTTAGAGACGATTATTCTGTTCATAATAAATCATTGAAATAGACTTGTTCTCACACAAATAACTGATTTAGCCTATAAAAAATGAGGTAGACCCGTCTAAGCACATTTCTGTTTTTGTACTCTTTCATTGGCAAGGAAAATTGTCTAGTGAGCAGACGTGATGTGCAACTACTGTAGTGGCATTGTCATTAATTGCTCGAGTAAAAATGGTAATCAGATATAACTTCATAATGGAGGGAGATAAGAGACTGAATGTCCATATTTTGCTATTCGTAGTGTTCTACCAGCTGTGGTCGAGGTGTTCAAAAAAGAAAAATCAGGTGTCAAAAAGTAAACAAAGACGGCGATACAGTTGATGTTAATGAGGGAAAATGTTCGGATTTTATAAAACCTGTTAGTGAAGAATATTGCAACGTGCATAACCCTTGTCCAGGAGGTAAAGACTTTCAGCCATTTTGTTCAGCCATTTTAGAAAGGTCCGGAATAAATCATTGCATTGCAAGCTAATGGGATTAACAAGAGACATTGAAAAATAGTTGTGTTAACACATTAACTGACAGTACTGTCCCTTTTAGACAGCGTAAAATACTAAAGTAGGGAACATCTGCAAGCTACTGGGTTAAAATATCCATTTTACAATGTCAGATAATGGAAAATAAGAAAGATGATGAATAGGGTTAAGACATTTTTTATTTCATTAGGTGAGTGTGGTGGTAAACACAACCAAAAAAAAGGATATATCACAAGTCCTGGATTTCCAGATAAATATCCCAACGGCAAAGAATGTATGCACTCCATCAGTGTCCCAGATGATAAAGTTGTTAAACTTGTATTTAACAGGTTGGTGAGGTTTAATATTACGAGCTTGTCAAGATTGCCTGGATGTGGGAAATTCTATGCCAGATAAAAACTGATTTGTGTCTTAAACGTGTATAAACGTGTTCAAAACTGTTTTTATTTAGCTTTGACTTAAGCGGTGGTGTAAACAGCGAGGTTGATGGTGCTTGTACTGGGGATTTTGTCAAAATAGTGGATGGTGATTGTAGTTTTGGTGGTCCGGAGACACGTTACTGTGGCCAACATAACACAGCACCATTCCTATCAACTAGAAACAAGTTGTGCGTGAAATTTTTTTCGGATGAGTCAAGGAACAGTAAGGGTTTTAATGCCTCGTTTGAAGCCGTGGAACAACCTGCCAGACCAAAAGATCCTTGTGGTTCAATCATCAGCGCTACAGTTGGTCTTCTTGCCTCACCCAACTACCCTGAACCGTATCCAACCAATGAAATGTGTAATATGACAATCAAGACTTTGGAAGGTCCGATCCTATTGAAGTTTCAGTATTTTGATATAGGAAGAGATGAGTAAGTATGTAATACTAACAGTTCACATGTATCATAGTTTTGTATCTTCTGTGTCGAATGCTTGGTAAGACGCTGTCAGTCGATGGTCGGGTTAATAAAGCATCCAAATGGTTTAGTAGCGACGGTCAGGTGAGAAGTAGAGAAGGTCAGGTGTAGCCTCGTACCCAAGGTCTCTTTACCTCCGCTCCACGTACCACGCTGCGGCGGTCTCTCCCCCCCTCTATAACACAGCGAAATTATCCTGGGTACGAGGTTGGGTCAGATGGTGATATATCCCCCTCCTTCATAGACAAACTGTGAAAAGTCTGAAATATGCCTTCGAAATATCTTGAAATCAGTTTGGTTTTTCCTGAAAAGTCACGTCTTACAATTTAAGGGATTTTGATAAATATATAAACTAAGCTTGCCATTTTTTGTGACCTGTGCACCTGCAATGATTCGGTGCCATTTTAGCACTTTGTTTAAGCCCAGGGCAGAGGGACACAGCCTCTCAACCTCCCTGCCTGCCTGTCATTCATCAAGGCATTTTTTTGCAAAAAATTTTATGAAAGTTGACATGTATTATTGATATATACAACGCTGTTCTTTTCTTCATGTTTGTTGTACATTTGAACTTATAGTGATTAATTGTTACAGCAGTTCTTATTACAGAGGCAGAAAAAAAACACTGAAAAGAATAGATTGCCCTAAACCTGTGACTCCTAGTATACATGCAGTGCCTTTACAGTAACCTTATTACCCCAATAATAGAGCTCATTGCAGAGTCTTAATTACTTTATCTAAGAATGATGAAAAACCAGTTTTAAAGTTTAACTGGTTTAAAGTCCAACCAGTTTTGTATCCTGTGGCAGATCTAGGGTTGGGCAAAATTCATTGAGTTTTATATTTAAAATACTTTATTAAAATGCTATTGGTAATAGATCTCCATAGAGTATTTTGAAATAAAAATCTACCTATGCAATGGCAAATTAGACTTGTAGTAATTCATTCTGTCCTACCCTGGTTGCACCACTAGCCTACACCACAATAGTTGTTCATGGTCCTCGATCCTCCTCCTAAAATGATCTTTTTTACAGCACCTGTGATGAGGATTACCTGTTGTTACAAGGTGACTCAGATGCAACAAAACTTTGCGGAAGTAATCTACCCAAAGCCTATAACAGCAGTGGCAACATACTTAAGCTAAGTTTCAAGTCTGGTCAGCAAAGTGTGAATAAACTTGGTTTTATTGCAACCTATGTCTCTGGAAAAGGTATTTATTTGTGTCATCAGATAAACATTTTCGTATGAAATAAGATCAATTAGTTCCAGCTTGTTTTGTCTGTTTGGGACTGCTTTTCTTACATATTTCATATAGCTATATCCGCACAATATAAAATATTCAAATAAAAAAATATATAACTTATTATATAAACATTATCCATAGTAGTAGCTTTTGCAGATAAATGAATTATGAAGCAACTTGTGTACAAACTAGTTATGACAAACCATTGTACCAATCACAAGACATTATCATTATTTTAAAGAACTAATGGAGAAGTCAAATGTTCAAAATGAGAGCAAAAGTGATGTAAAGCCAAACAAACTTTCAGAAATAAATCCAGTGAATGATTTGACGGACAGCGTAAGAGGTATTATATTTATCAGCATGCTAGCTAATTATTACTCGAGTCTCTAGCCTAAACTCTCTGAGACCAAACACGATGTCAAAATTACAAAATATACAAGCTGTGTATTGGACCATTCGTTGCAACACAAACAATTTATTGGAAAACATTTGATATCTACAATACAGTAACGTCAAGAAATAATTACCCATTGACTCACCAAATATAATTTTTTTCAGATACCATTCCAAGACCTGAATATAACACCCAAAATGGGCCACAATTTATGACAATCCCATCCAATTCATTGGACAACAAAGAAGGTAAACTGTTCATCTTTAACAATATAACGTATATTTTCAATCAAACTTGTCGATAGCTTTGTAATAAAAACAAAATCTCAGATTTAAAACTGAAAGTCATAATTTTAAACACACGTGCATTTGACGCTTTGCTTGCAGTCGCGAAAGAGGAGATCAGCAGCCATACGAGTGAGGGTACGTCATATTGTATTTATATTATATTTGTAAAATGTGGGTATATTCTAAGTCCATCATTCTTATTAAATGTGATAGCAGCAAATTAAATTATTAACCGAACGGTAGTATTTAAGAAGTACTACTAAAAAGTATTTGCGAACAAATTTGAAAGACTCGCAACTCGCTCTTGGGTTTCAATCGCCGCCTTCGAGGTGTGAATCTTTACTATCTCACGACAACCTGCCTCTAGTAACCAGTCACAGACAGACAAAATATCAAATCAAACAATGACCTAATTGTTATCTTAATATATCGTAGTCGGGAGACTCCATGTAAAATAAGGAACGTTTTGCCGTTTCTTTGTCGAAGAAACATGAAAAAGAATGTATTTGTTCTTTGTTTACTTGTGTTTTTCTTAGTTCATGCATCTGGAAAGTCTACTGGGAAAGATGAGAAGGCTAAAACGAAGAACGCTTCAGTAAATACAGTGACTGGTGGTAAGGATTATAAGTGAACGAACTATGGCTATTTGTCTTACGGCGTTCTCAAATAATTCTAGTGTTATTCAGCTACAGTTCTGTCATTAGCCAACAATCTATTTTGTGGAAACATATTTTAAGGAATCAGTTTCAAAACCGCTGCACAGAAATTAAGAACATAGCGATTATATAAGTTTTGCTTTCTCTCTTTCATCATCATTCATGTTAGATTTAGTACTGCGATATCTAAGGCGGTTTAAATAGTTTCAGCACTTCGCCTTTAAATAATCTTTCAGTTAAGAAAGAGCTTTTATAACTATACGGCTTTGAGATGAAATACATCATCTTTTCTGAGGATATTATTGACACTTCGAAAATGTATCACCCAAAAGCAGTTGATCATTAGGATCAAGGGCATTGAAGTCACGGCTGTCCACTGCCCTTAACTAATCCTGAGACATGCAGGTGGGGGCAGCCTGGCGCCTTTTTGTACCATATAGCAATAACCTATACATTCAGATTCACCGTTAGAGATAATTCTTACTTTTTTTAAGATGCCAAAAAAAGCAAAACTGAAACAAAGGAGACGAACAAGGGTTAGTTTGAACGTTCGTGTCGACCCAATGAAACGTATCATCAATAAAACAAATTCAACAATTGTATTTATCTCTATATATCCCTATGCGTTTTCAGAGTCATCGACAAGACAAACAGTACTTCGACCACTTCAAAGCGTCCTGGAACAATCTGGGGCATTAATGACACGAGGTTAATACAATAAATAGCATATTTTCATTAACACAATACAAAACAAGGAAATCCAGCGATGAACTTTTCATGATATATTACCTCTTAAAAAAAATTCCACGTGATTTAAGTTTTTTGGGGGTTTCTTTCAGGGCAATGTCCAGACCCATCAAAACTGTCCTGTCTAAATCTGCTATATTCGTATCCTTGTCAAAGTAGTACTGCTTGTCAGTTGAGGGGAATGGATTGTTGTCCGACAAGTTGTTCGTACGGACCCAGTATGTGCGTACCAAAAGGTAAATGAATTATAAATACTTCAGTCATCGAAGTAAGTTGCACTTGAACACTCGGTCGATAGAACGAGATAGTAGAATCCAAAACAGAAAAGAGAATAGAAATTTTATCGTAAGTGTTTAAACTGAATAAAAGACGATAACCAAACACCTGAGGCAACCTACATGAAAAATTTACTTAATGAGGATAAATACGTATGTTCAGACTTTAGTTATCAAGACTTCTTTTCACTTTAGTTTGGCGAGAGTGTCCTTTGCTGACACCCTACATCACAAAGGTCCTCCAAACCTGCGCGACGACTGCTGACTGTGAAGATAACCATATTTGCTGCATTGACATGCTTGGAAGACGATATTGCCATAAACACCAAGCAATTGATAAATAGACGTCATTACACAGCACAAATTTTTTGAAATTAATGCCGGATAACAGGAAGATAAAGACAGGCGGAAAATATATACGGTTTTCCTGAGCCGGACCTATCATAAGATAATTTAGGTCCTAAAATAACTGATTTTTGTCAATTCTGACTGTAAATATCGTTCATTTAGCTCTCGCCCGATAAAAATGTTAAAAAACTTATTTTTGTACGCCTAGAAGGTAAATTTATAAAGAAAACTTGAAAAAAAGAAACACGCAAGTGTGTTGGCTGATGTTATTGCTTATGTGTTAACTTCGTTGAATATTCGCATAATATGATATGTTGTTACTAGGTTGTTTTTTGCGAGGGCCCCTGAGAACCAACAATGCATGCAAAACTGAAACCTTTTTTCTTCTCTCAACTGCTCGGGACCAAATCATCCGGTCAGCGTCATGTGCACATAATTTGCAAATCATTACAAATCTTTGAAAATCACAAACTGACACAAAAGCATATACACAAAAGTAGATCACGGCTAACATAAATTTCTGTTGTGAAGGAGTTTAAAATACTGCATAAAATTTTACGTTTTATAGCAGAACTTTAGCCATATATAGAATTCAGCGATGTATGAATTTAGGATTAAGAGAGCATGATGATTGATTCGGCAAAGAATGCTCGTTCAATTTAAAGGATCATTGCAATTTGATAAAGTAAATTTGCTTTAGACAACACCAGAAATGCAACAGGCGAGAATAACCGATACCCATATTTTGCAGACGCGCTCTCGGGAAATCTGGATACAAAATGCTCATTGTCTTCGCATTGCTTCGCGCGGTCCATGTCCAACTTAAGGCCATGTTACACGGTGCAATTTTTCTTGCAACTTGCAATGCAATTCTACTTTTAAGAGATGTAAATTAGTGAAGAGTCTTCAAAATGTAAGTGTAAGAAACACCATGAATGTAATGAAGACAAAAGTTTGGTAGTTGGCAAAATTTAATTTAAATCTCTCAAAAGAAGAATTGCATTGCAAGTTGCAGGAAAAATTGCACCGTGTAACATGGCCTTTAGTGTTCACACGATCCAATATCTGATATTGATCTAAAAGGCTATCAAAACTCTAACAAAATATTGATTTAATGTTTTTCAAGTGCAATGAGTTCATATTCCAATGACGTTATATAATTCAATGAATATTACTTGAATATGAACGTCGGTATATGATACACATGCATATATATGACCTAAATTACACAACAATCATCCGGTCAGCGTCATGTGCACATAATTTGCAAATCATTACAAATCTTTGAAAATCACAAACTGACACAAAAGCATATACACAAAAGTAGATCACGGCTAACATAAATTTCTGTTGTGAAGGAGTTTAAAATACTGCATAAAATTTTACGTTTTATAGCAGAACTTTAGCCATATATAGAATTCAGCGATGTATGAATTTAGGATTAAGAGAGCATGATGATTGATGTTCAAAAGGAAAACGTGTGACGACAAAAGATTCTAGGTACTGGGCGCTTTAAAGCCATGCAGGCATATATTCCCTAGCTAAAATAAATCATCGAATGTTAAGACAACGGTCTTGCTCTAAAAGTCCTCAAAGTTTGTAGTCTTAAACTAGTTAAGTCATGCACTTATACAACAGTTTCAAGGGAGTGACATGCTGTCTAATTACTATAGCTGCTGATAAAACTTAATTTTAACTGTCAGGAACAGTTATCGAAAAGTAAAAAACATGATATTAATCAATGTAGGCATCAACGTAGCATATATAGGTTCACTTATCTTTGTTTATATTTTTATAACAACAAATGGCCAACCGGTCGTACACCTGCCGTGTTTTGATTTCAATTTTCTCTACGGAAATCAAAACTTTCTCAAGGCTGTAAATATTAGGGAATAACGTTTGTATATTTTTATAATGTGGTAAAAAATAAGAAACAAAAAAGGAAATTGAGGCATCGATACGGCACCATAAAATTCGATGTAATCGAGTATAAAAAGGTAAGATTCTTTTGTCAAGAATTTGGTAAAATAAATTCGCTTCAGCCATTAGTTTTTCATAAATACGTTGAAAATTGATTCTCAAGACCTTTATTTAGCTTGTTCTTTCATGTCGCCGACTGTCAGCAATCTATTGTTGGCGGTCAGTGATAAGCAAAGCAGATTTATTCACAATGACAATAACAAAGCAGTTTATTCCTCAGTGATCACCGATTCACCGGCGATTAACATTGCCGCCAACTGTCGGTGACCCATGGGAACCAGGCTTTAATTGCATGGTCACGCTATGTATTATCGGAAGCATTATCAAATTTATATATTTTTGGTTTTTAAAGCCCTGTTTCCACGGGCGAAATTTTCAAGCGAACTCCGAAATTTCACCTAGAAAAAGTGCCCGTGAATTAGACCCAAACAGAAGTTCTTATACTCCCCATTACTGGGTCCCAGTACTACAATTTAACTGTATATAATTGTAATTCTTGGGAATAATCTTTCTTCTATATTTAAAGAAATCCTGTAACGAATATTCTTAACAATTTCAAGGTTTGACGTGATAATGCTTCTAAAACAGCTTATTACACTCGTCGTAATATTCATTTGTCTTGAACAATGTTTTGGAAGGAGGTTGAAGGTATGGAGCCTTGTTTTTTAATCGTATTTCTCTCTATGTTATAACTTTGATTATGTCATTTTTACTTGGATCTTCTTCAAATACTGCTGTGCTTTTTGTTCAGGTAAAGGGGCTGAAGACAGATACTAAGAGTGATGGGCGTGGCATTATACATCGAGGTATGCCTACTGTACACAGTAAATGCATGAGAGAAATATAGTTCGAAATGACCCACTTGATGAAACTGATGACCCACTTTTATTGCGGCCTCATCAGTTGGAAAATCTTTTGGACTCAGATCCCAGTTTTAATCTGTAGGAATGTATGCATTTGTATTTTAGTTTGCCCGTCAAAAGTAAAACTAAACTGTGCCAACGTGATGTACTCCAAGACATGCAACGGAAATTATGATTGTTCATATGCTGGTCCACAGTTTGTTTGTTGTGAAACTGGTTGCACTGGTGATTCAAAATTTGTTTGCGTTCCTGAAGGTAGGGACGTTCGATATATGGTCACCGTATTGGTTGTTACCCTTCGCTCCATCCAGTTTGACATCGCTCTATCGATCATCGGCTTACTCCATATCGAGAACCAAACCCTAAAAGCAATAGTTATGCCGGCTATGGTTTTTATACCAACGCATTGAAAGAGACAGTTGTTCAGTGTGTTGATAGTTCTCAACCAACTTATAGCTCTTGCTGGATTTCTAGAACAGTTTACTGAAAACTTATTAACCTAAGTTAATTATGACAAATTTTCTCAGATGCTCCCAACTTCGATGTAACGAAGGTTATTTGGACCTCGTCTTAAGTTTCTTTAGAGCATTACTCGGAGAGAAATCAGCTTACATCTTTATCACTCTATATCTTTGCAGAGAACAGCAAATGTCCATATTTACAGCCAATCACCTTCACTGGATTGAGAAAATGCAACGTCGGAAATGACTGCGAGAAAGGCTTTACATGTTGTTTTGACATCGCCGGAAAAGGATATTGCCATAAACCCACACAGGAAGAAATGATGGAAACCTATTAGTTCAGGTCTGGGATGTCCCATGAGTGCGAAGACTTCGCACGGAAAAGATGCCCAGGATCACAAATACATCGTTATCTCTCTGGACAGATCATTTTTATGTGCATAAGTCAAGTCATAACGTTAAGGGTCTGATTTTGGTAGATTAGATAATATATACCTTATCTTTAAATCATTCGTACACGATGGCCTCGTTTTCGACGAAGCACGATATTCGTGTCGTAGTAACATTTCTGTTAAGTTTCGGCAAAGAATGCTCGTTCAATTTAAAGGATCATTGCAATTTGATAAAGTAAATTTGCTTTAGACAACACCAGAAATGCAACAGGCGAGAATAACCGATACCCATATTTTGCAGACGCGCTCTCGGGAAATCTGGATACAAAATGCTCATTGTCTTCGCATTGCTTCGCGCGGTCCATGTCCAACTTAAGGCCATGTTACACGGTGCAATTTTTCTTGCAACTTGCAATGCAATTCTACTTTTAAGAGATGTAAATTAGTGAAGAGTCTTCAAAATGTAAGTGTAAGAAACACCATGAATGTAATGAAGACAAAAGTTTGGTAGTTGGCAAAATTTAATTTAAATCTCTCAAAAGAAGAATTGCATTGCAAGTTGCAGGAAAAATTGCACCGTGTAACATGGCCTTTAGTGTTCACACGATCCAATATCTGATATTGATCTAAAAGGCTATCAAAACTCTAACAAAATATTGATTTAATGTTTTTCAAGTGCAATGAGTTCATATTCCAATGACGTTATATAATTCAATGAATATTACTTGAATATGAACGTCGGTATATGATACACATGCATATATATGACCTAAATTACACAACAATCATCTATTTTTCATTTTACTCTGTATGTTTTAAAAAGTGGGCTAGCGGCTATGCAAATCACAGAAACAAGTGTCGTAAAATTAGTGTGTTTTTAATGCACACCACCCTTTGGAAACTAAGCCTTTGAATAAATCCAACTTAATTCCAAACGGGTTTTTAGCTCATACATGTATACCTTTATCAGTCCCAACCTGTCGTCACTCTCTATGTGACGATCATTGATTTTGAAAGGATGGATTTGTTTTCATTTGAATACCTGCTCAAATCCGATTTTATACCAGCTATAGCTGTTAGCTTGAGATTGTTTGGAGAAACAAAATTTTTTTCCAAATCCAAAACATTATGACAAACCGATAAGATATAGACAATAAAGTCAACATTGAAGTCAACATTGAAGAATTTCTCTTCGCCGCATCAACACTAGTTTCTTTGCTATGAAAACGTAGACTCTGTCATACAGATAGTTTAAGAATTCGACATAGTTCATTATGCGATTCAAGTTTTTGTTATTAACATTCCTATATTCGCAGGTAAGCTCGCAAAAAATGTTTTATTTCGTTCTAATTTTGAACTTACTGTTTATAAGGCCTATTAATGAGAACTTCGACTCTCTCTTTGTATAGATAACATTGGCGCAAAAAGGTGAAATTCAATATTTGTTTTATTAATTATTGTATATGGTTTGATAGGGGAAATTCGTATATGGTTTGATTGAATATTATAATTTGATGACCAAACGTTACAAAAAATGAAACTCAACGAGTTCTGCTCGCTGTCAAACAACGAAGATGTTCGCTTTTGATAGAAATTTATACATTGTACCAAAAATATTGTACCATGGGGGCAACAAATACAATAGAAATTAGTGAGATAACGAACTGAACATTCGCATTCTAGATTTGTGTCCACCTAAGTCGAAGATCAACTGTTTAAATACATTGTATCTGTTCCCGTGTCGAAATGATAAAGATTGTTCAACGAGAGCAAGTATGGTTTGCTGCTCTACAAATTGTCCTGACTACTCTAAAAAAATGTGTGTTTCACGCGGTAAGTATTATAGAATATATACATGTTGTCTTTTATGAGTTATGGATGGACCTTTTCCCTATTAAACTATATTAAAAACTAAGGAATATTCATAAAAACTGGAAAGAGTATTTTAAAGTGTGAAAAACATGAAAATAATGCCGTGTTCGTTGGCAAATTTTGTATGAAATATCTTAACGGTATACACATAAACAGAAAGTTTAGGGGAAGTAGAACAGGGAAAAGGCCAATACAACCATGAGAATAAATATACCAATACCACCAAATATGTATAAAATGTCATCTAATTTTTACTCTCTTCATATAGTGACGGATTACTGTCCGTTTCAAACGGCCTATCATTTTGGCAAGTCATGTGAACGCACGAAAGACTGTGGTAAAGATATGATGTGTTGTAGAGATATATTGGGAAATGGATATTGCCATCACGAATGAGGTTTGTAGGCAATTGCAATGAAACGTCAAATATACAAGAGGTTTTGGACTTTTCGAGCTATTAAAGGACCTAGCTGGTAATAGAATAACTCTTCTGACGAAGACAGATCGAAACTTCGAGAATTTTTTAAATTTTAGGCAATAGAACTTTTCAGCTTGTATGCAAATTAACCCATTTCAAGTCATATGGTCTGAAATGGTTAAATTAACTATTCCATGGTCACAACATCTGAAATGGGTTAATTTGCATGCAAGCTGAAAAGCTCTATTGTTGCGCTGAACATTCGAAAAAACTAACGCGCTCCTCTGTGATTATTTTTTAAACGTATCTTACACATTTAACTGTCCTTTTATTACCTGGACAGGCTGGGCTGTGAAAACTCTTTTTATTTGCGGCATATGAGAAATTCAACGAAGACAAATAGTGCAATAACTGCAAAAGGCAATATTTATTACCAATATTTACAGTACGTCGAGAGGTGGGGCAGGTCGCAGAGAAATATTTCAGTTCGGTGCTTGAAATGTTACTGTGGCGTTAATTTGAAGCCTTATGAAACACGAAGAAAAAAGTTTTTAAATAGTCGCCAATGGCATTTCCACAGTCTCAAATCTCTTTCAGTAAACTGGTCGAGGAAACATTTTCTTAAAATTTCTTGGCTGCAGGGCACTGCCTCCTATGAAAGTTCCTCTAGTAAAAAAGCCAATTCCCCATCCTCTCTCGACGCTAACGAATATTTAACCCTATACATAAGCTATAAACCAAAAAAATTAGGCCTATATGTAGTATGTGCCTACGTGGAATTCATAGTTCCCTAATGCTCTATCAAAATCTAGACCATAACCTGGTTGATATAACCGTCCTCTTATAACGTTACAATACAATCACGACTTTATTATTATGACATCATTGCTACGCCTCATTTGAAATTTCATTACATTTTATAAAAACTATAAACTAAAGCAACCTATTTATCGTTTCTAGAGTTTAGAGTCGAATGACTTCCTTGGTGACCACGCAAACAAGGGATCAAATTTCCACTCTTCATCCTCTTGCTGTCCCCTATTATCCCTTACACTCTCTACATTCTCCATACTGAACTCTTCCGTGAAGAGCTCTCGCTCATTAAACGTAGGTTCATCGGCAAAATTCCCCAGGCATATGATTAAGAGGAGTACTACTAGGATAAATAATATCAGGGCAACACCTGCGAGCTGACCAGGTAGAAGACGTTCGCGTTTTTCTGTAGGATTTTCTGTGTACAAAAAACAATTCATAATAAAAATAAAAGACATAGTAGTCCAGTATGGCAGTATCCATTTTATACTACATGAAACTCTAAAAGATTTCCAGTGGTTATGTTTGAACAAGGGATTTGTAAATATGTACATATAGCGTTAGTAATAACATGTATATCAAATAAATAAAGTATGACATCAAATAAAGTATCTTTACAGAAAGGCTAACCAACCTTTAGTCCATGCTTTGAAGTGATTGGGATCGACATCTAAAGAGCCCACGCGTCCTGTTTTTACAGCAGTTTTAAGCTTCGCCAACGACGTCTCTGCGTCACTACTTGAGGCCGGTCCCATGGTAATCTCCATTGTTACTTTACGGCTGCTCGGACTAGCAATGACCGAAAATATCATTATTCATTAAGACATAACTACTATATATCAATGCCACATTGCAACGTAAGGAGGACTCAATTCCTCAAATACGAACTACCTACCGCTTCATTTTTAAAAAATCTGTTCTATTATTATTTTTCCTAACAGTAAAACTCACTAAAAAGCCTCCTAAGTAAAAGATCCCTGCATGTTTAACCCTTCACCTACAAACGGGATCTCAGGGAAAACTAAAACCTATTTTGCAGTTCTATAGAGGAAAACAACTGAAGTGTGATGATAAAACATGCATCATTTGATAGAGAAAACACAACGCTCTGCTGTGACTATTTGGACAACAAACCTTATCTTAACAACTTTACATCCTTTGTAATTTATGTCGTCTTTCATTGTTGAATCAATCTGAAACATTTTAACCAATATATTTAACCAGTTGTGTAAACCATGTCTCTATCAGTGAGCTGGTCTCTATGAGCTCACTGGACTGACTGAACAATTGAAAGAACCGAAAAGAACACTTACCGAAGTGCTTATGATTGAAGATGCATTCTTAAACCCAGACGAGCTTTTGTTTTGGTGTTCAGAGCTGAAGTTCATATTTTGAATTACTATTTCAACCATAAATATGTCTGTAATGAAAATATCGTTTCTTTAATCACCTATTTGCACCACGGAATATGCGGCAAGTTTACACCTATATATGAATCCCATCCGGTGATATTCATTTAAGGGAAAACCATTTGAAAATACCCCAGAAAAAACACGATTTTCGACAGCAATTTTACGTATTGCCAGATGATTGTGTAATACAATATCAGTCAGTATCCCTACCATGTTCACGTATTATATAAGTTAGTTTATTTACGTCTATCCATATATTTTACACTCTTTAAGAGTTGATTGGTCATTGAGCAATAAAAATAAAGTTCTACACCAAATCCAGCTGATCTGAGATCATGACGTCATAAAGCGTCTCGACAAAACTGAGTTATCATGTTCCTGGTGTTATTTGTCCCTATTCTTCCAACTAATAGTATAAAGGGTGAAAAATTCAAATTCTAATTTACAGTTGGGAAAAAATAAACGTATTTTCACATAAATATAATAAAATTACTTGATATATTCGAGTGTCGAAGTCATATGCAATGAAGGAAATGATAATTCAGTTTTGTCGAAGATCTGGCTTCTGATTGGTTGAGCTTTATACCCAGATCAGCTGAATCGATCAATCAAATGATAATGCATGACTGTGATCGAAAATAATTAAACTAGCTCATTTGGAAGATGAAGAACAAGAGTGTTTTAACTTATATCCACCACTTTTTTGTGCTTCAAGGAAATTCGAACAACTGCATGGTCTTGAGATGATTTTATACTTATCGCATGCGTTTTTAGGAATACGGCTTCTATTTTTAAAATTTTTTAGATAATTTTTTCCCTTTTTGGGTTGCACATAAACAAAATTTTAATCTTTCTGCACAGTGGCGTAGCCAGCCAGACGATTTTGTGCCGCTATGTAAATTTCGTGTTATTATAATTATTCATTTCTTTAGAAATTCATTGTTTTCACAGGCAATAAACACCAAAATACTAGCATAGCGGGACAAATCGTCAGACTGGCTACCCCACTGGTTCTGCACAGTAATCAGTAAATTTTATATAATGAAAAAATACGAGAACATACTATTTGGTCCATGCGGTGGAACAACGTTGCTGGAGGAAAGTTGCACAGTTGATGATTCACGATGATTAACAATCAATGTTCTTGACGACGCCTTCAAACTAAACGAGGAATTCGCCCACACGGATGAACCGTCAAACGTGGATGGAGTTAAAGTTAGGATGCTCGTGCTTCCATTCGCAAAATATCTTTTTATTGTGCCTAGAGTAGAGGAGGTTAAAATTTATCCTGAGTGGAATTGCCGTTCCATTTTGGATAATGACTGAAGTTTTCCTTTCAAATTTCCCGAGGATAACTAATACTATATTTAAAAATTCTAAGTTGTGCTTCCTCGAGGTACAATAGAGGCCTCTCTTTTTTGATAGAATGATTTAATCCATCAGAGGCGTTTTCAGAGAAGTTTATAATCATCACCTACCAGAGTCAATAGACATCTGGATATTGGAAGAAGACATTCGCGCAGATGCGGATATCATGGACGATCCCCTAGGCAATAATACAGGTGATGATACCACAGATGATACCACAGATGATACCACAGACGATACCACAGATGATACCACATATGATCGCACAGATGATGTCAGGAATGACCCCACAGATGGTACCACGGAGAGATTAGGCTTGATATATGGGGAGGAAAGGGAAGTTGTCGTTGGTAATAATAGTGCTGACGTATTCATAAAGATTATCAAAGTACTTGGAGGGACGAGTGCAACCGAAGCCGTACGTGATGATCCATGAAGAGTTGTTGTTGAAGAATATGTCCTACTATTATTCCACGCAGTAGTATTGTTGTTGCCAACACATCCTATAGGGCGCGAAAATTCGAAGCAAAAATGAAACTCAACTCTTTTAGTACCAACAATATATCTACATATGTATTGGATTAAAATAAAAAGAAAATATATAATTATGTTTCTTACGTCCCCGGGTAATATACTCTGGATCACAGAGTAACCTAAGTTAATTTGGTGACATTAATTCAGAATTAAGAATATGATTCACTTAGTACATATTAGTTGAACACATTAATGCCACTCACTAAAGGGACCCACAATTGAACGTGTAAAATTGCCCACCTTTAACGACCACTACCAAAAGACAAAGAGTCAAACCAAACGCCATTAAGACAGCTTCCTGTTACATGAAAGAAATATCAGATCATCTCAGGCTTTTATCTTCCTTGAAGGCGTTTATCTAAACAGAAGATAGTGCTAATGACATGCAGTGCAAAGATTCATCGAAATATCGTGATGATACATCAGAATCCAACCAAATAAACTGAAAACATTGTTAGATAACTATCAGAATAAGATACCAATAATATATCGTATATAATTTGTTAATAAGATGAAATAAACCAAAATTTATAGCAAGATATGTCATACACAAAAGAAAACACAAATAAAATTGCAAGCTATTAGTAACCAACCTTTAATTTAATTCTTTAACGCACATTAAACTGCAATTTAGCCAACAAGTTTTCATCAAAGCGCGAAAATTTTTCCCCCTCAATGACGACAGCAGCGCCAGAACGCTTTCATGCATTTGGTATTCTGCCTGATGTCTGCTTTCTAATAGTTCTAAACGAGTTTGACGTTTGCTAAGTTTTAAAGTAAAGCGTTTCTTCATCTGCATTAACAGGTGGCGGTCCAAAACACCTGGCTACGATGTTGCTAAGGTAATATGACAAAATGTTTTGCAAAATAATGTTTGTAAAACTATATCACGATATGAAAGGAATTTTCTTCAATTCTCCGCTTCCATTACCTCATGAGGGATATAACTAGCTGGTGATGACTTTACAGGAAAGCCTTTCTGTACGCCTTGATACAATAAAGTGGTGACAACTTTTAACAAAATTCGCAATGCAAATGAGGTTTTAATGAATCATATTTTTATTGTCTAATTTGCAATGCAAGTTGTTCCAATGAAACATACCCTTTTTTGGTTTGACGGAAAAGTCAACGTACTTCTAAATTAGCCGAAAGTGATTATTCAATTAGATTGGTGATATATGTCACAATTGCTGTACAACTAAATGAACGTTATAGCTTTACTTCATAATTAGGTCTGCGAGATATTGATAAGCTAAACGCTCGCTGCATGCATGATCTGAATAATGAATGTAGGGACAATGTGTTGATAAAGAAACAAACTTTTTATTCAACATATCATCGGATATTGTTTGACAATCTGAATTACATTTATTCAAAGGAGAACTTGAATACAATAAGTTTTTGCAGATAAAATGTCAAACAGAGTTTTATATGATTGTCTTTCCAATACGATTAACCAAATTAAAAACTGGAATAATGAGTTGTCACTTCTACAAAGGCACTAAAAACTGAACTCTGAAGATCGAATGATCGATGACAGTCGTTCTAAAGCTTTTGAGTTCTAAACATGTCAATTATGTGTATGACGTCACCGCATAGAAAAGAAAGTTAATGATATTCATCCAACCGTGATACACTCATTTTCTATAACACGCATGAAATACCCAAAAAAACACTAATCTTTTGCTGCCCGTGAATTTCTCTTTACTCACACAGAGCAATGCCAGTACAATATATGTGACATTTATTTTAGAAGAATAAAATCATCATGATTGTAGTTTAGTCCATTAAAGGACGATACGAATTATATATACACACACGGCGACACACAATAAACGAAAAATTCTCAATATATACATGTGTGGCAGTTTAACTTAGCACGTCCAGCACGCTACTGTTCGCTCGACAAATTCACTATTCTATTATATACATTAACAATCATACTTCACAAGTACGTTAATGTCATTTATATATATAGATATATATATATATATACACAAGTCAAAACAAACCTCTCTGCAGACTCTGCTTTGTATATACATGCATGCAAAGGCCATGTTCGATCAAGTTTTTACATTCCATTCTTAAACTCACATATTACATGTAAAAAAATGAATGGAAGATAAAAAGGTCAGTGAATGAATGGAAAAAGTACACTCACAAACGAACAAAAATGTGGCCAATTTGAAAACAGAGAGTATGGTCGTTTAAAAACCGGGTAGCCTTCTCGATATATGAATGACGAGGAGCCAGTTGTATAAAAGCTAGGTAACTAGATAAAGGTGAAGACGAGGTAAGGACACTTAAGACAGAATTGGAAAATCAGAGTTGTATTAAGTTAACGAGGATTTAAATATGCAAAATTTAGTTAAGGAGTTTTATACAACCGACCCCATGTCTCTAACCATGCATACCTTGAATCTATAGCCGGAAGTTTATTATTATTATTATTACTCAGGTTTCCTCGTATATCAAGAAAAAGCCGAAAATGTTCAAGTATATCATCTGAAAATGATTGTCGATATAAATTTTGAAATCTTTCCTAGTCCATTGATTTTAGTGAAAATTGCTTTGGGTGATATGTCAGTTGTGATGTGACTATAAAGGTATATCAATTATTAACAGCTTATCAGACCATAAACATTTTGACTGTTTTCACAATCGTCTGGCGACATATCGGGCACTCTTTAAGACCAGTTGAACAGCCTGAGCAACAACATACATGACCACAAACAAGAAATATCACATCACGCTAAAATATAATACAGAATACAATAAGGTGCTAATCTTTGGAACCGACGTTGTATCAGTAAAAACACTACTTGTCCAGTGTTTTAGTTGTTGTCCGTAGACATATATCATGATCATCAAACAAAATTTACCAAACTAAAACCATGTAATTAGCATGCTAAACAACTGACAGTGACATCACCGTCATACAGTAACATATAGTTATAAACCAGACCAAACAAAACAATATTATAATTCACAGTATCTTTTATACAGACAACTGACAACACTATAAGATACCATACGGAAATCATACTGTAGACAAACCACACAATACAACATCATATATAACATACTATTAACACACACCATAATGTACCATACACTAAGCATATCATACCAAACCATACAACATACCAATGTCATATATGAAACACTATTACTATGCACCATAATATACACCAAGCATATCATACCAAACCATGCATATACTATTCGCGATACACTATAAATCTCTAGGTAATTCAACTTACCTTCGCTTCCATACAAATAACACAAGGACTTTCCTCGTGAACTTCGATGGAATCAACTGGTAATGGTGGGGCACTGGGTTTAACTGTTTGTACCACAGGAACACTGTCATTTCCTGTCTCAGACTCCAGTCTCTTCGTCTTGGCTGCTGCTCTGTCTTCCTCTTCAATTTTTGTTTGAACAGCTTTAAGAATTCTCCAACGAACGCCATATTCATGAATACCAATCTATGCGACGAAAACAACAACATGTTGGTCACACTAGGCACATGCATACGGTTAGCAGGGGGACGACTATCAGCTATCAACCACCAACCAGAGGTCAACTATGAGAAATAACCATCAACCAAGGTTCTACTATCAGCGATCAACCACCAACCAGAGGTCAACTATGAGAAATAACCATCAACCAAGGTTCAACCATCAGTTATCAACCACCAACCAGCGGTCAACTATGAGAAATAACCATCAACCAAGGTTCAACCATCAGTTATCAACCACCAACCAGAGGTCAACTATGAGAAATAACCATCAACCAAGGTTCTACTATCAGCGATCAACCACCAACCAGAGGTCAACTATGAGAAATAACCATCAACCAAGGTTCAACCATCAGTTATCAACCATCGGCCAGATGACAAACATCAGATATGATGGAGTGGGGTTTTCCCATTGAACTGCACAACGGGTCAGTCTTAATTAGCCCCACTTTCTTTCTTTTTATTTGATCAAATTTTCAAAATACAAAGCGAGACACCATATAGCTCTATATATATATCAATCGTTGAATGTCCGTAGCTACCTGCTTGAGGTCTTCGTCTTTCATGTCGCGAAGAATTTGCCACGAAATCTTATTTCGGGCAAAATTGCTGATATAGTCTTGTGCGCTTGCTTCAGCCAATATCTGGGCTATCATTTCATCACATCCGTCTTCCTATAAAAGAGACAAAGTTACAATGGTTAGGCTATATCCAGTCAGTCGTTCGATCATAATTTTTAGGGGAAATTTTATGTGAGAGCAACAAGGGGTTCTATCATATTTTTTAAGGATCAATGTCGGAGGACCTTCTGGCATTAATCCTGAAAACAACAGACAGTTCTTACTGAGCTTATAAAAAATCTGAACAATACTGCAATACGCTGAATATATTGTATAGATATATAAGGTTAGTTTATTTTACCTTGACAATAAGCGTTTCAGGTTTTTGATCCATCAATCTTTGGAATTGTATCAACCAATAATCTTCAATCTCCCCTTCGCGTCTCTCCTCTAGTTCGACCTAAAATATGAAGAAATATAATGAAAAATTAAGCGAAAACAATCCACACAGGAACGCCTGATATGGCTCAGATACGCTCCAAGAAAATCGTATATCAGAGCACGGAAATTCCTGTCATGAATTTATGATAGCGGCGAAATTGACCTGGCCCACGGGGGATCAAGAAATCAAGAATAAAGGACATTTTCCAAGGAGTTTCGTTCTTACCAAACGTTTTGCGAGTTCCTCTTCTCTTCTCTGCCTTTCTTCTATCAATTGCACAAACAAATCTGTCAACGCTTGACGGTTGGCTTCCAAGCGATTCTGAAAATAAAGCAAAACTGCTACTGGTGCGAATAATAACAAGAAATCGGCCATTTGCCAAAGGATATAAAAATCGGTCGATCAGCTCATGTCGGTCCGATATTTTGATCCATGAATTTTCGACGATTTTTATCAATCCTACTATTGAAATTTCATCGATGGTTGCTCTAACTTTGTAGGTTGCTGTGTGTATAATGCATGGATAAATTCTTGCAAATGTCTGACCATCTGACCAATTGTTCGACGGAAGCTACATCGTTTTCATCCACACTGCAGTCGCACTATATGATTTCCACCGTCAAGCGTATACCACCTCATTTCTGTATACAAATCAACTTACCAAATCATCCTCTTGCCGTTCTTGCTTACGTTCTATTTCCAAGAAACTAAGCTCTTGAAGTTCACGTTCCAGTAACTCAAGCTACAAAAGGAGAAACAACAGCGATAAAATGAATGTAACCAGCTGAGAGAATCGTTTCTCCAAACGTGGACTTTATACTTACTTGATTTGTGATACGTTGATGTTTCTCATCTGTTTGTAGTTGAAGAACATGAAATGCTTCCCTTTGAGCAAGCTCCTAATACAAACAAAGATCAGATGTTAGAATGAAGCGGGCGGCTGTTTGATTGCAACTGATCGTATACTTCACAAAAATGTCTACAATGTTTACAAAGACCATCAAATATCAATATAAATACCAATATACACTACTACCATCAACATTACTCGCACTACAGCCATTCATACTGCCCAAACACAAACAAGTTTCGCGATGTTTCTACACTTTTTTCTACCTCGTTGGCAAGGTTCTTGATCAATTCCGAGTGATCCTTGTCTTTTTCATTCAACACTGCATCAATCTTTTTGGTCTCATCCAATGCTCTGTAGAAAAATTGAAACACACATTACGTAAAACAGACTTGATGTACTGAGACAATTTCCATATAATCCAAGTGTTGAACACCTTCTATTCAGAGACAAAAAGGTGAAGAAAGGGATCCAAATTTTTCATCATACAGGGAAAACTACTTTTGAATCGTTCTCAATAACACGCATACATCCTCTCCAATCAGGTCAATCCCTCTCCCAGTCAGACCAAGTGGATCCATCAATGGCTTGCAATGAGAGAATTATGACAAAACAATAAACAAAAAATACTAACGACTGTAGTGCTTCAGTTGTCGCTGCACTCCTCATGGCTTGATAATCACGTAATACTTTCTCTTGTACCTGATCGCTCTGCAGCAGAGCGTTCATGCTTTCTAGAAATTAACAATAAATGCATAATAGTGAGTTTCTAGTACATAAAATTTCATGCACTGAAGTGGAAATAAAACACAGTTTTCCGACATCTTGACAACAGATGATATTTGAGTATTAAAGGAACCGGCAGGTAGTTGCATGAGGTTGGACAATTCGTGGACCAACCTCGCTTGCAAGCAAAGTTGGGAAATGATGGGAAATGGGAAACGAAACATGTCCGTACACAATAGCGAACCCAACTACATTACATTATCAAATACATTATCAAGTGAAATTATATAATATGTTGCAGATGTTATCGGGGAAAAGCGAAAGGAAATTAAATATTCTTCCCAAAAGACCTTCAAACGAGACAAAAGTGAAGTTGCGCGTCGGTAATTTGTAATCTTACCGAGAACTTCTTTTTTCCTCAAATTCTCTGCGTCTTCTTGCGAAATCTTGACTAAGTTTTCCATTGCAATTCTTAAATAATTATAAATCTTTGAATTATCCACTATAATAAACTGGACGTCACTGTCAAGGTTAAACACATCTTCATACCCAGCAGACATAGCTACCTTTCTTTCTCCATTTCATCCATGATTTGTTCTGTATTTTTTGACCTGAGAATTTGAGAATAAAAGTTTTCAAATTGATATGTCAACCTAAAGCATATCAACTGATATCAACACTCATATTGTACTGGAGCGAGCAAATGACACGAAACTTATCCACAAAAGTCTCTCATATTACCCTTGATTGCAGGAACGAGGAATACTCAGCCACCTTCCAAGACACTTACCTGTCATTCATTTGCAGAAGTGCTGTAACTCTGTCATTCGCCTCTTGCTCTTCTGCAAGAAGAAATTAAAACATCAAGAATTAAGAAGATACAATAATCATGTTCGAAAAAAAATGCATACATACGCGCGTGTATATATATGTATGTTAATCCATAATTATAAAGACAAGTTATTACTGTATGTCGTATCCTTGATTAAAGACATCATTACTATACTATCTTTGTTCTTCTTGTACAAGGGAAATGGGGATGTTGCATATAAAATACATCCTATTTACCATTTGCTAAAGCGGTCAATTTATAATCCATCTCTTTATCTTTCCTCTTTTGTTCCATGAGAAGTTTTTCGTTGGCTTTACTTTCATCCTACGCAAAGCACATGCAGTAGTCAAGAGATATTAAGATGTTTTACCTAAAAATGGATTGTTATTTGAACACTAGTCCCGTTTCGTTCCCGCCATTTCAAATCAGCATTTTCAAATTAGCTGAATATTATATTAAAGAACATCACCAATTCTGAACTACTTTCTTCTGAACTGGTGGAGATTTACCTCTGAAAGAGCCTTCAATAAATCTTCTTTTCCCTTCTTATTCATAGCAATAAGAATTTCCTCTTCCTCTTTAGCTTGGCGTATCTGTTGCTCCACAGCCAACATTTCAAATTTCTTTTCTCTCCCTTTTGCCATTTCTTCAATCTTGTTCTGATAATATGAAAATATAATGGATGGTAATAATAAATATGGTTTAATAAAAAGAACTGCATCTCTCTTGTATTCTTTTCACACCGTTTTGTTCTATAAATAACTAGCAATAGATGAAAATTACACGTATTTAATACCTCGATACTTTTGTCTTCCTGCAGTGAGTTGACTTCAGGAAATCTGCTATTCATACCACTGTCTATTGGGATATATAAATGCAACCTGATTTAAACGCAACAAAAATATTTTTGTCCATTTAACTTAAACTATTGAACTTCCTAATTGGGTCTCTTCAACCTACCATATCACAATCAAAATTACTGTTCAACCATGTTAGTATGATATATTGGCTATATCTTTCTCCCTAGGCTCTAAAAGACACATTTGTCTCACGCGCTTCTTTTCTACATTGTCGTCGGTCAAAACAAAGGCAGTCCTTAAACTTAAAAACCTGCTGATCCTAGAGACTCATCCCGATTTTCTTAATTACGTTATCCTATCGTAAATTCACCGCACTTAAAAATGCAGGTAAATACAGGAAAGTCTCTTACCCAAAACAGGAAGAAGACATTTTGAAGGAGGAATGTATTCTATCCCAGCCGCTGAAACGGAAATTATCATTTGACTTAACAATTGCCCCAGTTTTTTGTTAAAAAATAATTATTTTATTGTTTTAAAAAATGGTAAAGGGATAAAATTTTATCATTACGCATATAAACTAACCTGCGCACAATTCTTTCATCATCTTAACCGTTCCACCAGCTGCACTTTCTACACAGAAAGAGTCAGAGTATCAGAAAACGTTTGACAATGATGACGAAATGACGATGAACCAGTGCAAGTGAATGCCACAATGTTTGCATACGTTTAACTCACCTTTGGAAGGAAATATTATCGTGTCTACATCCACAATTAAATTCTGCAAACAACAGAAAACTATTTCAATGTGTTTCCAACACCGCAAATTGGAAGTAGCTATGCATGGCATATTAATGTTGAGAAAAATCATCAATTATCTGGGGCCGGTTGTATGAAAGCCGGAATGGCTCTATCCACCGGATAGTGGATTTTTCAATCGCTCTAAAATCGCCCGTTGTTGGCTGAAACTTTAATTAGTATTCCTAAATTGCTGGTTGTACATAAAAACGGGGTTTATTTTTAATTATATATAGTTAGTGACGGACGTTTTGGGTAACTACGATTTAACTACTAAAACAAGAGTTATGTTTTTTACAACCGGCCTCTGGCATTGATCAATGTAGCTTAATGTGATAATTAACACTTATTTACTGCGACCGAAGGAAACATGTTTTGTGGACCCGAGACCTGTCGATATTTCTTAACCAAACTGAAATGTGCTTGATATTCCAATACCTCTAATGTTCTAACATTTGCCAAGGACACAGGAAGATTTGTGACTTTATTGTGAGAAATGTTCAACGTTCGCAACGACTTCATTTTTCCAATTTCATCCGGCAAAACTTTCAACTTATTTTCTATAACAGCGGATCAAAATGTTATCAGTGTGTAACTTGTACATTGTACAAGTAAAAATAGTCAATCTAGTGAGGATGCGTTTTTCTTTAATTTTTGCAAAAAAAATTCATACCCTGAAGATCAAAAGTCTGGAGTGATTGTAAACATTCAATTCCTTTTGGGATAGATTTCAGACAGTTGTGACTCAGGTTTAAAACCTAAAAAAACGAAATATAGTTAGTGACTAACTAAATGTGATTCAAGAAAACGTCGAAAAACATACTTGTAATCAGATAATAGTGAAGACAAACATCAAATGTTGGAAAAATGGATGTTAAAATTTAACATGCTTTAAGTACTGAAGTAAGTGAATAAAATAGCTAACAATAGCATGTGCTTATATGCCAGTTTGGTATTATTGGTTTCATATAAATTCATTTTAATTTTATTAACAAGCCGAGTTCTCACAGGTTATTTTGAGGTGTTAAATACACTGTCGACGTCAACTTGATGACTTTCTTAAAAATTGGCAGGGTTATTTCAAGGGAACATGACATAATATTTGTATTTCTGTGAGCGTGACCATTAAACTCTTCTTTACGTATCTTTGGTATAAAAAAATTATCGGTGTTTAACTTATTATGTAACAGCTGATGGCTGCATGGGTATGACTTTCAAATACGTTCTGTAAACTATACAGGGTGTGTACAAAGACGCGACCGAATTTTATAAGAAATCCACTTGGTTCTTATGAAGCACAAAGAATTTGAGTTTCCTATAAAGAATCTTAACTATAGCTTAATTCTAGTGGTATTAAAATGAAAATAAATGCTATCAAATTGCTAATGTTAGGTATAATTGGTAGTTCTCTAACATTCACTGATAACATCCATCGCCGATCATTGCGATGTATCTAGGTGATGTATGAGAACTAGGCTTAGCTTTCATGAAGCATAAGATGTTAAAATTCATAAATTTCTATTCATATAATTCTGCTGTGTGCACTAGAGTTGTAAAGACTCTAGAGTTGTAGAGACGCGAGAGTTGTATAGACTCAAGAGTTGTAGAGACTCAAGAGTTATGCTCCTTGAGTACAATTAAAAGCTACTTAAAATTGCTAGGAGACAAAACTCTTTTGTGCTTTGAGAACAGGACAATATACTTTAGAAATTCTGAGGTTGTAGCTTTCTTATATACCCTGTAGTCTCATGGCCTTAAACTCTTTGCATACAGTGCTTGTTTCAGAGTTAAAACAGCTTGTTTGTAGTGTTCAAAAACATTGGATGTTTTTACTAGTTTTTTTAGCCACACACCTAAAAAGGAAACCTAAAAGGCTAAAAATGTTTGTATAACTAGCTAGAACACAGCAAACAGCTTGCATACAGCCCAACATATTATGCCATATCAAAACACAGATTTATGACTTGTTACCTGTAAGCTTGTTAAGAATCTGATTTCATCCGGCAGTTCAGAAAGTAAATTCTTGTGAAGATCAAGAACCTGATAAAAATTAACTTGTTTAATAATCCACCAGCATAATTATATATATATACTTTTTAAATAAACAAATTAACATTTTCACTGTTATTGGGAGTTTTATTACCCTCAATTGTGATAAATTCTTAAGATCTCCTCCACCTTTCAAGTCCCTTATAAGATTATCATGCAGCAGTAAAACCTAGAAATTCAAACTTTATATAGTATATAAGATATATTTATGGTAGTCCATAAAATCCTAATATTTAATAATATTAATTGTCTTAATATTTTAACTAGTGGACACTATGTAAGACAAAACAGCTAGCAGTATTGAATCCATCTATAATAAAACCATCAAATGCCAAAAACCCTTTCTTTGAAATGTTTCGTTTTTTAGGCATTTGATATTTTGGGTACTGGGCACTCTTTGCTGGTTTCTTGGGTTGACAGCTACTTGTTGTAGTTTTGTTATTCAATTAGACATAAGTCATTATTTTGTTAAAAAAATGTAAGTGACTAGCACATTACAGTACCATACCTCTTTTTGAATTACTTTGCACAGGGAATATACTTTTTCAGGAACCTTTTTCAGCAAAATAGAACAATGAATTCAATTTTCCTCGCAATTTCAACTATGGTCATCAATATAAACCATAATAAATTATAGGTGACATTGCAATATCCAAATTGTGTAATTTATTTAATGCAAGGAAGCAATGATTTATGTGTGACAGTGTCTAATGTGGTTTGGCAGTATCTGAATAGGGGACAATATTTGTCATTTTGAACAAATAACAGGATTTAACATCCCGGTTGACAATATTTCAAAACCTTGAGCTTTAAGCAGTATTTAATTTAGACCTAGCTTATTTTAGGGACAACTGGCTTAATTAATCATTCAAATAAATAGACCTACAATTTACAGTGATACTAGTATATTTATAGTATAAGGTTAGTACAAGATTTCTTATACATGTACATATCAGTACAAACGATGATTGAGAAATGAACCATATGTGCAATAGAACTTGTAAAGCACTTTGCCAACGTTTTAGGAATATTTTAGCTCTGGGAAAGCTGGGAAGGATATTTTATAGTGCCAGGTTTAGAGCTAACGACGAGGTTATAAACAAACACTCTTTATTATCGAGGTCTGAAAACTCAGCTGTTTGCAATTTAATATGGTTTTCAAGTACCAATATACATATTCAGCATTTTCGTACCTCTTTTGCCTCGCACGACGACAAATCAAATGTTGGTTCTGGGTCATCTTGAGCCTTTATAAGATAAAAAAATAAGATACATGCTTAAACCTTCCTATTACCTTTCATTTGTTCCTAATGAAGCCCTATATTTTATAACGATATAAACGTATAATACAAGCCATATTTTAATAATACTATACTAACCAGGACTAGCTTCCTCTCAATTTTGCCTCTATTCTCATCTTTTGCTTGTTTCTTGTTCCTATTCTCATCTTTTGCTTGTTTCTTGTTTCTAAAAAGCGGCATTATTTGCAGTATATTTATTATTTCGTCAAAGCAGAATTTGACAATTTACGAAGAAAAAATGAATATTTCCTGCTGCTAACAAAGTTCCATGTTTATATTTTGATTAATCATTTCCAGCCTCCTACTTCAATAACAACGCGCGGCCAGAAGATATTCCCGTTCGATGACATCACTTTGTGTATCATTGGATGACGTATAACGTATTGCAACAATACAATATGATGACTCATGGATGAATGACTTTATGTAATGATTTAATACAGAATGACCTAATAATTTAGCTTACCCTACATTGACTAATTTCACAGAGAACTGACACACAAGTACAAAATCTGAAGTTTCATACTTTCATAGGATTTGAATCATTTGATTGAAATTTTCTCTCCAGTAAAACAAATATTATGCAATATAATTATACAGCTAATTTAATTCAGATTATCCCAGAGCACATAAAGAGTTACATAAAGATTTTCTAAGAATTGCTCTCTTAGGTTTATATTCACACCAATGTAGACATTAAAGTACAGCAGAAATAAATAATTATGAGATCTAAACTTTAAAAATATTAGACTGGTCGAAATTTTTAAAAAATTATGTGTTTAAATAATTGTCTTGCATCGTTCATCCACAATATTTACATCTACATTTTCTTAACATCAACAAACTCATCCCGTCGTCTGAAAATGACACCATCACAAGGCAAAGGAGATGAAATAAATGGACTTATCCAAGCAATATACCACCGTGTTCCCAAAACATCCTTAATGTTTTCAATCAATCCTAAATCATACTCGAGTTTCCCTCGTTTTCGCTCGTATGTGACTTGACCCTTGGTGATGAGCCTCACTTGAAGGTAAAGTAAGCCAGTGAACAGGAGTAATGAAAATATTGAAACTCCTGCAAGGAACAACACATAAAACTGATACCCAGAAGCATATCCGAAGATAAGCATTATGAATGGCATGAACATTGTGAAGAAAGTTGCCATTTTGAATCCGCCTGCAATCTCATGAACATATTCAAAATGGTATACATTTGCATAAACAGCACCAATCCATAAGTATATCACCATCATGATGTAAAATCTATAGTTCTTGTAACCAATACATGTCCCACCAAAGATGCAGTGATGGTCCCTTTTCAGGATACAGGTATCGCAAATATGACAATGAAAGGAGCGAGGTGGGGAATTGTGTTGGCAAAATGGACAGTAGACCCACCCAGGTTTTAGGACTGAGGGTAAACTTGCACTCCCACTCGTTGTATCTGTTGCCATCATGTAATACAAGTTTGTAAAGACATTGACGGCGGCAAACAAACCACAAAACGCGTGGACGCACCATCCAGATGAAAAAGGCACATGATACAAAGGTAGTACTGTCATCAATTCAAAATCTATCACGACAATCAACGTTACAACCAAGAAAATACAAGCAGCACGATCTCCAAAACGCTTGGGGAAAAAGGTATGCTTCGTTGCCATCGTTTATACGCAAAATGTTACAATTCTTGATTCCTTTCGGTTTCCAACTAGAGTCAACAGTCTTGTTTCCGTTCGAAGTTTATTGTTTATGGCAAACAAACCACGCCTAAGTGCCCCGAGTACAAGTGGTCAGTAAAACAAATTTTAACTTTTTACTTTTCACAGTAACACAAAATTTGATATCTTTCCAAAATAATTTCTTTTCAACAAATGTTCTTTCGTTTTTGGGATGCATTGCGAGTACGGGTGAAAATTACGGGTGAAAAACTTTGTTTCAAAGCAAATTTTCAAAGCAAAAGTTGAGAAATATTTCATCATTTCAATAGAATCCTCCAAACTTTATGTAAGAGTGAGCAATGTCTATTTTCCAATATGGCGGACAAAAATGATCGCGATCAACCTATTATATTGATTTTAAAGTCTAAAAACGAAAACGATAATTACGAACGATTGCTTCATGAACACGGATACAGAACAGTGTTTGTTCCTGTTCTATCCTTTAAGTTCATAAACCAGGAAGCCCTGAAAGATCGGTTAAATAACCCGGAAAAACACAGTGGACTTATATTTACAAGTCAGCGAGCGATTGAAGCTGTTCAACTTTGCCTCAGTGATCCAGTATTTGAGGAGAAATGGAGTTCATTGTTGAAGGAACAATGGTCACATCTTCCCGTTTTCGTCACCGGAAAAGCAACGGGAAAACAAGTCCGAGAAAAACTGAACTTTTCGTCCGTTTTTGGCGAGGATTCAGGAAGCGCACAGGCATTATCGATAACCATTTTGAACACACTTCCAGCAGATTTGAACAAGGAATTGCTTTTCCCCTGTGCAAATATTAAAAAGGAAACTCTGCCGAATATTCTGAAAGAAAAACATTACGGTATTTGCTGTATTACATCGTATTGTACCCAACCTGACCCAAAGCTGCTTGATTCTTTGAAAATAATTTTTCAAACGTCCAGCAGCACTACAGAATTTTCTGAAGCGTCCGGACTATCGTCGGAATTTCCGGAAGAAACATCGCAACCACCCGCACAGCCTTCCTGCATTGTATTCTTTAGTCCATCTGGAGTTACTTTTGCCCATAATGCTCTGCAACAGTCAATAAAGTCGTTTGAAAATGTTAAGCTTGTTGCGATTGGTCAGTCTACAGCTCAGGAAATGCAAAATTTAGGTCTAACAGTTTCTGGTATTCCAAAGAAACCTGACCCACAGTCATTACTTGAAGTCATTGATTCAATCTTGGATTGAAGAAATACTGATATAGTTTATGATCTAGATCATAGTAAAAAAACATGAAGGTGTGATAAGTTATCACAAATATACAAAAACTTAAATAATACATTAACAAACATGACATGATCTATAAAAATGAAGATTGAATCAACATTTAAACTGATATTTCAACTGATACATATGTTGTAAATATTACTAAATAAGTATTCTCTTTAATACGTTTTTACTAAATAAGTATAAAATTCACTGAGTATGCTTTGTCCAAGGGATTTCATTTAAACATTTTCTTTGCATGCTAATGTTTATGAATGTGACTAAATACTCTTATTTGAGTTCATGTGATATTCATCACTCATGGGGAATTTTAATGTCACCTGAGAGCTTCTTTAAGTTGTGAGGCACATTCCCCAATCTAAACATAAGACAATTGCTTAAGACACCAGGGAACATGGAACGTGTTGGAGAGGTTGGGGAGGGGGTTAAATCATTGATAGATAGATACACAACCCCTAGGCGGAAAATGGCCCTATGGCTCTGACATGCTCTTTCCTACCCTTTGAGAGAAACTTTAACAAAATTTATTTAGACCATAGACAGCGAATATACAAACACAACTAATGCATAACTAATCCTTTTAAAAGGACTACTTTAACCACCAGGAAAATGTCTGCCATTTTCTGACACTTTAAAGTTTAAAGCTCCATTATTTTTAAACGGTTGACGAAAAGTTAGCTTAGCTATATAGGTCTTATAGCCCCCTTTTAAAAAAATTTAGTAGAATGGATGAAAGATGCGATTTGTTCGCGATTTTTAAGTGATTGTTATATATATATACAACAGTATAACCAGGGAGCAGCGTGGCAGCATCTTCAAACGACTTAGCATCAAACGTGGTATAACATCTGCCTAAAATGGACAAAACACTTCTCGACGTTTCGACTTGAGGGCCTTCGTCAGGAGAGTTGATACTATTTTAGGACGTTGTTATACCACATTTGATGCTAATTAAGATATATACAACAGGATTTACCTTTGCAGGGCTAGATATGGACGTTAACGGATTTACTATATTTAAAAAGTCCAAGGTTTTTGCGTACGAAAGACTCTCCTCATCTCCCCAGATCTAATAAACACAAATTGTAAAACGCTCACATTAAAATGCATAAAGTTGCATTTTTTAAAATGAGTTTTAAAAATACGTCTACCACTTACTAAGGTTCCCAAGGCCACCATTGCACGAAATTTCGCTTCGTTTTCCACTAAATTGTTCATGACCTATTGAAGAAAAAATTGCGAATTATTAAGACGTTTGTGAGTGATCATTTTCGACAGTGATACAGCGTTACTTCCTTTATCGGTTTTGTTTTACTTTTTCATTTTTGGTTTCTATTTTTGTTTCGGATCACATTGAAGTCCGAAGGAACCGAAAGAAAGCTTCCTTAAAATATGAAAGGAAGATGATATAAACCGTACATGAATAATAATCAGAACCTTTGTATACCACTCACTGTTCTACACTGTTAATTTTGAGGTGCTAAAATAGCACCAGCGTAGGTGCCAAATCAACACATTGCAGTGGTGTTAAATAGAAAGTGCTATTTTGACACCAATTTCGGTGCTAATTTAACACCACCAAATCTGACATTACGCTAAAAGTGCCAATATGACACCTTATAATTTCAGCACCTTCGCAAGGTGCTGAAATAGCACCTATTTTGCAGACGGAAAGTGCTAAAATAACGCCAGATTGAGAGTTAAAGTATGGGGTGTCAAAATAACACTAAATGGCGGTAGAGAATTTTCGACTTTATTACAAAGTCATTTTCAGACAGAATGGATAGGGAAAGAGCGGTTATTTAAGTTATTGGAAAATAAATCTGTATTTTCGAATCAATGTTTTGGAACAAGAAATTCCTGTGCGTTTTCTCACAACTATTCATCTGAGTGATCTGACGACATGGAAATTCGGCTTGTTCCTATGATACAAAAAAACCAATAGAGAGGAATACTAGACAAATGGTACATCGATAGTGATGTATTGTCCTTTTCATTTCATCAAACTATGTTATTCCGTGCTATATTTTCGGACTGCCTATATGTATTGATTGCTACAAAGTATTTATTTCGCAATCGCCTGATATGTATGTCCATATAAGGAACAAAATATAACACGTGATCAGCGCCTGTATGGAAATTTTGAGCGCGTCGTTTGAAAACTCTTTTGAATCGTACTTCATACTGCCGTGTTGAAGACGTTTTGAGCGTATTTTCTTAACTATTTTGGTACTTCTAAATATGCTGAACAACAACGGACTCACATAAGGAAATATCAAGAGAATTGGCTATGATATTATCTCAGAAATATCTTGGTAAGTTGAATTGAATTGAATTTGATCGAGTACGGAGGTCCACGTTCGCTCAAACGGCCAAATCGCCAAACAAACAAATGTGTGTTATTTATTATTATAGAGAAGCCAAATGAATTCTACTTTTAATACTGCGATGATCTCTTTAGCAATCTGGGTCGAAGAAAATATCATTGCAATAATAGGTATCTATTCATGTTTATTTTACCGTGATTTTATGAAGCATCTGCACTAGGCTCTTATATTGATGTAATTTAACGATATTTTATCCTATATTTAATAGCAGTTGACAATTTGTGCCCTATTTGATACATTTGATGTTAGAGAAAGTTTTTTGTTTCATGGAATATATGTGCCTATGTAATATGTCTTTTGATAACATTATTGAGACATAAAATCTCCTACAGGTTACTTGAAAGTACTATTTAATACCCTGCTGAAAAATTTGAATTCAACTTGTATTCTAACAAATACTGTCAGTCATTCAATTGCCCAGCCATTGATTGTGTTCTATAGTGAGTTTGAATTGTGGACTGATACATTTATCAACTATAAATAAATCTGCAATACCTATGATTAATTATAATTCTTGTCTATTTTAAGTTTTCACCAAGATTGAATGAAGGCCTCAAATGTGGCAAATTAAGGGGAAACTGTAATTCTAATGATATGACAAGGGTATGAAGGGATATTTACTGTCAACAATGAAAGTGTATACAATTAATGTATCCAACTATGGAAGAAAAACAAAATATTTCATCTATGATAATTTAGAAATATCCCTTCCTTGCTGACTCAATTGTGGTTGTGGAACAGTAAGTGATAACCTTGTTGTTGTAATCTTTATGATTATCTGTGTTTGCCAAACTTGGTTTCTGTCGACCCTTTTCATCTTAGATTTTGTATTTTGTGTGGTTTGTATTTTGAAAAAAATCCTGAAAATCCTGATCCTGATTTTAAAATGTTCCTGAACTAGGGTGTCAGTATAGTTGAATAGTTGGGAGTAGGAAATTGAATCTGGTTGTAGGCATGCTATCAAAAAGTACAGTATAACACCTCTTATATGTATATACCTTTATTAAATGGGTCTGACTGGTTAAACATGATAATTCAATTCATTCTGATACAGGGTTCATGGACCATAACAAGGCCATAGGTTGAAACAATTTTAGAAGAATATCCTGCACTTCAGCTTATTACAGAGGTAAGTTTGCTTTTAGTTTACAGCATTCATGTCGATATAAGGTACCTGTTGGATTGATGTCAAGTGCTCTATTTCAACACTTTGCCATAATTCTTGTTGACAAACAATCCAAACAGATAATTGACTGTCAAATTTCTTTGTTCGACATAATACCCTAACCCTAAGTGTGACAAAACTCTGTGGGCTGATTTTGTTTTTTAAACACTTTTAAAGTCCTCTTTAAAAATATTTGTTATTTATTATACGTTGTTGATTCCATAGATCAGGACCCAAGGCTAATTCGTTCAGAAGACCTTTAAGATGTTCAAACTTTGATGATTGCGGTGGAGGGGCAAATGTTAACTTATCAAAGAACAGACTCAACTTCATTTTATCTACTAAACATGGAGTACATCGGTGGTGTGGCAAATGTGTGTGCATTCTTGGAAACTGCTCTCGTCGGGAAGCCTTAGGACAAAAACTTTTGAAGGACATTAAGTACCGTAAACATTTTAAACATTCTTGTAGCTACGTTGATTTTCCTGTCACAGCATATGTAGAAATAAATATTTTTTAATCGCATTTGGTCTACTTCGTATGATTATAGCTTATGCTATTTAGTCGCTCCATTGCTAGCGCTAAAAGTGCAAAAACTAATCCACACAAACTTCAGGTGTTAGATTAACACCAAAAGTAGGCGTCAAACAAGCACCAAAGATCGTGCTAATTTGACACCTTATTTCGCGGTGTCAATTTAGCACCCGAAATGGTGTTATTCTGTACCTTTTTATTTGACACCTTTTTTGGTGTCAATATGACACCGCAAAATTAACAGTGTAATAGGCCAACTTTCCATGCACTTCAATTGTATGGTAGCGAATCGTAACGTATTCCTTTGTTTCAAATTCCTGAGTTCTAACTGAGTAACTAGGAAACAAGGAATATGCTACTCTTCCCTACGATACGACTGAACATGAAAAACATCCTTACCCCTCTCACTGTGTTGATCCATGGAGCCTTCACTTCGAGGTCGCTTTTCTTGGCAAATGCTACTGCATAACTATTGCGCAGAAAAAGGTTTTACTTTTTCCAGAATTGATGTTACTATTAAATAAAATTTTGTGCTTACTTGATTAGAACAGTACATAAAGCAATCTGTATAAGCTTATTTGGGTTCCTGCAGTTGTCACTGATACACTGTCGAATCTGGGGGAAAAGAGCATGTTTTTTGAAATCGTGATTTTGACGAAAAAGATTTTCATGAAACGTTAAGGAGCTAAAACGTATTTTTACCTCTTCTCCTTGTTTAGACATGACAGTTCTTCCATTCTCATGGAGAAATAAGTTCGAAAATATTCTAAAAACTATGCCTGTAGTTATGTCATGGTTCTTTGTCTTCTCAGAACTACAAAACCGGATAAACAGAATTTTACGACACTAACACGCAGTCGCAGTCATCTAAATACAGACATCATACAATTGCAAGAACTGCTTCAATAGCTACACCTACCTAATTACTTTTAATAAATATTGAGTTAATTCATCCCCATTGTTGACAAAATGTTGTGACGTTTCGTAGCTTCGAATTAACACTCTTAAAATATCAAGACCTGCAAAAATATAAAATTTGTAATATATACGTATATATAATAAGGCTCAAAGATAAGCCTTAAAGAATCGAAATGCACGGGACGTCAAAAACGTTTTTGTCAACTTTCCCCACATGAAAATCACTTTCGTCTGATCTTGGTTTATGGAAAAAACCCTTGAAAACTTTTTAACAGATTAAATTGTTGACATTATAGCTATAACCATACACTGATACTTGCAGTCTACAAGTATTATAAAGCGGGCGTAAAAACTGATTTCCCAAATACGCTCTGGAACACACCTGGATAACATATATCTGTAGGCCATCGAATTAATTTAGTTAAGATCTCCACTTGTTTATGCGATAAAGGACTGGCAGTTTTTGACTTGTCTACCGCTAACGATAAGACATCTACAAAATATAGAAAACTATAGTCGTACAATACCGCTAAATATATATTTAGTATATATCATGCTCAGGGGATTTCAATTCATACAAATGCTAATCAATACGATTTAGCACTTTACTTTTGATTTCCGCTATATCTTCATTGGATAGTTTCTCATCCTGAAATAAACAAAAATTAAAGTTTGTTTTTGTTTGTAGGTCCCGTGAACATAATTATGCTAGTGTGTCTTCGCAATTAGTGTGGTGAAAATTAGATTTCAAATATTTAACTGTAAAACAATTCATGAGAAGTAATATTAAAACAGAAAAGTAGGACTGAACAAGGGCCAACTATGTTTGATAAAAAATTTGCAAAGTAGTGTTTATTAACGAATTAAAATAACGCTTTGTCTAACCTCATCAATCTTATTATTGAATTCATTCAATCGTCCCATGAGACCATCAACTTTGACTTGATCAAAACTCAGATATGTTTTCTGAGAAAAGAGCATTGAGGAGAATGTTCATAGTTTTCGCCCACAACCTTCAATTATATACAGAATACATTATTACAAACCTCTGGGAAGTATGAAGCGTGATGTGTTTTACTTTCTTTTGCGGCGGTGACTGTTTCCTCAACAGTCTAAAAAAAAACGATGTCAAATAAAGTAGAATAACGAGCAATGAGATTGTACAGTACATATTTTATATACCATAGGTGCAGCGTAACTTGGCCGGTAACTTCCTTGCCCTACAGAGATAGAAGAAAGCTGATATGGTGATCACTGTACATATTTAAAGGCCATCCAGAAAAATCAAACTTTAGAAGTTATCTGTAGTATGCATACTGTTCTGTGCGTAACTCGTGCATATTAGGGCGGTTTTTCACTAGGCGAAATTTTTCGAAGGAACGAAATTTTTCGCTCGATTTTCTCTACAATTGTGACCGGCGAAAGGAATCCGCTACGGTCGAATTCTCACCATTGAAAAGAATATCAGACGAAAAATTTCGTTCGGTCGAAAAAATCCGCCAAGTGGAAAACCGCCATTACTAAAGCCGGTTTTCCACCAGCGATACTTTTCGCGCGAAGCGACATTTTACTTTTGTTTCAGAGCTCTCAACTGGAACCATCTTGAACAAATTGCCTCAATACAAAAGAATAAAGTCGTTTCGCGCGAAAAATATCGCTAGTGGATAAGGCCCGATGGACCAGAGGCCAGACAAATCCGATTATAATTCGGTCTCAAGAGAAAGCATTCAGTCTGACACTACAGGATATGATACTATTATCCCCAGACAAAAACATTTTTTACCAGGGGTTCCATTTTGGATGAATAAATCATGCAGCCAAACACAGTCATGCGCGGCGTGTTTCTCAGAACGGCGGTTTTCCACTTGCGTAGAAATAGATCGCCAGCGATAAACTAGATGTTTTCTTTTGAATTTTGGCAGCAGTCTAATAACCTGCTCCCAATTCAAAACAAAATCATGGAAATATTCCCAAACTGCTTGTGAAAATCAAGCCTGATTTATTCACCAACATGGCAACTCTGTATTCGACAATAGCAAAGGTTACTTTCATGGCTACTATTGATGGTTATTATCAAAGTATTAAGAGGAAAATATTTACCAGTGAACGGGTCAGCACCAGCTCTTCCAACATCTGATGTTTCATTTGATACCGACGCTCCGGGAATGTAACGAGAACCGCCGGTAAACGGATCCGCATTTGAAGATTGGTTGGTTTGCGGACCGATTGTGAAAGACTTGGGTTTTTATTGATGATGAAATGAGCTACTTGATCTAGAAACATTTGACTAAGTTCATTCTTCTCCAGAAACTGCTGAGCTGCAAACCAAGGATCGTCTACAGCAAAGACAGAGATAAAGAGTATTTTTAGAGAATAGCTTATTTAGCAATCTAGCTACAGTACCTGAGCCTGAACCACTGCCGGTGGCGGTTGTATAAAAACGTAGTTAACTTTTAACTATAGTTAGTGGCAGAATTGATCAATCAGAGTTATGTATTTTTGAGTTAACTACGATTAAACCACGCAAAATGTAGTTAAAAGTTTTATACAACCGGCCCCTGAACTATACTAAAGTATACAACTATATTGTACTAAGTACAGTTTAGTGGCCTGGACTCCACCAAGATAAATTCAACATTTTAAACATTATATTTATTGTCTTTATATAAAATAGCCCAATTTGGATACCGCTATTACGGTGTTTCATTTTCAATTTTTTTGCTTGTTTTGTGTAATGTTTGCATCTTTTCTTAATTTGTCAATTTAATAAGAATAAAATATTACCAGTTAAGTTATAGGGTAACTTCAACGTCGGCTTTCCCTCTTGTATATCAACATCAAAAACAAAATCATATTGCTAGAAGAGGAGAATAAATTTGAAAATCTATAAAGCAATTCCACTTAACACCACATATCCTGTGATGGAAGAATGATGTACTTCGCGATGTGGTTATTACCTTCCCTTCAAACGTTTTCTTTCCTGAGTTTTGTGATGCTTCATCAGAACCACCACCAGCACCTACCACCTCACCAACCTAAAATGAAATATAGAACAATTCCTATGTCAGGCTTCACGGCTAACAATACAACGCACATTCAAGTAAGTTTCGGAAATGTACCTTATCCCATTTCCCTTCAGCATCGTTCCACTATAAATAAAGATATATTTTTCGCAGGAATTATTGCAGAACAAAAAATAGTGCTCAAGGAAAGGGTAAATCGAAATGAACTTTTTTCCTGTTGTATTGTCACAGTTAGATCCAGGTTTATTTTGTGTTTAAGCCAAATACTTAAAAACCCGCAAGCAAAAGAAGCTATTCGGTCACGAGAATATTTTTTTCATAATAAATGAAATTTAAAATAAAAATGTAAAAGAAAAAGGCTGGTGCAAAATTAGAAATTTTTAGAACCGACCTTAAATACGAAATATTTACTCTCACCCAATCTAACTTACATGCCACCACACCATCCACTATTCCCACTCTCCTCATTACCAGTCCCTTCAAACCTCCACGATCCTTTCAACTTTCCCCACTCTTTTTCTCAGAATCTTCCCACCCTCCACAATTCTTTCCATTCTCTTACTTAACCTCCTGCCACCTCCACATTTCTTCCCATGCACTCTCTTCTTTAGCCTCAACCCACCTCTACATTTCTTCCCACTCTCTTCTTTAGCCTCAACCATACTCTCCACAGTTCTTCCGACTCTTTTCCTTAGCCACCAAAAAAACTAAAAATTACTAGTTACACACCTGGTACACCTCAATGGTACCTCCTCGTTTGACAAGTAGATTTTGCCCGCTTGATTTCCCTAAAAACACAACAATAATATCCCACGATGCCTTGAAAATATAATAAACTAGTAAAATTTGAAGTGAAACAATACCTGGCCTTAGCAGAGCTTCTGGTCCAGGAAGATCTGCGATTTTGATATCACCAAGTTTGCCATCACTTGAGAGAAAAAGGTGACATGCAAGGCAGCAGTTTCAGCGAGATAAATGTTCGCAGACGATGAAAATCACAATTTTTTTTATTCATTACCTTGAAACCTGAGCTGGAATAGCGTGACTCGAGACTTCTTCTTGGAATTGCTAAAGTAAGAAACACAGGAGAATACTAATGACATGGACGATTCTCCATATTACGAGGAGTGAAGGAAGTTAACCTTTAGGAACATTCTGAATCCTGTTTATTATTAGCTTGAGGCTAGCAGAATCAATGTACGATTCGAATATGTTTGAATGAGAATCCAAACTAAGAACACAGAACATATTAAGTTAATCCTAAAAACACTTGTTCCAATGGATTCTACCTTTAACACATCTTCAGAAGCCACCCGCTCAGAATCTGACGTGAATATTCGGATAGCACCATCACTATATCATATAATACGGACGTTATAACTAAATAAATTCCCGCAACAATGTCGGACTTCGCAGTTGAACGTAAATTTCCTATTGTCTTAATTACTATTTTTACCTTGAGCCAACAGCGATGTCACCATTATCCAAACACGTTGAACACCAAACTGATTGCGCCGGTAGTGTTATTGCCTGAACACATTCACCTCCTGAAAGAAAGAAAAAGGACTGGGGAAGAAATTGGCAGGAAGGAATCCAGTCACCGATTCCCAGGATTTGGGCAAACGACGAAGAAACGACGCATGCCGAACCCTTGCATTGGCCCCCAGTGTGCCAGGTACCCCAGCATTTTGATTCACAACGTTATACACAATGTGAAGAAAGAAGACGTGTCAAGATTACTCCAAACTTACCTTTCCATATTCTGACAGTTCTGTCTTCGGAACCTGAGACGAAACTTTCTTTCTCGTTTGGCAATACAGCTAGACTAAAATTAGAACATCCGTTGCTAAAACAAATGGCGACTCATCTTTTAACCTCCAACTTACAGTTGTCTTATAACAGCTAACGTAGCGGAAGGATTGTGGAGTATTTTTGGTTGCATTACAGTCCTCATTTTAGTTTCGGAATTGGGATTGATTTAACACACCTCATTGAAAATGAACATGATCGCCCAGTATGCTAGTCTGTGGCCCAATCTATTGTGTATACTTTAGGCTATAGTGGACTGGGACACAGGGAATTTCCATGAGTATATTCCTGTACATTTAAGATCAATACCTGTACACAAAGTTTGTGTGACCTTCAAAAATCTGTAAACATTCACCACTCGTACTCCACTGTCTAATTGTGCTGCAGAAAAATAAAATTTCTGTTTTTTAATCATTTTTCATAATGTTTGGCTGTTTAATTTAGGTACAAAGAAGGTATTTGTTCTCTTACTTATCATTAGAACTAGAGATGAACTCAGTTGGAGTGAGTACTGCTACACTCCGAACACAATCTGTATGTCCGGTGAAGGTCTTTATACATGATCCAGCTTTCCACATTTTTATGGTTTTATCTGCAGAAGCTAAGACAAGAAGTGATGCCATTTGAAATTTGTTCATATTCTAAAAATACTTTGTTTTCCATGTTACATATTCACTACTTATGATCTATTTTGGGGTACATCACTCCAGCATCTACTGAAGCCTTTTGTTTTTGAAGACTAAAAAAGTAGGTACACCATGTGTACATACCTGTATTGTGTAGAAACATGCATGATCAAAAACTGGTATTGCAAACCAGTCTCATGCTGATTGTGATATTCTCTTTTTTAATTGTGATATTCTCTTATCAGTGATACATCTACAGTGCATGTATGTACAAAAAGCAGATTTTACCTGTTAACATTGTGCCTTGTTCAGAAATCAAGGCTACAGACCAAACGGCTTGCTCGTGACCTTTCAATGTCATTACACATTTTGCATTCAACCACACTTTAGCTGTTCTGGTAAAAAGATTATAATTTTTTCAATAACAAAGCCTTCTTCAAACATGACACCTTAACTTTTAATTTTTCAAGAGATCTTGGAAAATTAAGAGAGAGATAAAACAATTAAGCTGGTGGTATTTTTTCCCACAGAGAGGTAGCCTAGTTACAAAGCTTTATGGCGCAAGTTGTATTAACTATAGTGCATGCCCAGCATTCTAACACATCATCAACTTATGATGAATGTTCATCCAAGAACATAGAAATTTACTTGTCCCAAGATCCAGAAAGTATGGTACCAAAATTTCCACCAACCAGAGCGCAAACTGCACCATTGTGGCCTGAGAGAGTTTGTATAGGCTCTGCAATACAATTTGGAAGAATTAGTGCAAACCAGAACAACTATATTCAAAAAACTAGAAAAAAGAACAACATGTATACAGCATACCTAATGATTCTATATTCCATACGAGAATAAGATTATCATGTCCACCAGTAACAATTAATCCTAAAAATGAAAATGTTAGAGGTGAAAATTATGTATCCATGTTTTTTGGCAGTTACCCTGCATCCTTCCCCCAGCTTCCTTCACAATGCTTATGTTTTCACAATGGATTAGTGGTCCACAAGTCTTGGTAAATACAGAGGATGGTACCTAAGGGATTCTTTGGTGTGGGGTTTGGATGCCAAACACAAATGGGATGGTCTGGCTTGGTCATTTCATGGAAATGCCCAAGCCAAATTTAATAGAATATTCATGAAAGCCAAGTTGAATAGAATATTCCATCTTTCACCTAATGGAAGTATTCTTACCATATTGCACAGTGGCACTAGCCATACCTATTCATTATTAGTATACTAGATGACTACCCTCCATACCATACCATGTGGGTGTTTATCACTTTCAGGCATGGTGCATACAGCTGCTACAAATCCTTGATGCCCTGAGAAACACTGTCCTTCAATAAACTCATTTGATATCTCGTCCTTTTTCCACACCCTCACTGATCTATCTCTTGACACAGAAATCAGACCACCTGCAGGAAAAACGCTTCTACAGACACCTCTAACGTCCATTTCGTGCCCCCTGAGTACGCCACTAAGTTTATAAGCCATAATTACAACTTATTTCGCCTTTAACCTGACAAGAAATCCAAAATTAAAAAAAAACTTTAAACAAAAAGTAAAGTTAAAGATATTGCGCTTGAGAATAACAAGCTTCATCATGAAAAACGCTGCCCAATGTGAAATCATGCTCACTGGCTCAGATATAATTTTCATGGCACAAATGATCACGGTGAGAAGTGTAAACCGTGCGAAAATATGTTTTTCTTACTGTAAACGATATTTATTTTTTGTGAAGAAGTGGGAGGAATCTATTAAATTCACTAAACTCGCAAAATATGGTAAAAATACGTTCCAATGGTTGGGTTAGTTATTGCATGTCATGTCAGCCAGTGTGCGTGATATTTCATGTGCCAATCAATGTGCCAATCTGTATCTTATTAATCAATATTCAGTATATAATATTCAGTATATTTGTGAGCCATAACTGCATATGCACCATGTGCAAGATAGACTGATATTTACAAGCCCACTGGCAGCCAGGGGCAGATTAGCCATTGGTTGGAGGTTACCAATTAACGACCAACTGCTTACCCTAGTATGACAAATCAGTATGACAAATAGCAATCCCATATAAAAACCTGTTCAAAAGTGGTGGGACTAGAACAAGAACTAATAATAATGCAGATTTCACACCCAACATAGAATTTTATAGTATATCACTAGACACTAGACACCTATCCGACTGACATATGCCATATGATATCTCTAAACGTAAACTATAGATTGATGTATCACTTGATGTATGTTTATATTTCAAAAATTATAGTGAGTTCTAGTGCGGCACAATGGCTAATACCAGACCAAAACAGCCTGTTACTTCAAACAAAAACATTGGTGAACTTACATTCAAGACAAAACACAACTCATTTGCATGTATCGAGAACTCAATATAATGATAATGGGATCAACAAAGCTGATAACTCAGGTGTCTTAGAAGAGCTAAATGGAGTTGGGGAGTTGGGGTTGTACTCTGAAAATCATGCACAAGAGTTTGAAGGATTACCAAGTGTAAAGAAAAAAAGAAGTCAGAAGAAGAATGATAATTTTATTGATGAAGCAGCCCGACTTGCAGAAATTGATGCATATCTCTTTTGTGGAAATGTAAGACAGCCTGGTACATCGACTATGACAGAGTTTCCTTTATGCATACCAATTGCAGGCATGCAATGAGAATGATCAACTTCTCAGGAGGGTACTTAAACTCTCCTGACGAACTCCTTCTAAAGGCAGTTGTTATACCACATTTGATGTAAAGTTGTTTGAAGATGCTGCCACGCTGCTCCATGGTTATATTAGAGGATGGGCTATGACTTTCTCATATCTTTCATTTACAGGTAGATGGAGCAATAGAGGTCTTCAACCGATGCAGGCGCAAAGGACACAAGTTTGACATTTCTACATTCAATAAAATCCTCCATGGTCTTGCAGCTAAGAAACGAGTTCTGGACTGTCAGGTTTTCTTTCACAATATGGCTGGAGATAATGTCAAGCCTGACATACAGACATATGCTGCAATGCTGGATCTTTATGGACAGTTTAAAGATGCGAAAATGATAAAAGAAATATGTGCTAAAATGAATAGCCAGGTATAAACAGACAGATAGATGAACAAACCAACCTTCTCCTTAGGTCCAAGGTTATCAAATAGATTGAAGGCCATTTTAGTAAGAGTGAATACCGGATGCCTATGCTTAAGTACTTCAAACTGACCTCCTGATGTCCTTAAAGTCGCATTTTTCTGTTTAAAATGACATCCGTGCTCCATAAAGACATTCAAATATCTTCCTCTATAGGGTCATAACATAAAAAAGATCTTCAAGAAATCCATTTTAACAAGGGAACAAGCGAAACGCATACTAGAAGCCATACGGATGGTCTACCCAAATTATGAGGCTGAAATATGTATGGACACACGTTCGACCTACATTTCACCTTTAGTGCAATCTCTCCATGAAGAAAATAAGAAAAATATAGAGTATAATGTACCTGAAACACTTGTGAGAGAAGTTATGGAGAACTTCGAGCAACAGTTGGAACAAGAGAGAGTCGGGTTTGGGACCATAAAATCGGTGGAAAAGAAAAAAGACGTGATGAAAAGCAGCGAGGATAATCACAAGGGTTTTGATGAGATACAAACAAAATGGAAACAGCGACTAACCTCTGCTATTGAACGAGAAATTGAGCTGGTTAAGGCGGGAAATACAGGTGGAAATTCAACACTACTTTTCGTGTTCCTGGGGTTTAAGAAAAATATGAATATGTTAAAAGAGTTGGGTTTAAGAGAAACACGCTTTCTTTTAGCAACAAAACATTCCAATACTGTTTCAGCGTTTTTATGACAAAAAGCTAGAGCACCCGGAGAAAATCGTGTTCGCTAATAGAGTCAAGTTGTTGCTTGCATGTGTAGAAATAGGTCGCGTTATTTCTCAACCATTTATATGCACGCGTTAATACGATTATACTACTCATTTTTGAAACACCATAAGAGTATGAAGAATGCATAAATAAAGCATGACCAGAAAGCGCAAGTTAAGAAGGCAAAGCGCGAACTGTTAGTCTGTACTGTGTCTGTAATTTCGTTTCGCTTTCAACAAGACTCCTAAAATAAGGCATTGTTCTTGCAAGCACTAACCACTATATATGATAGCACCCTAAACATCTCCGAACTGCATAATTCCACTTCGACAAGAAGCTAAGTCATGCATTTCCTGTTTGGTTTACATCTAGATAACAAACGAAGTAAAACAGGACCATTTACACGAATAATGGTACCGTGTGAGGAGTACGCTGCACTCGCAGTCGAGACGATAACTGGACCAGTATGCAGCCAGTCGTACGGAGCACCACTGAACTATCTCTGTTGGCTTGTTGGAACACAAGTTTATAATAGGCACGCCGTTAAACATAAAGAAAAATCCGGCGTTGTTGATAAAGTATGTTAGATAAATGTAACTAAAGACAGAAAGATTAACCGTTTAGCTATAAGTGCTCAAGGGCTAGGTTATGCAAACTCTGCTTATATTTAATAGCGCGGGTGATGCAGATTTCATTTCGACTACCACCACCTCTCGCTGGACAATTGCCCTCGTGTTTGGTTAACCTGATAGACTTACTGCATTACTCCAGGTTCCTCAATTGTAGCAGTATAGTGGTAGTTAAAGTAAAATCTGAATCTTGCTCATGTTACCGCGATCCATTGCACCATATCAAATTTACACAGCTTATTCTTTTATTCATTTTTTTTGTTGATCTTTTACCGTTTATGCTAAACACGGTTCGTACAACTTGCCCTAGACAGCTGCATAAATATCATGGTCAAACCCTTGCCTAACTAATTTCCCATCGTATTGTATTTTTCTCGTTTAAGATCAGAGTTATGTACGAGCAATTTGCAAGACTTGCTTGCGATCCCGAGGCATGTAAAACGATGAATCCGAGGGAGATGTGGTTACAACTGGAAAAATCGACGCCTTATGAAGGTTCAATATACTGTGATATTACACCATGGCCTACCTCGATTAGAGTATTGGTAAGCAGAACGAAACTCGGCTACTACCCCATTACTACTTAAATTTAAATTTTTATCCAAAGGTGTAGTATAAAATTTATAACCTGCATATAACGAAACCCAGGGGAAAACCATACGCAGCCCAGCAAACAATGTTGGTTCGTAAGGTTACGTCATTGTATCAGTGTATTATAATAACATCATTGTATCATGTTATTATAATAGTAACACTAATACAATGACGTAACCTTACGAACGAACCAACATTATTTGCTGGGCTGCCTATGAGGAAACCTGTGCATTCAATTTATATGTGGCAACTCGTTTTAGGTTGGTTGTACGCTGATTGACATGCTTATCAGAGAATGTGAGACAGACGCAAATATGTTCAACCACAAGAAAGAGAAGATCACTCCTGCTTTCTTCCATACCTATGAATACGAACACACCACGGTATCAGGTTATATCAAGGCACATCCGAGTGTAATACAACTGTATCAAAAACATGTCAGTAATTGTGGAGATATCTCACAACCTGCCAGTAAACTGCCAATGTTAATTCCCTCCAGACCGTGGACCTCAATCACTGATGGTGGACACTTGGTGTTCTCCGGTAAAATATACTGAAGATAATGCTTAATTCACAAAAAACCTCTATAAAAACTCTTTATTCCAACTAGCCAATGTCAATAGAGTGTTGTGTTATCATTTTAGTTCAGTTAGCACGAGGTCAAGACAAAACAGCAGAAAATCTCACCGCTTTGGAAGAAGCTTGCCAGGCGTCGAAACTGAACACGATATATGACAGCCTTAATTGTCTCGGGCTGTGCGGGTGGAGAGTAAATGGCAAAATACTTGATTTAATGATTGATATATTTAACGATAAAGGAAATGAGCTACTAGAGATCCCAGGACCTGATTTACCGAAAATACCAGAGTTCAAGCCTGAGTTAGTATTCGTTTATTTTACTAACTCCTAAAAAAAATATAATCTCGTAACCTGCTGAAAGCATGTAACGCATTAAGAACTTGAAGATGATGTATGTTATCATTTTCAGGTTAAATGATCACCCAGAGTTATACACAGCTTTTCTTAAGGAGAAAACCAATGCAAAGAAAGAGTTACACGAGGCGCATGCGCTGAGAATGGCTATGTTGTACCATCTCTCTGTGGCAAATCATGTCCGAGAGAGGACTTTCTGGATGCCATGCAACTTGGATTTCCGCGGCAGGGCATACCCAATACCACCCTATGGCAGTCATGTAGGTGGGTATCACTGTCCCCCCCCCCTCATCAATAAGCAGACTTCTAACCTGTCCTCCCCCCTCATCAATAAGCACACTTCTAACCTGTCCTCCCCCCCTCATCAATAAGCACACTTCTAACCTTTCATCCGCCCATCATCAAAAAACACACTTCTTACATGTGACTAATGCTAAATTATGATCAAACGTACTACACGAGTTAAACTGAGCTAACCAGCTGTGACACACATTTGCACGCACAGAAGAAAAACATTCCTGATGTAATTTTCGTACATAGGTGACGACTCTACACGGGGTGTTCTCCAGTTCTCCAGAGGAAAACCTCTCGGGCCCAAAGGCCTGGACTGGCTGAAAGTTCATTTGGTCAATTTACATGGAAAGTTGAAAAAAGCTTCATTGAAAGAACGAATTGACTATGCCGATAAACTATTAGACGAAATTCATGACTCAGCTGATTATCCACTCACGGTATCGTATAAAAATTAGTGAATATATAAGAACGTATACTATTATTTCTATTGCAAAAAGCTTTATTATATCGCTGAACTGTGAAAAAGACAAATATATGTCATACTTAAAATGATGTTTCAAAAGGAAACGTAATTATAGTGGATAGTTTATCAACTTTTTGATAGACAGCTAGCTACTTTTACGGCCATTTTCCATCAATGTACAAGTATAATTTTGCAAATGACATAGGCAGATTTTTCAGCTCTAAATCCGTCATTCCAGGGTAATCGATGGTGGCAAACGGCTGATGAGAAATGGCAGGTGTTAGCGACATGTATGGAGATATCAAAGGCGATCCGTTCTGGTGATCCGGAGAACTTCATTTCTCATCTGCCAGTTCAGCAGGATGGATCGTGTAATGGTCTACAGCATTATGCTGCGTTAGGTCGCGATGAATATGGCGGGAAACAAGTGAATGTGCTTCCTTCAGAAAGACCTGAGGATGTTTACTCAGAAGTAAGATGAATAAGTGGTTTTTGTTGAGCGAAACAAGTCGAACTTTCGGAAGCACTTTCTCACTCTTTCTGAAGCATGCAATTGGCTTTTCTCACGATGACGTTTTGGGGTACTTTCAATTCTCTGAAATGGGTTTAAAAATTATGTTTAAACATCAAAAGCAATTTTTTTAGAATAAACAGACCATTTGAAGAATAAATTCAGCCTAAAATTAAAGACAGTCGCCGTTACCAAGTCTTAACGCTCACGGTTTTTGAAAAAAGTACCCCAATAATGGCGGCATATTCGTCATCGTGAGAAAGGCTAATTGGAGTGAAATTATTCATTTTTTGGATATTTGCAACAGACAACTCCATAGTGAATAGATCTGCATTCACTGAACACAATGTCACCGCTCTTGTAAATTTCAGGTTGCGAGGTTGGTGGAGAAGATGTGTGAACGCGATGCGGCAAATGGGGTGGAAATTGCGCAGCAGTTAGTTGGTAAAGTCAGTCGTAAGGTGGTAAAACAGACTGTTATGACTTTGGTCTATGGCGTGACCTTTGTTGGGGGTCGTAGACAGATCAGTGGACAACTGGATGATCTTGGACTGGCTCCCAGCGTGGTGTGGAAAGGTTCATCTTACCTTACAAGAAATGTGTTTGCAAGCATCAGAGAGATGTTCCATGCTGCTAAAGATATCCAGGTGTGGTTGTTAACTGTCATCTATTTGGTTAGAATATGAAAACGTTTGAAAGGGTATTTTACTTTTCTTACAACACAAATGGCTAAATATAAGTTGATCCTAAAGAAAAATAAAATAGCTCTAAACGGATTGCACAGATTCGCCTTAACAGAGATATTGATTGACCAACTTCGTACCAAACTCTTGAAAGATAAGGGGCGGAAGTATGGATAAAGACATGTTTGTTACTACAGCGGCCGAGTGGCCGTTTGATACAACTTTTTTTTATATGTCCAGTTATATTGATTGGCTCTATCAGTTCGAAAATATCCACCTTCAAAAAAAGATATCAATTCACCATTTCATCCCTAATTTTTAGGACTGGTTTACGAGCGCTGCAGCTCAAATCGCATTAAGTGGTCATTGCGTTGATTGGATTACCCCACTTAATCTTCCCGTGATGCAATCTTACCATAGAATGACCAAACGTGAAGTAAGAACTCCACTTCAGCACATCAAAATCCGTGTACCTGGCCGAGAAATGTTACCAAACCTCGAAAAACAAAAGGGTGGATTTCCACCGAACTTTATACATTCACTGGACTCATGTCATATGATGCTGACTGCGCTACATTGTCAGAAGCATGGTCTGACTTTCACGTCTGTCCACGATAGTTTCTGGACCCACGCAGCTGATGTGGACACAATGAATAAGGTAAAAGGGATGGCAAAAACTTGATCTTTTCTGCCTTTCCTTTTCTGAATCTCACTAGAGCCTTATTCTCACGAGTAAATGTACACTGTTATTCAAACACTTCTTAAAATCAATTCCCGATACTTATAGATATGTCGAGAACAATTTGTCTCCCTACACCGTCAGCCCATCCTTGAAGATCTGCGCAACCATTTCGTTAAGAAATTTGGAAAGAAAAGGTAAGTAGCGATTATCTGACATATTTCATTCTTAGAATGCAAACTATAGCAGTGCTTTGCATTACCCGCATTTCTAATGCTGCCCGCGCCGATCGCTCCCTAATTTTGAAACGCCAGTGGAGGTAGGTGCTTTGCTGCATTCCTAAATTCAAAACCAATCGACAAACTTATCTTGCATCATAAACCTGGCCCGAAAATACCTCAGGTGCTTTAAAGATGGTTTCATATTTTACTAGGATGCGTCGACCATTAAAAAATTCAACCCGTGACGAGGTTCATTTCGGCCCACTTCCGGAACGCGGGTCGCTTGATCTCAACGAAGTACTTCAATCAACGTACTTCTTCAGCTGAGGTCATCCTACAATAATAACGATCTTGGTGTAATGCTTCGTAATGGAGTTCCTGAATGAACCATCTGATATACTGAAAATGACGCGCCTGTGAAAACATCAACGAAAGTCACCATGGTACATGGTCAAATGTTTAACGTGGTTCAATCTTATGGTCAAAGAACCTGGTGACACTAAAAATATCTCACAAAGAACTGGAAAACGTAAATTAGCTTGCGCCGATGAACTTTGAATTAGAATGTATTAGAATACAAATAAGGTGTTCAGTGCATACAATAAATAAACAGTAAGTTGCATGGAAATTAATAAAATAATCATAGCGATATTATATAGCGCTGTGCGTTCCTAACTACGTTAAACAAAGCCTGACTTCTGCCATATACCAACCTCATTTTCAAACGTTTTCCTCTGCGGAACAAAGATTTTAAAACTGGTCAATGTGCTGAAATTAAAGAAACGACAATTGAAAATTTGCTTGGTTAGAAAAGTTTTTTTAATTGAATTGTGACCAGTTTCTGTTTCAAAGAGGAAAACATTGTGAAGAGGTTTGGTGATACACAATATTAGTTGTTTTCTGTAAGATCACAAACAGTCGAGAGCAGAATTGATTACATTCTACTATTCAAGGCTAAGCCTTCATCTTGTGTAAGAGATTCAAGTGCTAACAGGTGCTAATACTTTTTTGTCTATTTTGTGATTTTTGTTTGGTGTGCGGTTTTAGAGCTTGGACACATCAGCTATAGACTACTACCACTGTTCACTGCATTATTCACATCAAATGCAGGTCGTTATTTGCTGCTAGAAATACTTCCCAGTCTATTTGGTCGTGCTATTTTTGTTTACTGTATTATTCGTAGTCATAGTGGTAACTATGCATGGTTTTGTGGTACATTTTTCGGTTGCCTTATCTCCACCCAAGCCCTGCTTTACACAACTTGTGCCGCCATGTTGAGGTTCGGGTTTATCACATTTTCGAGACCGTGCCCGCTCACCCATACCACAAGTTACACTACATGAAGACCAAGCACCCCAATCACTGTAACCACCATTTACTGAAAGAATACCAACGAAAATATGTCAAAAATAGCATAAAACTGTGTCCAACTGCGTTTTCAAACACTTAATCTTGCAAATTTTTATTCATAGGTTTTAAGGATTTCAGACGAGGTTCGGATATTACCCTCTTACTTTTAATTAAGCTAACTTCGATAAATATGAACCCTTTTTATCCGTCAAGAACTAACCTGGACATGGTTTGTTACTGCACTTTCTATCCTCCTTAGCAACGCCTTTACAATCCGCCCCACCATACTGTGGCGAAGGATTGTTACACATACGTTCCCTAGATTGTATACCATCACCACAAGACGCACTGCACGGACCAAAAGGGAGCCATTCACTAAATTGGCCATTTACTAAAACAATTAGAAAGGTGGTTTATTGGTGGGCGTCATTTTTGCAGGTGATTCAAGTGGGGTCAGCCTCAAATGCCGTGCTGCACAGGAGTTATTTCATGATACAAAATTGCATATGTTTGCTATGAAGAATGACGCTAACACAAGCCTAAAGCCCGTTTACATTTATGTTGGATTTTCTTGTTTTGTTAGATGTGAACGAGTAATGTGTACGACTACGAATGCTCTGGTGCCAGTTATTCAAAGCTAGGTTAGTTAGCGCTATAACCGGCCTGGGTTAAACTTTAATCCAGTGACAGTGTTTTAGTTTTTGTGTTTCTGGACCACTGTTCGTTTTAAAACTTTAGAAAATATGACTTCCATCGGTCTAGAAAAAATTCATGAAAAAAGGTTCTCAACTTTGTAAACAAGCGAGAAGAAAACTTAATGTAAAGATTTCCTTTAACCCAGGGTTAAGCTAACCGGCTTTTGTTACGGTGTTTTGAACCAGCCCCTGACGCGTACGAGCTCCTATTTGAACATCCGTCATTTCACTCGTTCATAGCTATCTGTCAAAAGACGAAAATCGCACAAGTGTAAACGGGCCTTGTAATGGAAGCAGATTAACCTCGCAAGCCAGGAAGGCAAAATGTGACAGATGTCGGTTAAACAAAAATGCTGATGCTACAGTTAGTGATGATACAGGAAACCGAGTAACTGGCACTACCAAATGCAAGTCGGGTGAGGGTCTGACAAATAACGGATCACGGATGATATATTGTAATTTAACCCAGTGTGGATTTGATGGTCATATGTCACTTTACATAAATTTACATACGTTTACACGTAAACCCAGCTGTGCTCATTACGATCATAAAAAGCGTCCCTTTGTTTAATAAATGGCGTCTCTTTATTGTGCTGGCAGCATCGCGCAAATGATACCGGTAGTCGCTATGCACTTGAGCATACCTTGCGCAGAGGCGTAAAAATCTCGATTTAGGGAGGCACAAGCCTCCAAAACATAATAATAAAAAGGGCAATTTTTATCACACAAAAGAGAACGTTTGAAAATTTCTTTTTTTAGAGGGTGGGGCACGTGCTTCCTGTAGGCTGTGCTTCGCGTGTTGTTTGAGGTGGAAAAATAGACATGCCAGACTTTTGACCTGAAAACCCAGGTAACATAAAAACAACTTGTTTCCCTATTTTCATTGAATGTCAGGGACAAAATTTCTGTAATATTCGTATTGTTGAAATTATATATTCATTAGCATATTGGTAGAGATCTGAAATAACATGCTAATATATATTATGCAGGAGAACAGCATTATGCGATCAAACATATTCATTAACTTCTCAACAGTTATTAAACAAACCAGGGTATTGAACAAGGGATATCTTTTGAAGAATTATATGGCTAGAATATCATATTTTAATTTTTATGCACATCTTCATTTGATCATTAGGGTACTGCAGTTTATTTCACCTCAATGTGAGAGTAATATATAGACCCCCACAAATTCCCTCCTTTTCATAGCTAGATTAAATTTTAATCTTCTAACCACAAGACCACAAGCTTAGTTTCAGACATCAATCCTTACTTGGACATGGCTTGGTACCGCACTCCAATGTTTCTATTGCTACTCCAAGCCGGGAACAGTTTTGACCAAAATAATTAGGTATTGGGTTTGTACACGTTCGTGTCCGGGACCTCGCCCCACCTCCACATGTTGCAGAACAAGCTGTGAACTCTGACCACTCACTGTAACCACCATGAACTGTATAAAACAAACAGTCATTCACATTATCCACATCTGTATCAATTTAATACCAATTATTTCATTACTAGTAATATCTACTTAGTAGAGGAAGGGTAATGTTAACGACCCAGCTTGTAATGCACCCAGATGTGCCCTACTTGTGTATTTTACTATACACTAGATGCTTTTACACATCAGTGAAAGAGTATGAGAATAAGTTGAGGCTGATTTGAGGTCAAAACAATAGTGAAAGTGCACTAGAATTTCATGATTTCTGATTATTCCACAATTTCAAACAATTCATTTTGTTTTAATATATATATATTTCAGTTAAGTTGATGGTGGTTGGTTCTGAATTAGTAGGTGCATGGTCCTTGAAGAGTTTTTTAGTAGGCAGATGGAAATCTTGCAATAGCAGCAACTTCCCCAACTTCCCCGGTTACTCATGTGGTCCTGCATGGACCCTTGTGCTCCTATCTTTATAACTTACAGGCTGTTGACATGACCTAGGCAGGCCTTGTCAACTAGGCTACCTTGCCAACTGCTGTTTTTTTTTGTAATTTTCAAGCAAAACTGTTAAATAAATGTCAAGTCCAGCAGGGCCTAATTTAATACATATTTCAAGGGATATGCAATATATGTCATTCAACATCTAACAAAATATTCAATTAGGACATCATCAATAGTTAAGTTGAGAGTATAATATTTTTAAAATTACCTATGAAAACACTTTTGCCTATAACATACACACAATACAGAACAGCAACACCAATAAAGCACCATGTCAATAATATACCAGTTCCTCTTCTTTGAAAACTCAACATCCCTAATGAAATTAACCATATTAAATCTGCTTTGCTAAAGAGTGTTGGATCTTGCTGGTTGTACTCGCATCTGACAGTTTGGCTTTCTAGTATCATGTTTGGGATTATTTAAAACATTTACTGGAATATATATACCCCCATACGTATGCCCTTTCTCTCTGCAAATGAATATTTGCAATTAACTCTAACATTACTTGGTGACTAGCAACAAGCAAATACTAAATGAAAAAAAAATGTATTATGATTGCTATAAATCCGAGTGCCAGGTAGTGTTGTGCTACATAGGCAGTCAATAAAAAAGGCTAATATTTGTTAATTGATCACACATTGCATACTGACAATAAAAGTTATCATGAACATAACGCTAATAAGAATACATACCTCTAGCAATGAATATGAAATTTACCTTTTAATACCAAGTACAGATCAGCGAATAAGGCACAAAATTCCTTTAAAACTCATCGTGTAAACATTCCACGTTGGCACATATCAATCTTATTGTCACAATTAATCACATAATTTGCACATTAGCATAGTAGATATAGGGCAAATATCATGTTAATTTATGCTGGACAGCAGTGCGTTTAATAAACGTATTCATAAACTTCGCGACAGCCAGAGACTCAGAGTATTGAATTAAAGATTTCTTTTGTGTGAATTGTTTTGGCTACAATTTGATGTCTTATTATAATTTTTACGCGCGCCTTTATTTCATTGGACAACACACTAAAAGAAATATCAACAAAAACAGCGGGGTGGAAGTACATTTTTAGAATCCCTGGTTCAGACAGATTGAAGTTAATCCCGGTTTGAAACAGCCGCTTCAATATCCGCTCCAGAACGTCACGAAATTAAGTTTGACAAGACGGCAATTTATTACTCGTTTTATTCATTAGCTTTATTTCGTTTAAATTTAAAATTTCACTTCGTTATTGAATCATTTTTTTTTATTCAAGCTTTGAGTCTTCTGAGAAAAATCTTCCAATAAAATTAGAAATAATCCGAACTTAACTCAATAACTATAATAATGAATAATAGATGAAGTACATCACGCGACCACTGCTATAATAACGCAGACTCAGGTTTACAGCGTGCTTTACAGCTGAGTTTACTCATTTTCGTGTAGAAATGGCGTCGCAAAATCGTGTAAATGGTCCCGATTCTCTTCCTGCTAACGGCACAGAACAGCAACGGGCGGACTTATTTCAAAACCTTGAGAAGCTTATTGCCTCAGCCGTTTCAATATGCAGATTAGACGGTTCTGTCCAATGTCAAATTGGCGGGTTAATAACAGTTATCGAAGAGCTCCAAAGACTCCTTCGTCACAGCTTTGCAGGTATAGTTTGAATGAAAAGAAATGTTTTTAGATAAGCTATGCAGTGATGGCATTTATTTTCTAAGTTAAAGCATACGCGTATGCTAAATTATCCATATCAGTGATAATGACATGTTGATCTTTTAACTAAAATAAATAATCTCTAATAAACATCTTCCCACTGAGCGCTATAGACTAACTGGAAGAATATACGTATGTTTTCTTAATATGTGACAATTTTGATATGAATACAAAAAAGAAGACGGAAATGAGTCAGTGTTTGACAACACTATGTCACATTTATTGACTTCACTAACATTCTGTTGGCATTTACATATATTTTGAAAGAAAATTTTAGCCAATAATGTAAGAAACTGAATCATTACAGTATTATAAATTTATATACTGAAAATTATACACCAGATTAAACACTACTATGCTTCTAAACGAACATGCACTAGGTTGTTGTAATCAGGGGCCAGTTGTTCAAAGTTAGGTCAGCTCTAACCCTGGGTTAAATTATAATCATGTGTTTTAGTTCACATGCTTCTGAACCACTGTTCGTTTTAGAACTTTGTAAAGAAGCAATTGTAAAAAATGTAAAGATTTGCCTTAACCCAGCTTAACCATTTTAGTACTTTAGCAATAACAAAGGAAATTTCTGCTGCCAAGAGATTGGGTGCATTTAAATAGCTGTACAGGTTGAAGAGATTTTTTTAAAATAATCTTGACATGAAGAACAGTTCATGAACACAAGACATTTTGTTGAAGAGTTTTTCTACATTTATTTTGTTGGAATTTAAATTCTTTTTCACATTGGATCAGATTGCACTGCTTACTTGGCCATAGTTTGTATGAAAATATTACCATTTATTGTTGATTTCACATAACTTTTCAAAGCGTGGTTGCAAAGTTCGTTGCGATGTTCGCAATTAAGGCCGTTTTCCACTTCAGCCGTATCGTAGCGAAACGTAGCGTATCTCATTGTTTTAAAGTCGTTAGTTCTGGTCGAATACTTCGGAAACAAAGAAATACGTTACGTTACGTTACAATACGGTTGAAGTGGAAAACAGGCCTTACGTTTTGATTGTTCGAAGTTCAAAACAAACTTTGAAGGTCAATTTCATAAACAATTTGAAAATACCTTTTCAAATAGAACTTAGTCAACTTACTAAAACAGTTTTCTTTTAATTTGAAATGGTCTTATCTTATGCAGTTACATTGATAAGTCATAGTTTACAATATATTTTAATGCTTCGTATTGAACTTCGAACATTCGAAACATAATTGCGAACTTCGCAATGAACTTCGCCACCACGCTTTGAAAAGTTATGTGAAATCAACAATAAGAAAACAATCTTGATCCCAATTTATTCAAATTTTACCATTTGCAAATGAGCAAAATGTTGCCTTTAGTTCACTAAAGTGATAAACTTTAGACAACTAATTGTACCTTGTTAATAATTCCCATTTACAAATGATCTCATGAATAATTTCCACTATATATATTTCATTGTTAAGAAATCAGAAGATTGGAACGAAATCTAGAAGATCAAGAACACACATTCACTAATAACATCACAAATCTACACTATCATGTTAATGAAGTGCAAGCAACTGTGGAATCTTTAGAATGGTTAGATATAATTTAACAATCTTATAAAACCTTTGGCAAAAATATTCTGTTTTTTTGCAGACATTTGCAAGATGCAGTTAAATTCAAAGGTTCCTTTTTAATTTGACAATCCATTTTGCAAAATTGGACTTTCAAACTTTGCCAAAAATCTATGAACATCTTTAGAAGATTAAATTATCTTCTTTATCTTAATCATCTACTACTAGCAGAACCTCTGTTAGAAACAAGTAAATAAAATAACTTGGTATTGAGCAACAAAATGTACTGAAAATTGTCAACTTTTTTCATTAGATATGTGAGAGATACATTAGGTGATTTACCAACATTTACACTGTACATTTACACTGTACATTTCCATTAGTGATTTTGAAGAAGCTCAGAGGTCAAGAGAAACAAGCAGTGCTATTGAGCAATGCAGTCAAAATGAAACAGAACCTGATGATTCATCACAAATCTCTTTAATGGAAGAAAGTTATGGCTATGGCGAAGAATTAGATGGTGGATCTATACCAAATAATGTAAACTATCCATTGGAAAACACAGGTAAAGATGAAAGTTTTGCAGGTATTGTGATGTCAGTATTTACATTACTCAGTTCAGTATTTGGGAAGATGTTGAAAAAGTCCATGGACATTCTTAAGCCTTGTAACACTGACCTACTAGAATGCTGTTAGTATCCTTTCTGCAACAAAACTACAAAGAAAACCAAACCTACTGGCCATTACAGGTCCCTACATTGTGCTTTTTGACTTTTACTTTTAAGCTAAACAACAATTTTTTCATAGCTTCGAGTGAGAAAGATGAAGGACTTATCACCATGCCAGATTCAGACACTACAATGGATGTTACCAATGAAACTGCCAAAAGTACGAATCAAACATCACTGGGTGGTGAAGATGCTGTGACAGATGATGTGAAAGATTACGTAAAAGAGGATGTGAAAGATGATGAGAAAGATGATGAGAAAGATGGTGTAAAAGATGATGTAAATGATGATGTAAAAGATGATGTGAAAGATGATGTTAAAGATGATGAGAAAGGTGCTGAAAAAGGTGTTAACAATAGCCAAGGTCCATTGCCAAGTCTGGATAAAGAAGCTGAGGTGAAAGAGGACAAAAAAAGGGCTGACAATTGCGAAAAACCGTTGCCAAGTTTGGACAAAGACGTGGTTGAAAAAGAAAGTGAAAGAAGTTCTGACAATGGCCAGGTATCTTCGCTATGTCCCAATGACGAAACTGGCGAGGAGGACAATGGAATTGGTGCCAGAAATGATCCTATACCATCAATTGTAAATGGAGGTACGAACGAACTAGAAGAATCACACGAAATACCATCATCATCATCGCCACCCTTACAGCAGGAGAACAACAATATATCAACATCACCGGACAAAGAAACTGGTACGAGTACAAGTTCAGAGCGGGAAAATGCACTTCGTGTACTCCGAAGTAACACTAATAACAAGTCGGATAGCCAAGAGCAAGTCACATCCGATAAGAAAACCAACCGTTCTTTCAGCAATAGATTTGAGGCGATAGAAACTCGTTCAAGTTCATCTACGAGTAAAGATCGGCAAGTCTATTCCACAAGCCCATTTGTAATCAGAAAGTCACCGAAAATACAAAGTTCAAAAACATTCCAAAGCAACTCATCGCCGAAAACAAGTCCTACCAAACAGGTTTTTCATAGAAGTCCTGTGAAAAACCAAAGAAGCCAACCGCGTGGCCAGTTATATCAAAGAAGCCTGACTAAACAAAATACATCGAAAATTACAAAAAAGAGTATGATGTCAAGAGAATCGTCGAGTAAAATGGCGCTGGTGAGCAAGATAGAAAGGAAAAGCCCTGTTGGCGTCAAACTTTCTCGAAAAGGTCCAGATAGCGGCTCCAAAAAGACCACAAAGATTATCGCAAAATCACATGTTAAAACTAAAAACAGTCCATTAAAGCAAAGAAGCGTTGTTAGCAAACGTCCAGCAAGCCCAACCAACGCAACAACAGACAAAGATTCGAAACGAGCCAGTGAGAGTTTTTCGAAAGAAACCGAGCAAAAAGATTCTATGTCTAAGAAAGTATCCTCAAAGCCTTCAAATGAAAACCCGATGGACAAATATATTGATTTGGATTTTCTCTTAAACGCGAACCAACTAATGAGTGAACTGGTGACGGACTCCAGTAGAGAGGAAGGGACATTAGACACTGCATCTGAGGCTGAAAGACGACATATTGTCGAATTAGCGAAGCTGTATCGACTTCGATTACGAATGGCAGCCAAGGAGGGCGATCTCCCTGTGGCGTTGATAAAGGGTCGCGAGTCATCCCTACCGAAGCCAGGTCAAGTCGACAGGCTGTTGCACAAAATGACTCGTGCAATGGTGATCAAAACACAGATCGCAAAATCGAAAGAGTCTGCAAAGAAGCACAAGCTAAGCGGAAACAGGCGAAGTATGGCAAGTCCTGCGAAGAAGAAAAGAGATTAGACATTTAGAAGTTCAAAAAATTACACATTGATATTTGTTGATAAACTGATAACATACGTTTAAACGCATGCGCAAAGTTGAATAATGCAAGGATATTTTAAGTGCAAATAGTCAATGAAGAAACACTAACATACCCAATCGGGCGCTTTGATATACTAGAAAAATAGAATAGACGATTCATTTAATTTGTACAGAGAGAACTTTTAGAGAAGTCTTTGAACTTTAAAGATGGTACTTTTAATATTGTAGTGGGCTTGAGATTATGTTTATAGCGTATGGTTTTTAATCCAAACGCTTGTTTAAATATCTTGTAGTTGCTATAAATAAAGTACAGTCGTTCGGATTGTTCTAGTAAATAGTAACGGTTTTACAGTTTACAATAGGGATATTTCATTGCAAATTTACGAGAACTTCCGCCTGCACGTGAGCTATTGAGCGTGCCATTTACATAATTATATACGATGGTCACAAAACGTTTTTGGAGCAGTGGCACAGCATGAAAATGGAAAAACTTCGTTTAACCTTTTTTGTTTCCATTTTTTTTAATTGCTGGGTTATTGAAAACCATTGACTTAGCATCAACATTTTACTGTTTATAAATTTTCGTTTGCGATGAGTCTTTTGTAAAAACGAATTTTGAACAGTCTGACTTCATGTTTAATATAGACAAGGACGGATTTTCAGCTCTGGAGTGCTCAAAGTTCAATGGAGGTGCACCCTTTTTTGAACTCTGAATATGCATTTTGCATGGGTCTTTTGGAATAGTTAACCTGAATTTCACTTTCTCTCCTACTAGAAAATATTGGAAATCATTAATAACAACATAATTTTGAAGTTCTATCTAATAATCCTCATAATCTTATCTTTGACAATTATTCGGCAAATATTTCTATAGGGTGCAAATTTTCTATGGTCAAAAAACAACAAACATACTGTCGACAATGAATAAGAGATCCTATTTATTTCATATAATTTGTAAATATAAATTCTAACAAACACCTTTCTTTATAAAAAAAAATCACCTCGTTCGTAAACGGAATCCAAACCCAACTTATCGAATGTTTAAAGCCCAAATAATTTTCCATGGGCTGGCTCAATTAACCTTTAAACTTTTTATATAACATCTAAAATTTTAATATTCTACAAGTTTATAGAATAAAATAAATATATGACACACTACAACATCTGTAGAATGTCTTAAATATATATCTACGCGGGCTTATTTAATTTGACCGAGTCTTTTGCAGCTCCCAGTTGCTGCAACGATTTCCTGCTATTTGGAAGGAAGGGAAGCTGTGTCCCCTCTTAGCCTCGATAAACGGCTCATATAGTTCTGGTTTCCCAAAACCGTTAGGTACAATGCCTCTGAGATGCAAGGGGTTTACAAGACAGGTGTACCTTGAATTTTGTGAAGGTTTTTGGAGTTATCGTGGAATAAATTATTTTCTTCGAACCTTCCCATCTTTATAGTCAAGTGACATCCCAGCACTTTCGCGAGGACTATAATAATCCCCGATGATCAATTCCCACCCCTATACAACCGAGGTATGGTTAGATGAATTGCTTATGATGGTTGATCGTTTTTGAGCTTTTGCATTAACACGGCTATTGCTTGCCCGAGGTGGACCCGTCTCATCGTCCATTATTGCCTCAAGTAAAATATGATCATCAGGATCCATTGGCATCACCGAGATATCGCGAACTGCACGGAACTCGCCGCAATTGTTCAAATGTTCGTTCTCGAGTCGAAAGAAATTCCAAATAAATCGTCTGCAAATAAGATTAGGAAGCTCATTTCAACTCTCTTAACAGCGCTGCATGTCAGAATTTTTTTAAAAATATCACTCGCAGGAAATTATTTTTGCATTTCGTAGAAAGGGTTTTTGTTCACACGTCATTTTAGGTTTGACGCATTGAAGAAAAATTTTAAAAAATTCTAGAAAATTCTACTTTATATCGGTATCTTGTTATTTCAAATTCTCAATGACGTGAGACTCATTATGATAGTGGATTAATGTGCACTCATCATAATGTGCACTCATCACAATGATAATGCATTAATGTGCCTGCCGAGTGTAGTCGCCACTCCATATATTATTTTGGGATTAGTTCCTTAAGTTATACTTTCAAAACCTTCAACTTTGAGAAAGGTGTGAGAAAGTCCGATGAATAGTTGAGAAACCTTTAGCTCAGGAGAAAAATGGTCTTTATTAACTGATTTTTACGAGCATGGCATAATCTGGGTGAGCAGAATAGTAATTTACGCGCACTTACCTAAATATCTCACAAACAGCAAGAATACTGGTCATTAATTCCTGGCTAACTGTCCCATTATATCCAACGGATACGTTCAATGTCCAAATGAGACGAAATATGAAGTCCTCAACAATGGCGAAGTAATAAAGGAACTACAGAGAAAGACGTCATGTTAGCCTTTCTGTGGTGGACATGACAACAAACGACAAACCCAACTTTAATAGCTTTAGGACTTCGAGAGAGCATTAATTTTACATTAAAACTAAGACGAGTTTAAGGATCACCGTTGGTGAATAAAAATAATTTGGAATCTCTCGATTTAATAAAAAAAAGGAAATCCAGTGGCATCTCCACTATTCCAATTATTTTCCAGTTGAACATCAGATATACCGGATAAAAGTACTGTATAAAAGTGTCTCACGCTTAACCTTACCTTATACGGGTATACAATTTCTTCACGTAATAAGGTGTTTTCAGAAAGATTCCACTCCAGTAAGCCCCAATCCATTTTGAGATCCCACGTTAAAGTATAGCACGTGCCAATAAATGTGCTGATTATCCATAATATAAAAAATGCTCCCACATATGAACTATTTTTATCTGTAACCGACAAAAAATAAATAAGAAAAGGATAATTACAAGAGATAGTCCCATATATGTAGGTCGTGGGGGATATAGGTGCACGAAGGCTATTTAGTCTAAATGGTATATAAAAAGGTAAAATTACATAATTTTTTTAAACCTCATGAGAACGATTAATCAATAGATATTCTCCTATTCTGGGGCCGGTTGTTCGAAAGGCGTTTAGCTTAAACAGTGGATAAGCTAGAGTTTAAAAATACTCTCATACATCTTGTGAATGACTGAAACTATACATCTTATGCATTAAATATGTTCTTCAGTTGAAATTAAACTATTCACATCGCAATATTTCAGCTCAGTTGTTCTATAAATAAATAGATAATTTTGATTTCCTTTTTCAACTTATCCGCCATTTAAGCAAAACGCCTTTCAAACACCCGGCCCCTTAACCGCCGTTTAAGCTAATCGACAATTTAGGCTAAATAACACTTTTGAACAGCGCGGCTCCTCCCTGTATTTGAATAAACCCCGGAAAATCAGCAACAAATTCATGGAATTACCTTTTTCCATCGCTGTAAGAGAAGAAAACAGAACAATGAAAAACGTCGTAGAATATTTGCCAGCATTAACGAGATGCGGAAAAACGTGTTTTGTGTCGCGGTATCTTCTTAGACATTGCGCGAAACGGAACCAGGCTGGTAGACAAAGAACGATTGGTCTTATACCATATATATTGGTGGAACACGTATCTGGAATGTGAAATAGATAAAAATAGAATCAGGGAAGGATTTAATGATGTTTTGGAGGCCAAACACCCGCAGGGGTGGGTGTTTAGTAGGATATAACTTCTCAATATCACCATCGTTGTTGGCTTGTATTTATTGACAATGTCAGCTGAAAAGATGGTACATCTTTGCAGGCATTTAATTTACACCCCCCCCCCCCCTTATATAGGCACACTTCGCTACTCACCCCCAGAACTATACCAGCCGTATACAAGATAGCAAAAACTGTATTCAATATCTAAAAACATCGTGTTTAGACTATTCATCTGATCTGCAAGCCAGAAATCAGCGAAACCAACAGAATGGAATGGAGCAGTGATAACGCGATACTGAAAACAATAGAGTAGTTCATGTTAGCAAAATCTAAAGAACGCGATTGAACTTATACTAAAAACCAGAACTGAATGAAAACCATTAAAAAAACTCAATACTCTGGTACATACCACTATCTTTAAAAGCCACCATCTCGCACCGTAAAAGCCGCATTTGAACGGGTTTAAAGTAAATGCCAATATGATAATAGCCATTACTAATGGAGGAGTGAAAGGGTATATGCCAATATCGTTGTGATATATATAAGCAAGAAGACTCAAACACCATATCACTGATAAACAAGCTGATGCCTATATGTAAAGAATAATATCTTGAATCTCTATACGTGCACTTAAAAACTCCACAATTCTGACTTACCTCCATAACTTGTTGAAAAGTCAAATGAGTCCTGGGATTGAGTTCAAATATCAAGACATGATTAACACCCGCTGACCGCCAACCACATGTGTTTATTGCGACGAGGAATATCATCATTACCAACAAGAACACACTACGATACATTCTCAATATTGGAATCCATTCATCGCCATATCCTTTAGTTCCAACTACATATAAAGGTAAAGCGCGATGACTTAGAAAAATTTATACTTCAGGGTCGAAGCACAGGTTGAAACCGTAAATAGTAAGTCGCACCCTTATAATTCAAAATTTCTAAGTACTGTAATTTTAAGTGGTTTGGCTGTGCATGGTGGTTCGTACCACAGCCTTCCATTTCATAATTTTTTTCCTCGTTGAAATATTTTTGCACCCCATTATTTGTCTTTAACACACGCAACAAGGAAATTTGTTCACACGGGAAAAGAAATAATGGATTTGTTGATTATGTCTAATTACGTGGAATGGAAATATCACGGATAACTACAAGTTTCCATGCGAGTAAATTTATTTCCAGTGTTAAAACTGCACTGCAGCTTAAAACTGTACGCTTCATGGCATCTTTAAGAAACATAGAGCTGTGTTGAGATGCGGGAGTACAATAGACCTGGGGAAAGTCATACCGTACCACACAGGCTGAGAAGTGAAAACAGTTCAGAATTGATTGAACAATATATAATTGTGTTACGTGAAGGGATAGCTATTACTCACATCCAAGAATTATAACGACTATTAACACGAGAAACATTCCGAAGAAAAGTCCACCACGGAAGATCACCCAGCTACGTTTCTACAAGATATGTCAATTATTATTCAGATTGTTTCTAAAAGATAAATCAATTATGAGTGCAGATTCTTCAATGATCAACCTGGGGACATCTGTTTTTAACATTCTGTAGGCACCTCTGAGGATGATTTCGCGCTAAATGAATGGAACGCGCTAAAGATAGCCATATAGCCACACAAGAATAACCACACTACAGGCTCGCGCGCTGGCTCAGCTTACAGCCACTGATCTATGGAAAATCCTGTAATGTGTCTATTTATCGTTATCTAAAGCGCCTGGGTGCGAGGTTTGAGGTAAGGCCGAATATTGGCTGGGGAACTCCAGAGATTTTTTCTGTTCTATATGAATAATGGCCACAGAAATAGAGAATTATAATTACTATTGTATCTACTATTTGTAAAAAGATGGTGCATGAGATGGATATGTTGAGGTGAATTATGAAAAACACTGACCTCACGTTCCGTCAAAGGTGGGACACGAAGACGGTTCATAGCTTTCGAACGATCCCCTTCCTCCAGTTCATTGATAAAGATATTCTAATAGAGAAACGTTTGTAGCATTTCTAAATAAAATCACTACCAAGACTACTGACTGGCAAGTGTGCAGTGTATAACTTAGGGGAACATCAGACTATCAAGGGCGCATCAGGATTGACATGGGTATGGTCCTTACCCACCCATCATGACCCTCACCCACCTATCATGGCCCTCACCCACCTACCATCATAAGAGCTCTCTAATTACCTCAGTCTCACTAATGAGGGTATCCACTCCTTTGTTGACAAAAAACGGAGCTTTTTGGACCTTCTTCTTGAAATTCAAACCATTTTGAGTTTCGAAAAGCTAAATGGCAATGAAAAAAATCATTGGACAATTAGTATCGTTGGTTCTTCAAAGAAAAAGTTTGTTGATTATACATGATGGTTCCTAATCGTTATTAATTAATCAACAAATGGTCAAGGGCACACACCTTGTCATGTTTTTTCAAAATTTTTCTAAAGCCAGTAAAATTCAGTTGCTGCAAAAGAGTAACAATGTAAAGATTGAAGATTCGTAATTTAAGTAGTGATCTCTTTATGCGCACGGATGTATATGCGAATATTTCAACCAACAAGGGATTTGGACGATTTGTCACGTTTGCCTCGTCGATTTCATATCACAAGATTTTTCAAATAAGTGTAAAATATCAGCATGCCGACACTATAAATGGAGATAGCATTCGGCAAATCGAAAATCAGCCTAACCAATCACCAACATGTCATGTTTGGTTATTAGTGGAACAGGCTTATGAAGGGTTCATATTTCCTGAGAAACATATTCTCCAGATCTTATATGAACCTCGGAATCTGTGACACGCTTCTTGCGATTTTCCTAACGTCACTTCAGCCAGAGGGATCGTGGGGCTTCAGAATCGCATGTGTTTCAAATGATATGTTTTGAACCGCACCTGAAAGTTCTGCAGCAAAACCAAACTGAGATAGAATTCACTAAATGCAAGCTTTAAATTCTTCGCCTTGCGATGGCTTTTCGCTAGCAGTTTCTTAACATTCGCGTCTAGAACCACTCCTCCAATAGCACCACGCCGTATTTGATTCAAACTTGACTTCGCGGAAAGGTAACCGCCACATTCCGCTTCGTTCTTTAATGTCGTGAACTTTCGCTGAGCCTCGGCGATTTTCTCTAACGTAAAATAATGGAGAGAAGTATTGTGAGTACGCAGAGGTGTAATAAATAAATACAAGCAGCTGTGTTTTATTAGGTCTAGACGTAAGCGTAGGACTTGACATTCCACAGCACTTTTCAAGTGACGGAATCAGCAGCCAGATAAAATCCTGGGGGCGGTTGTTCGAACCCTTTATTTGATAAAACAGTATAGAAAAGCACAGTTTCACCTACTTTGTGGATAGCACAGCTTCGATTTCATGAGCCAAAGTAAAAGTTTACGACTTATTTTACTTGCGTGTTTATAGGTATTTCAGTCTGGTTGTTTGAGGGATTTATAAACGCGATCAATATTATCCACTTGTTCAGCATTTATCCTTACCGGGTTCCGAGCAATCGGCCCTCCACCCCTCTCGTCTTGAGTTGGATTTGCATGGCATGTGTAGGATGATAGGAGAAAAGACTCGATATTTACTTATACCTATATTGGGGTCTCCCCGCGAGTGATATGGGGAAATATGCGGTTAATACCCGGCAACAAGACTTTGTAGCACAGTATTATTTCGAATGCGGGGTTCCTAGTAACGGATTAGCCTTCAAGAAAAATCTGTTATGTAAATGGATATTTGTTAATGTAGCCGCATATATATTCTCGTAGCTTTGTAAGCTTTGTAATTAAACATAAAATATCGCTATTTCTACGGACAAAACCTTTTAGAATTTCATTTCATCATTAAGAATATTTCATATAGCTATCTTACTTATTTTATGCTGGGTCTCTAAATTTATACAGCGTTCACAGTTACCGCCTGCCTGGTACATCTCGTGCGCTACATGGCCATAAATTGAATTTTTGCTTCGAACAACAGACTCTTCCGACATATATATTACAATAGACTACTTGCAATGGAACTTCTGAAATGTGGCGGCCAAGAATGTAAACATAAAAAAATAGTGAAAATTTGGCTACCTTCACTTAGATATTATGATTATCACTTTCGTTCATTTCTTTCCAGTTATATTTGTCATGTTTAATTTACGGCAAGAATTAGTAAAAAAAGCTCGTAAAAGTGAAATGAGAATTGTGTGAGATTTCGTAGGTCAATATCAATTTCAGCATTGACTGAAAATGAGCCCGTGTAAAAGGCCCGTTGGCGTTGACACGATCCAAGGTTGTCGGATCCAATTCACTTCTGATGGATGTTTTATAGTCTGTTGACTTGCAAAGTATATGGACAGCAAATCAACTAAAGCCAATGCAGTAGTGTTTTATCAATAATACACACTACATTCCATACGTCAAAAGTGAATTGGATCCGACAAAGTTGGATCGTGTGAACGGGCCTTTACATGGCCTAAACTGACTTAATTCTAATGTCTAACAACCTTTGTGGTCAATTACTTTATTCATTTATCGAAAGCAGATACTTTCTTTAAAAAACGTGTTTACAAAATTTCAATATATGTTATGAAGACTGATAAGCGAATAATTTCTTTGCAATTTGAAGAATCTAGCTCATATATATTGGATTCCTTTTAGAATCACACGATCATTGGTTCAGACTTGAAAAGCCACTCATATAAACACTTCCATTCCTATCAATCTTAAACTGCAAGAGTATTTCCCTCTGAAGACTTAACGTTCGTTATGGAGGACGCGAGGTGTTTTAATTTAATTCCAGAACCATCCTCAGAAATATGAAATATTGCGAATCATATCTGACACTACTGAGAACGGCGCAAAATTCATTGCCTCGAGCGAAAATTAAACTTGCTTTTTCCTGTTTCCAGACTGCCGCTCACCCACGTAAGTTATTGGCCAAGGTAACGCGGGTATCATCTAATGTATGTTCCAATATAAGGGAAAAATTACCATCAAGTTCTCCCAGCCCGCGTGGGGGAAGCACACTTTGTTTTTGAAACCGTGAGTGACGCCCGCTTAAGGGGATTTTCAAAAACAGTCATTAACCCTTGGCAACGGCGGTTTATTTTTGACACCGATTTTCTTCTCATGGTGTATACTATTAGGAATTTTTAACACAGTAGTTTACTTTACGCCACCTAGTCCTAGTTATACATCCGTGTACATAATTCACCCAATAATATGCGCAAGAAAGAGAAAATCGCCGAGGAAAATCCATTTCCAAAATTTCCATTTAATCGTAATTCTCGTGAACAAGTCATTTTAACCGATGAGAAATAGTCAAGATCTAAATATATCTTTATCTCTGCATTCAAATCGGTCATTGGTGACTGCAAACACATCTCATCAGCCATCTTTACATCAATCACATGTTCATGACATTCATGACTAAATGGAATCCAGGCAGAGTTTATGACGTCACAGTCGCCATGTTTTCGACACAAAACTCTAACTAGTGAGCTGACCCTAACCCGTTCTTTGCAGCAAAAATGAGTTTAATATTTCATATCTTTTAGGACAGTTATAAACACTTTCTCCTGCATCATGTACTGACTATAATATTGATACAGAACTCTTGTGTGTTCAGCCTATTCAACACAATCCTAGAATTGGTTATAGGGAAGTAAATATGCCTACCTCCCGAAGGTAAAATATAAGAATTACGCCTTAGCAACTCATAATTTTAAGGAAAGAGTCGTGGGGGTTTAGAGCTTTGCTTTTAATAATTAGGAGGCAGTTGACTTATATTTTTGACTATTACTTAATGTAAATATATTGAAAGTGAAAGTGTATGGTAATTGTACATACCAATAACAAGTCTGACAATTTAGTCATGCTATATAAATTTCAACTTATTTAATTACATTGTTGAATTCTTTAGAGATTAATTTCCGTCAAATGCTTTATAGCAGATTGGTGGAACTTTAGGGGAAAGTGAGTGGCCAAAGTGAAGTAAACAACTGCTCAGCGGTGTAGCCCAATTACAATTACAGGCCTTCTAATAAAGTTCTTGTTTACAAAACATTATAGGACATTATTTCCTACTGAATTATGGCTCTCAGTCTTTGATGTTGTTGCATAAAGAATGAATGAAATACTATTTAACAGCCTATTATCTGACTGCATTAACCAATAAGATGTTAAGTAAAGATAACAATACCTGCAAAAAAGGTATTAACTTTTTCTAATTCCTTATCACAGAACATAAAGAACTGTTCTTCAAATTGGGCAAAGTATTGTTCCTTTATGCTTGGGTCAGCCTCTGCAAAGATTTGGTAGATATATAATACAAGTTAGTACAATAATTAAACCAAATAAACATAGTTTCACATCTAAACAATGCAATATTTGTGGGAAATGCACCTGGAGGAAGATGTTTCACAGTAGCTATCATAATATACATACACATAGGCAATTTACGGGATTAACTTTTAAATTTGGTTTCATATTTCTTGCCAAAGGTAATTATCTGGCTGCATTTAGGGCATTGGAAACCTACTTCAACCGACCATATTGGTCAGTTGGTGCGGCTCAGATTTGCACTGTGAAGAGGTTAAAGATTTAAATACTACACTTTTTATGCAGCGTTATGTTGAGGGATCTGTCTATACAGAGAAAGTTTTCCTGTGTTTTGTAGACATATTCCTACCCTCATCTGATGGCATTTTCTCCAGAGCATCATAAAGAATTTCTTTCATTTTCTGTATTGTAAAAAAATGTGGGGAATGTTAAATTTGAAACAATTTCAGGAACTATAGAATACCCTGCGAAGCATTAAGGCAGCATGTTTCAATAAATAACCCTACAGTTTTACACTTTATTGAAATCCACATATATAAGTATGACCAATAAGGAATGCTTGAAATAAAATATACTTGTCCTAAGAAAAAGCTAACCCCACAATTAAAATATTATTCTGCAGGATGAATAACTTAATTGAATTAGTTGACCCTGCAGAGTATTCCATAGTTGTGTCTGATTTCATGTTTTCGCATTGAGTATTTTATTTATATATTCTTATACTACCATTATGTGCCACAATAGATAATTTCAGATTTCTATACAGTATAGTATTATAAACAAAATAATCTGAATAATTTACATTACATATTTGTACAAAAAAGACTTGAACTAAATATAACAGACAGCGAATCATTATTCATGGGGAAAAACTTGAAAATCTTTTACGGATAAAAAGATTAGATAAGGTCAGGGGTTGACAATTCAAAAATAAACAAAATGTTTCGACACTGGTTTGACCAAAATAGAACAATGCAATAGGGAATATAAAATAAGTGATAAGACATTATACGAGTAATGATACTAAGCAATATAGATAACAACTAAAAGTAACACTGAACAGACCAAAACTGGAAGTAAGTCAAGTGACAGTTAATATCAATAAATGGACACTTCTACAGTTCTACTTATATTCGTACCTCGTATTGAATGTATTGAACACGCCATTCCGGTGTCAAATGCGACGTTAGATGCTCTTGAAATTTCATAGTCACGATCTTCTGTGGAAATTTAGATATATATTATCAATACGCCTGAAATCTTGGCCATAAAACACGAAAATCCGTATTTTTCCCACAGATTTGTCCGCCATATTAGTTTGCCATTTCGTCATAGCAGTGACTGCGCGAAAAGCGAAACCTGGATGGTTGAATTTTAGGAGAATTTTATATCTGATCAGTGATCTGATTGGACCAATAAACAATAAGAATTTCCAACCAATCACTAACCGCCTGTAGTATCGCATGCAGTGGGCGTACAAAGGGGAGGATAAGAGGGCAAGTAACTAGGTGGAGGCGTGTGTGACTGTAGCTGGATTGCAGACAACTACAGTCTGCAGGCCACAACAAAATATAATTTGAGACAATTCAATTGTTTTCAAAATTTCCCAATCGCAAAACGTTTTAACCTGTGGTCACACAAAGCTCACAACATTGCTGTAAGTTCAGCCGATATTATTATGCAAATTAATAGGAATATTCCATTATATTAGCTCTGGGATACATGTCTCTCAGTTTCTGTACTGACAAATTGTATGATGAAACTGGTTCATGTTCTGCATGTACGAGGCGGCTTGCGATCATATTTTGAAGTATATTTCAATTGTGTTATAGAAATAATTCGACATTTACTACACCACGCGCTTATAAAGGTGATCGCGTGAACGAAATTTCATGAATCATTAAGTCTTTGCAATTAATAACAAACACGCTAAATCAACTTACAACTTACAAAATTATCAGACTAATAATGCAGCGCATGTGATAGAAATATATTCTTACCTTACGCCAATGTTGACTTAAGTAAAAGTTGGTCCAGGTGCTGACACTTCTTATAGGCTCAACGAATTATCAGCCACGAGATCAGGCGTTCTTTCCGCTCAAAGTCCTACTTATTATGGCCGTGGAATTTTAATTGCTTTTACTGTCTCGAATGTCGATGTTTATCAGATATCTTAACTGAACAATCTAAAATTGAACAATGTCATGTCATCTAAATTGTTACGATGTACAAAGGAAACGCAACCCCGCAACCCTAAGTGATCCAATAAAGAGCCTTAAAAAATCTTATGTACTTTTGGGAAAAAATGGATTAATAAACCCTGTACAATTTATTCGTACCTGCATAAAAGCTTGTCCAAACCACTTCTTATCACTGCAGCGACTAATAAGACTGAAGTGCGAGCTATACTTCACCAGATTTAAGCGGGTCTAAGGTTTGCACCGTGACCGTGTGCTGTTGCAATATACAAAAGAATAATATTCTCGATTAAATTTCACAACTTTTGTGTGGGGGATCGGAATTTCATGCAAGCTGGGACCCGCATGGAAAATTTCGATATTTTGATATGCATGTAGAAGTTAAAAAGACGACTGATGCAAAACAGTGGCAAAACAGGTACACTATTGTCACTAGCGACTGTTTCACCCCAATAGCGCTGCATATTTATTAGAATGCGAGTTTTCTTGCAATCCAGGCTTACCTATTCCTTCACAACTTACTGCTGCTTTTGGAAATAACAAAGGTTCTGCAAAAATAGGTCATACCATGACATACATGCTTTGAAAGTGTATATATCTCGGAATTAGCTAGAAAGGCATGCTAGCAAAAGGTTTTGCATTTCATAGTAGAAAAGCTGAAAAGGTCAGCATAGCCATAGTAGAGTTCGTACGTATTAAACGAGCACAAAATAATACATTTACCGCGCCCACCAGCTCATCTTGCGACATTTATATTAGTAGCTCGATACAAATATCATCTGGTTTCCATTCATGTTTTCAGGAGCTACAGAATAATACAATCAACAACCCCGCAATATCATTCCTTACCTTCTGAATAACGTAGGCGTAGGGATATAGTTCCGAAATCAATATACAATTTCCCATTTCCTTTCTAAATTTAGTACATTTTACGAACCGTCATGCCGAACTGTTAAATAATTTTTTCACGCTGAACTGTTAAGTTTTCGATCTGTCTAGAGACATGCTATTAGAGCACTTGTCTGACTTAACAATGCCTGGTACACATGGAGGTGAACAGACAAAAAAAATACCAAAGACAAACACAAGCAAATTTCAGTCAAAATATTTTCGCAATATATTTTCTCACATTCCCTAACACTGGTTGAATAAAGTAAAACCCTTCACTCCCTGTATGTTTTCTTACTTGTAATTAAATCAATCACACTAACTGTCTACGTTTGCAGCAAGAGTCACTGCAACAAACCAAACAAACCCAACCAACAAACCTAAACTCCAAGCTACTTTTCTATGCAACGGCCTCGTTTGAATCTGATGATCGAGAGTCAATTAGCCTTCACACGATGACGAATGTGCCGCCATTTTTGGGCCTTGTCTTTAATTTTAGGCTTCATTTATTGTTTAAATGGTCTATGGACTCCTAAAAAATTATTCATACATTGCTATTATTGCTTAAACGCATTTAAGAAAATTAAAAGTAGCCCAAAATGGCGCATATACGTCATCGTGAGAAAGGCTAATTAGCCTATGTTTTTCCCTGAACCCTCAGGCAAATATCACATCTTCCCACACACGGCAAGAGTCGACGAGAGCCTTTGGCTACTCAATTTTTTTGTCCCTTAAACTAACAAGCTGACCAAACAGCGTTTGGTTAAACAAAAATGAGTGATAAAAACCAATCAAATCTTATAATTCTCGATCTCGTTTGACCAGGAGAGATAGGTACACACTTACCTCAAATGAATGAGAATCCTACTGATGTAACACTCGTTTACGATATTTAAAATTAAAATCTTACGCCATCGCCAGAAATATATCTTTACGCAACTGCAACAGTCATACGAATTTAATACTCTTTATATAGATAAAAAATATTTGCGTGTAAACTAAGAGAGCAAACTTGCTAAGAAACCAGTGTCACGCATAAGGATTAAAAATAAACACACAAGGCTTCCTACTGACCAATGAAAAGGTACGAATAACAGGATTAATGAAACTGGTGATTGAGAACATCAAGTGCATAGACAGCTTGAGCTGTTGGGTACAAAATACAATTTTGTTAAAAATAAAAGCCTAACAAGTTGTTACTTACAGCTTGTTCACAATCATGTTCCATGCAAGTGCTGCAATACAACATTTGTCATTATTCACCTGTGTGTACACGGGTTCACGTGATCGCGTGAAACAGTGGGCCAATGGAAAACCTATCCCAAAATTACTTCCCTCACAAGACAACCGCAAACAGCCCTCCACCAGGTTCAAATGGTTGTAAGTTTGTTTCGCGCCTTTTTCGAATTGTTCAAGCCCGTAAAGTTGTGTATCCCCCAAAAATAAGTCATGATACAATAAAGCAAAAATATTTCTATTAAATATGCATATTCTCTTACTTTTTGTGCTACCTATCTTTTTTCTTTCTAGCATCCAATTTCGAATGTAAACTCATTATTTCAGATTCTAGTCTCTGATTAGTCCTTTTAATCGTTTGGTATTTTGATTCTACCGCCTAAAACAAGGCAAAAAAATTGATTACAAATTTGTACATTTCAAATTGCGTTTGACTACCTATTAAAGAGCTCCTGACAATAGGGGTATACGTCAATTTATTTGTACCAGTAAAGGTTTGAGGATTCCTCGTTTTAAGATAATAGCACGATATTAAAGGAATACCAAATGATTTTCCGTGCAGGATTGCGTGATCCATGCACGCGGGATGTTGCGAGACTTTCGGAAAGCGTGAAAATACACGAGCCGTAGGCGAGTGTATTTTCACGCTTTCCGAAAGTCGAGCAACATCCCAAGTGCATGGATCACGCAATCCTGCACGGAAAATCATTTGGTAATTGTTTTATAAAATAACTGTAGTGAAACAACGGTTAACTTTATTAAAATTAAATTTCGCGTGCAGGATTGTCTAAAACGCGTGCAGGATTGTCTGATCCTGCACGGCTATTGACCAATCACATTGCGTGTTTCACTATAGTTATTATATAATGCGAATTACCAAATAATCACAGGTTTGCGGCTTTTGGGGATCGATCTTTGGGCTTGGATGTCAAACTCCACTAATTTCAGATCAGTCTCCCCCTCCGGCGAGAGGTTGAGCGAAGCCTGGGACATAATTTTCATGAGGGCTTTTTCGTTCCCTCTTCCACTGACCATTGTCAGCTTTTTCGTTCCCTCTTCCACTCCTCTTGTCATAATTGTAAGGATATTGCACTCCTTGTATGGCTTTTGTTATTATCGTAAAATTCATTGCAAACATTTGTGGACAAAGTACAACCTTTCCGGGTTCTTGTAAGCTTAGGGCAAATCCCCCTCGCCCCCCTCCCGTCAGTAGCCTCCCTCGATAGTCCCCTCAGTAGCCTGGTCTCTGCTATATGTTCATACTTTCAGAACCATGCTGACTGGAATTTGGGTAACTGCAATAGCACATATATATAAACATAGATAAACATATAACTAAAAAAAATATGTTTTAATAACAAGATTCCCAGCTTTTAACTCACGTCAAGTTTATCTTTCCAAATTTTCTTTATGCTTTCGATTAAATTCTTTAAATCTTTTATCTGGTGCTCCTGAAAAAAACACACAGACTTTTTTAAAATACCTATAATACCTCAAGATATCAGAGTTTAACTTGCAACCAACCTTTTGTGCTGAAATATTTTCCAGCTCTGAGAAATTTGATTTAAGACACAGCAGTTCTGCATTTTGTTCGTTGATTAGCAAACGTGCATCTTTAAATAAAGAAATATTTAACGAGTCAAACCAAATAAACTAATAAATCGCCTACAAAAAGAATTAGCTGAGTCCCAGTGAAATCACTGCCATGCATGCATCACGCATACCCTCTAATTCTTTTTCGTAAACGTGTAACTTCGCTTCAGCCTGTGGCGATTTTTCAACTGTTGTTCGCAAAATATGAATCAAATCCCGAAGTTGCTCTTCTCTCTCGCCCATCACCAGTAAATTGCCTGCTTGCGTGTCAGCCTTGAATTACCGAGGATTAGAACATTACATAACTGTTAGAGATATTTGGATATATTTGAGGATGCTAAGAGATAGTTTGTGTACATTTTAGTGCATTCGGACGTGGAATCTGTTTCTGACGGTTGGACCAAAAAATGAGTCTTACTAGTATGTAAGATAAATTTAGTTTTTTATATTATGGAACCGAATAAATCACTGAAAAGTAGGATTTACTAGAAATATTGGATCAAAATGGAGAATGACTGGGACCTTTCATAAATACTACAAACTGTATACCATTTGAGGTGGGTACAAAGCAGTTGACTCTACGTGAACTGGAAAGAGATACCTCGGTCGCCATCAATCTCGTTCCCCGAGCCCTTGGCTCTTGGACGGTCTGGATTATCCCAGAGCCTTTGCTTTCTCGCCAGAGGAATCGCGGGCTCGGGGAACGAGATTGCCGGGTCGCCATGCAAATTTGATGTCGAAATAGGTGCCTGTCTTTACGACCAACGACAGGGTCGACAAAAACAATAAAAAGAGACTGGCACCGGTGCCCACTCCGGCTTCAAATATGGCGGCCAAATAAAAATCAATATCGTCCCAGTATTTAGAGTGAACTCTATGTATGAACTCTACAATGCAATCATCACCTTTTCCTTCAAAACTTCATTTTCCTTCTCTAAGCGCCGGAGAAATGATAGATCATTTTCAAGTTGAAATATCTGTGCTTTCGACGCCTTTACTTCCTAGATTTGTAAAGAAGCAAAATATATATAAAAGATATATCATATATATTATTTTCAACAGTCATTTTAGATTAAATTTCCTGTCTGAGGATTGGCTCCACTCACTTACCTCATTGGCTATTCTACATTTCTACGTAGTCCTAATACACGTAGTCGATAACTCGTTTTTAAATACGATCACGAGCCTCGAAAGATTACCATTTGTCCGTCTTACCTCTCGTAATTTTTCGTTCTCTAAACGAAAATCTTCGACCTCGGCCTCTAGCTCTAGTTTTTCTGAAGTCAATGTTTCGTTTGCTTTCGACAGATTGCTATATTGGGGAAAAAATTAACTATTCATTATGAAAACCTTTTTTGAAAATTGTGCTCACATTTAAAAATGCCAGCAAAGTATTTATTTTACGAAGAAAGAACCTAATATCGGAGCTACAATACCTCATTATTTCCGCTTGTTGCTGATTCCAAGATTCTGTTTTTTCTTTCAACTGTCTATAATAACGATAAATTGAAACTAGTGACAAAAGGGATATAATCTTCTCAACACAATTTGCTCTAAAAGCATCGTAATACCTGTTTTCTTTAACTTTTTCTCTGCATGATTGTTCCAAGTTAGCAACTTCTTTTTGAAGGACGCTTAATTGATCCTTCTGTTGAATTTTATAATGTTGGCATTAGGAGGAGAAGTTACATGCCGTTCCAAACAAACTAGCTTGGGTTTAAACATTAAAAGAGTGTGGGTCAACAAAATGGCGACAACATAACATACAATGTGATGGGGTTGCTGAAACTAAAAGGTTTTCTGTGGCTTCATGTCGCAAGCGGAAATGTTTTGCTGGATGGAGTGCTGAATGCAGTGAACCTACAAAGACTGGAGCGATAACTGGCGGTTATCTCCCAAGGTTATTTGGTCGCCATCTTTGACGTATTGGGCACGATCGTCGCCATGACAAAAACAATGGATATATACTGACACTGGTGCCCAATTCCGCTTCAAAGATGGCGACCGAGTTATAGTTCCAGTTCACATAGAGTTTTGAGGCTGAATGTACCAAGCTATATATCTGGGGGGGGGGGGGCTTTTTCCCCCAGATGTCTATAAATACAGAACTTAGTTTATAAAGCTTTTCATCGCCAATTTATAAGGAGGGAAATGCTTGACAATTTTTAGGACCCAGCACGGAGTTTCGATTTACAGATTCCTACAGTTCTCATTTACAAGTTTTCCGCGACATACCACAGCAAATAGTTCCTCTCTGACAGCATTAACCTGGAAAACCTTGCCAACCAATCTTCTGTTTCTAGTTGCATGAAGATCACATTTATGTCTTTCGAATAAGAGTTCACTCTGAAGTAATAGCAGTTCTTTGCGAAGTATTTTTATTTCATCTTTGGGAGGTGAACCTATAACATTCATATGATCAGACGACCATAATTAGAAAATAGTTTACATATACAATATCCATTGCTTATCCACACAATATGTAGACCATGCATAATAAACAATTTCCAAACAAAGCAGGCTTCTAATTGGTACGTGGACAAAATACCTCCAAAGTGAGTCCAATCAAGTCCTTCCTGGCTTGTTAGCGGTATACTGTAAAAGATAAAACACCGTACTTTACTAATGATGATTTTATACTGAGGATGATTTTTTGAGTATATTAAATCAATACTGTCACAAGACGACAATCCCACATAATGACCAACCAATGAACTATATGGTCACCGATATACTCCTTTGATAATCTGTTTGTTAGTTCTCGGGAAATAAGCAAAACCCATATCTGTTTGGCCAAGGATCGTATTTGTGGTATAATTTTCAGAAGTTGTACTCAATTAAATCCTCCCTCCATAATTCCTAACAAAACCCAAGGAGTCTAAATTCTACCTTACTTATATGCAAATATGCATCTTAGACAATTGAGGGAAGGGGCAGAGACAGCCCCCCTAGATTAGACAGTACTTGGGATAAGTCGGTCAATTTGTACTCACGAGTCATCAAATCGTTTGCCCCTCAATTTGTTTTGGCTCGTACTCCTATGCTCACTCACATACCTATTCAGTTTTCCTTGTTGTAAATTTTGCCCAAACAGCAGATAATGATCAAGCAATTGTGCAGGAGACAACTGACTTTCCCAATCCGCATTTTTCTTGCTGGAACCCCCAGAGCAATTTTCCAGACAATGGTTACAAATATTTGTCGTAAACGGCTGCAACGCGTCTAGAATATCCCACGGGAATTTCGACAATGAAAGTTTTTCCGCAGATGGTCGAATTGGAGTCTCAGGTTTTTGTTCTGATGGATCACGAAGTGTATCGTCTACAATCAAGTCAAAACTTGACTTCTCTCTATCTTTCTTGTCGTACTTGCTCGACTCTGAGGTGGCATGCCCTTTTTCTTTAACGGGGGTTGCCCGTGGGTTTAATAGTATAGGGGGAGTATTGCGACCACATGTTGACGAGTCATCAATGACCGCGAAGCTATTAGCGGTATGATGGTTAAAACTTGATCGTCTCGAGCCCAAGGGGGTGGGGGTTTGCATGCTTAGTCTCGCATCGCTCGCTTCATGACTGGAATGGTTGAGCTGGCCTGGGGTAGTGTGGCCTATCGAGACATCGTGCACGCTTCCAGAGGGCGAGGTGTTTTTAGACGATGGGGGTGTGGTCAGGCTACATAAAGTTGTAGGGCTATTAATCATTGCAGAAGATGCCACCAGAGGGGTGATACTACTTATATCGGTGCCACTATCAACAGAGCTCTCATCTTGTTGGTAGGTCGCATTTTGTAAGGAGGTTCCAGTTTGGGTCGCCATGTCTAATCTTTCATCTTCACTATTCATAGCTGGCTGCATGCTGTTGTCCGAATTTGTTAAGATTCCTGAGCTCTCGGACATTGTAACTTCTGACGAGCTTTGTCTTGAAGTACACACTGATGATAAAGTCTCACTTTCCTGCAAGTGACAAGAAGTTGGCTCCAGCGAGACCTTCTCGCAGTCAACTATAACATCATGTGGCTCCTTACTTCGCCATCTAAATTTGAAAAAGTTTCTGTTTCACAAAATCAAAAAAAATTCTTTAGCAATCATTCACACAACACTCGTGTTTTGCCTAGAATTAATACATTACCTGTCTTTGCCAGTTTCAGATTGATCAGTTTCTGTTATTAGCCAAGGGTGGAATTTGACCCACCTTAAAAGCAACTATAAAGAAAAACAAATCATATATATTAGATGAAATAGGATGGGAAATTCTAACAGTGGCAATTCTTAAAGTTGGACAACTCTACAGTCACAGTGACATTTTTAATTTGTCACTAAAATATAAGAAAGATTTTGCCCTGGGGAGCAGCAGGCTTCCTGAAAATATATAGATTTTGGACATTTGACATTAGATAACCTGGTTGCTTGAGTTTCATTCTTGTGCCTTAATTGCTTTTACCATGAAATTCTAACTCTTAGAATCCTAACGCGATCATACCTCAATAGATCTTTGAACATCCTTTCCATGATTAGATTCAAAGAAAGACTTCATGAATGTTACAGTATTGTTTGGATACATGGCATAAAAACGGTGAAAAAATACATAAACAGCGACTTTTAAATGAAGTATGTGTGTGTCTGGAGTGATCCCTGCAAAAAATAATGGAAATTCTCTTTTTCGTGTCTTTCTGTAGTGATCTACAGAAACCTGATGTGATTGGGTGTGTTTTAAAGGGATTTCTACATTTCACATCTCCTGATCCTAAATGAAACCCAAACAAAGTACACATATATTTTCTATAGTAGTAATAAATAAATAACCAACCCCTTTGTCTTGCTGTATATAAGAAAAGTCTTTCAAAGATGTCAAAAAAATCCTCCAAAATTGAACCAACAAGAGATGGAACAGATGGAAGCAAGGCCGTAATAATCAATATTCCAGTTACTAATATTACAACATCATTATCCACCTTCAAAAGTAAGTTTTTATTATTCTTGGAGACAATAATCAAAATAGAAACAAGAGATCAATCAAGGTAGACTAACAAGAGAGGCTTTTGATGAAAGATTAACCATAAAAAAGGTTAACCAGTGTGGTAGTTCAAAAATTTTAACCAGTCTGACACAAATGCTGCTCTCAATTCAACATATGGACGTAAAATTGACTGAACTTAATTAAGTAATATTTACATAAAATAACATAACTATCCGTCAATCTAACTACAAACTATGCAATGTTGACTGTGTATACGACCACCCACAAACCATAATCTTACCTTCAAACACTTGATAAATGTATTGAAAAAAGAGGTTGATATTATTGTGTGACGCCATGATGGCTAAAACAAACAAGGAATATTATAATAATCAACCATTATACAATAACAATGCTCTGATTATGTTAACCAAGTACCGGTATTATACCTGTCGCTGAATTATATTCCATAGTAGCATTAAAGTGGCGTATCTTTTTTCAGGATTCTTCAAACCTTCATTCATTTTCTCAAATAAAAACTACAATAAAAGAACAAATGTTATTTGTCATCAAAAGAAAATTATTCAAGAATTTAAATCTCTCAAAGCCATTTTGAAACAGATCCACATGCCTATAAAGAATTGAAGTTATGTTTTTTTCATTTTCTTTAGAACTGATTCACTATTTGAATATGTTTAACCCATTTTATGTCTATTTTGAATGTAGTTTTCCATTTTTTTATATAAATTATCCTCACAACTCCCTTTTGATATTTAATTCTGCTATTAAGAGGGTCAACAGACCTTTTCATAATGAAGTCAAACACAGAAAGCCCAATGTTACATGAAGTTTGATAGTCCCACAAAATGAAAAAGCCAATCAAGCTTGGTGTAAAATAAATCAGACTTTCTGCATTGTCATCATTGAATTTATTGTGAGAAAGAGAGGTTTATACCTATCGCAATTGGGTAATATACTGCAAAAATTGCCAACACACAACGCAGGAGTGAGGTCAAGTTAATAGGTCGAGTTGCCATATGAGGAAGTCTATAAACTCTCATCTCACAAAATGAAATGTAAAATCTTAAACAGGTGGATAAGTGAAAATTAAATAACACTCTCATCTCTCTGGAATGAGTCAACTTGAATATTATGCACTGAATATGTAGTTGTAGACAGTATCTTTGTATTAAAGTAAAAAACATTTAGTTCGCTTGCTGAATAAAACGACAGACTTGCTTTCTATTTTGAACTTATCCACTGTTTAGGCTAAACAGGCTTGATACAACTGGCCCCAGAGTGACAGCTCTTGTGTACACGTGGCCTTGAAACCAGTACCATGAAGGAATTACCACTAGTTTGTCTATATTACTACCACTAGTTTGTCTATATTACTTTAAAACTGTGAAGCTCAAAACCAATAAGATGCAATATATCATGGCAACAACTTTAAAACTAGACAACTTTTCATTGAGAGAGTTAAAATCGAGGTCTTCAACAGGGTGGTGGATATTTATATTGTAACAGAGAATCATCAAATGACTATATGTGTAACAGTTTTGTTCAAAATGGTTCAAAACACATACTAATCAGCTAAAAAACTACATCTTCACAATTCAAAACATCTGACAAACATGTCGTTAATTACCATACTAAAGACAATACCTACATTCACATGATTTTGTTGACTCTGATCCAAGAGTATTTCTCCCGCCGCTCGACAACTGGTTTTCACATACAGATTAAATAAATCTCCCATAATTGCATGGCACTGTTTGGATCCCGAGAGCAACAATTGATGTATTGCTTCTTTGGCCTCCTCTTTTTCCTGGATAACAGCTGAGTTCAATTTCGCCAAGGGTATCTTCCAATCAGGTTTAGAGATATCTCCCTCGATGCTTGAGCTCGATGTACTGAATTGGCCCGCTGAATTGGCCATGATTTTTGATTTCTCACTGAGTTTGCACAACTCAACAGGGTTACTGTTTAGAAAGTGCGTGTTTAACAGCATATTGTGTCATTTTTCTGTGTTGATCGCAAACACGAGTGATGTATAAACATCTCATTATGACAATAAGATTTCAATGACTAGACATTAACGTCTTCTGCCATTGTTGGACAAAATAGCAGAATGCGTCAATGCGATAAATCTGGGAAAATTTGAAAGCGTGTGTTTCCACTTTTTGAGATCATGATTTCAGATCAGTGTTTCAGATATGGCAAAGGGTTATATTTTCATGTTACGAGGGTTCGAAATATACATTACATATATTAGCATAAATTATATAAATTATATAGTGTGTATAGACACTGTATATACACACATACTATATACATATATATTATATAGTTATATGCTTCTATGGTTATATGGTTATGTGGTTATATGGTTATGTGGTTAGTGGTTATATGGTTATGTGGTTAGTGGTTATATGGTTATGTGGTTATATAATTATATGGTTATATGGTTATATGGTTATGTGGTTATATGGTTATATGGTTATGTGGTTATATGGTTATGTGGTTAGTGGTTATATGGTTATGTGGTTAGTGGTTATATGGTTATGTGGTTATATGGTTATATGGTTATATGGTTATATGGTTATATGGTTATGTGGTTAGTGGTTATATGGTTATGTGGTTATATGGTTATATGCTTATATGCTTATATGGTTATGTGGTTAGTGGTTATATGGTTATGTGGTTAGTGGTTATATGGTTATGTGGTTATATGGTTATATGGTTATATGGTTATGTGGTTATGTGGTTATGTGGTTATGTGGTTATGTGGTTATATGGTTATGTGGTTAGTGGTTATATGGTTATGTGGTTATATGGTTATATGGTTATATGGTTATGTGGTTATATGGTTATGTGGTTAGTGGTTATATGGTTATGTGGTTAGTGGTTATATGGTTATGTGGTTATATGGTTATATGGTTATATGGTTATATGGTTATGTGGTTATATGGTTATATGGTTAGTGGTTATATGGTTTTGTGGTTATCTGGTTATATGGTTATGTGGTTATATGGTTATATGGTTATATGGTTATGTGGTTAGTGGTTATATGGTTCTGTGGTTAGTGGTTATATGGTTATGTGGTTATATGGTTATATGGTTATATGGTTATGTGGTTATATGGTTATATGGTTATGTGGTTATATGGTTATGTGGTTAGTGGTTATATGGTTATGTGGTTAGTGGTTATATGGTTATGTGGTTATATAATTATATGGTTATATGGTTATATGGTTATGTGGTTATATGGTTATATGGTTATGTGGTTATATGGTTATGTGGTTAGTGGTTATATGGTTATGTGGTTAGTGGTTATATGGTTATGTGGTTATATGGTTATATGGTTATATGGTTATATGGTTATGTGGTTAGTGGTTATATGGTTATGTGGTTATCTGGTTATATGGTTATATGCTTATATGGTTATGTGGTTAGTGGTTATATGGTTATGTGGTTATATGGTTATATGGTTATATGGTTATGTGGTTATGTGGTTATGTGGTTATGTGGTTATATGGTTATGTGGTTAGTGGTTATATGGTTATGTGGTTATATGGTTATATGGTTATATGGTTATGTGGTTATATGGTTATGTGGTTAGTGGTTATATGGTTATGTGGTTAGTGGTTATATGGTTATGTGGTTATATGGTTATATGGTTATATGGTTATATGGTTATGTGGTTATATGGTTATATGGTTAGTGGTTATATGGTTTTGTGGTTATCTGGTTATATGGTTATGTGGTTATATGGTTATATGGTTATATGGTTATGTGGTTAGTGGTTATATGGTTCTGTGGTTAGTGGTTATATGGTTATGTGGTTATATGGTTATATGGTTATATGGTTATGTGGTTATATGGTTATATGGTTATGTGGTTATATGGTTATGTGGTTAGTGGTTATATGGTTATGTGGTTAGTGGTTATATGGTTATGTGGTTATATGGTTATATGGTTATATGGTTATGTGGTTAGTGGTTATATGGTTATGTGGTTATCTGGTTATATGGTTATATGCTTATATGCTTATATGGTTATGTGGTTAGTGGTTATATGGTTATGTGGTTAGTGGTTATATGGTTATGTGGTTATATGGTTATATGGTTATATGGTTATGTGGTTATGTGGTTATGTGGTTATGTGGTTATATGGTTATGTGGTTAGTGGTTATATGGTTATGTGGTTATATGGTTATATGGTTATATGGTTATGTGGTTATATGGTTATGTGGTTAGTGGTTATATGGTTATGTGGTTAGTGGTTATATGGTTATGTGGTTATATGGTTATATGGTTATATGGTTATTTGGTTATATGGTTATATGGTTAGTGGTTATATGGTTATGTGGTTATCTGGTTATATGGTTTTTGTGGTTATATGGTTATATGGTTATATGGTTATGTGGTTAGTGGTTATATGGTTATGTGGTTAGTGGTTATATGGTTATGTGGTTATATGGTTATATGGTTATATGGTTATATGGTTATATGGTTATGTGGTTATATGGTTATGTGGTTAGTGGTTATATGGTTATGTGGTTATATGGTTATATGGTTATATGGTTATGTGGTTATATGGTTATATGGTTAGTGGTTATATGGTTATGTGGTTATGTGGTTATATGGTTATATGGTTATGTGGTTATATGGTTATGTGGTTATGTGGTTAGTGGTTATATGGTTATGTGGTTATATGGTTATGTGGTTATATGGTTATATGGTTATGTGGTTATATGGTTATATGGTTATATGGTTATGTGGTTATGTGGTTATGTGGTTATATGGTTATGTGGTTATGTGGTTAGTGGTTATATGGTTATGTGGTTATATGGATATATGGTTATATGGTTATGTGGTTATATGGTTATGTGGTTATCTGGTTATATGGTTATATGGTTATATGGTTATGTGGTTATATGGTTATATGGTTATATGATTATGTGGTTAGTGGTTATATGGTTATGTGGTTAGTGGTTATATGGTTATGTGGTTATATGGTTATATGGTTATATGGTTATATGGTTATATGGTTATATGGTTATATGGTTATATGGTTATGTGGTTATATGGTTATGTGGTTAGTGGTTATATGGTTATGTGGTTAGTGGTTATATGGTTATGTGGTTATATAGTTATATGGTTATATGGTTATATGGTTATATGGTTATGTGGTTATGTGGTTATATGGTTATGTGGTTATGTGGTTAGTGGTTATATGGTTATGTGGTTATATGGTTATATGGTTATATGGTTATGTGGTTATATGGTTATGTGGTTAGTGGTTATATGGTTATGTGGTTAGTCGTTATATGGTTATGTGGTTATATGGTTATATTGTTATATGGTTATGTGGTTATATGGTTATATGGTTAGTGGTTATATGGTTATGTGGTTATCTGGTTATATGGTTATGTGGTTATATGGTTATATGGTTATGTGGTTAGTGGTTATATTGTTATGTGGTTAGTGGTTATATGGTTATGTGGTTATATGGTTATATGGTTATATGGTTATATGGTTATATGGTTATGTGGTTATATGGTTATGTAGTTAGTGGTTATATGGTTATGTGGTTATATGGTTATGTGGTTAGTGGTTATATGGTTATGTGGTTAGTGGTTATATTGTTATGTGGTTATATGGTTATATGGTATATGGTTATATGGTTATGTGGTTATATGGTTATATTGTTATGTGGTTAGTGGTTATATGGTTATGTGGTTATATGGTTATATGGTTATATGGTTATGTGGTTATATGGTTATATGGTTATATGATTATGTGGTTAGTGGTTATATGGTTATGTGGTTAGTGGTTATATGGTTATGTGGTTATATGGTTATATGGTTATATGGTTATATGGTTATATGGTTATATGGTTATATGGTTATATGGTTATGTGGTTATATGGTTATGTGGTTAGTGGTTATATGGTTATGTGGTTAGTGGTTATATGGTTATGTGGTTATATAGTTATATGGTTATATGGTTATATGGTTATATGGTTATGTGGTTATGTGGTTATATGGTTATGTGGTTATGTGGTTAGTGGTTATATGGTTATGTGGTTATATGGTTATATGGTTATATGGTTATGTGGTTATATGGTTATGTGGTTAGTGGTTATATGGTTATGTGGTTAGTCGTTATATGGTTATGTGGTTATATGGTTATATTGTTATATGGTTATGTGGTTATATGGTTATATGGTTAGTGGTTATATGGTTATGTGGTTATCTGGTTATATGGTTATGTGGTTATATGGTTATATGGTTATGTGGTTAGTGGTTATATTGTTATGTGGTTAGTGGTTATATGGTTATGTGGTTATATGGTTATATGGTTATATGGTTATATGGTTATATGGTTATGTGGTTATATGGTTATGTAGTTAGTGGTTATATGGTTATGTGGTTATATGGTTATGTGGTTAGTGGTTATATGGTTATGTGGTTAGTGGTTATATTGTTATGTGGTTATATGGTTATATGGTTATATGGTTATATGGTTATATGGTTATGTGGTTATATGGTTATGTGGTTAGTGGTTATATGGTTATGTGGTTAGTGGTTATATGGTTAAGTGGTTATATGGTTATATGGTTATTTGGTTATATGATTTTATGGTTATGTGGTTATGTGGTTATATGGTTATATGGTTATATGGTTATGTGGTTATGTGGTTATGTGGTTATGTGGTTATGTGGTTATGTGGTTACGTGGTTATGTGGTTATGTGGTTAGTGGTTATATGGTTATATGGTAATGTGGTTATATGGTTAGTTGTTAGAGGTTATATGGTTATATGGTTATATGGTTATATGGTTATGTGGTTAGTGGTTATATGGTTATGTGGTTAGTGGTTATATGGTTATGTGGTTATAGGGTTATATGGTTATATGGTTATATGGTTATATGGTTATATGGTTATATGGTTATATGGTTATATGGTTATGTGGTTATGTGGTTATATGGTTATGTGGTTATATGGTTATATGGTTATGTGGTTATGTGGTTATTTAGTTATGTGGTTATATAATAGTTATGTGGTTAAATTTTTATGCGGTTATGTGGTTATATGGTTATTTGGTTAGTGTTTATGTGGTTATATATGAAAATATGG